CCACTACCGCTGCCACTGCCACTACCGCTGCCACTGCCACTGCCACTGCTACGGCTACGGCTACTGCTGCTGCTATCGCTACTGCTACTGCTACCGCTACTGCTACTGCTACTGCTGCTACGGCTACCACGCAGACGACCACCACAACAGCAACTACAATAACAACAATCAACAACAACATCTACTACTACTACTACCACCACCACTAAGAATTCCAGCTACTACTACTACTACTACTACTACTACTACTACTCCTCCTTCTGGTACTGGTACTGTACTACTACTGGTACTGCCGCTTCACTAGCATGTTCCGGTTGACACAGATGAGTTCAGCCGGCTGCAGTCAAAACAGCCTTTCCCAGATGTGTGTGCGCAGAACGGTTGTGCACTCCATCTCCGCCTGGTCGTCGCCTGCAGAAGTGCACCGGACCACCTCGCGTGCCACTTTTTGGAGTGGTCTACTCACCGACAGCCAGACATCCTGGCGTATTCACATGCCACGGCAAGAGGCAAAAAAGGATTTCTGCTGCGCAGGTGCCCGGCTTAGGGTCGCATGCTTCTCGAGGCTCTACCAGCTGACCAGCTGAGCCTATTATGCCCAAAGCCCCCTTTTTGGCCTGGTGGCGGTCGAGAATTTTCGGTCTTGCTGCGAGTCATGTTACTAGCTCCAACCCTGCCTGATGGAACTGCCGTCATTTTACAACGAACGAACACAAGTCACATTAGACGTATGATCTTGGAGATTATGATTATATGCTAGCACACACCCGCGGAAAGCATTGGCGCTTTTCGAGTGCAAGTAACAACCGTAGCACATAGTCACGTTTGCCGGAAACAGCTACAAAACTTAATCCCGCGATAAAGGATTAGATTAAGCTGACTGGACCTTAACTCTGCAAGCCGCAAATCTTACCCTTTGTGTAGCCGAAACCCGGGACCTTTCAATCGGACGGCACGCGTATGTTCAAAGGAGCGCGCGGTACAGAATTTTCAGAACATAGGATATCCTGAAACAGCCGAACTCAAGATAGTAGAACCATGTGTGAACCCTATTGTAGGGACCCAAACAAGAAGCCCCAATGTGAAGAAGGGAGCTTTCTAAAGCCTCATACAAGCATTGCCTAAACCCGAAACCCTTAACCTCGACACCCTAAACCCCAAACCCCCTAAACCCCAAGCCCCAATCTTCGAAACCATGAACCCTAAACCTCGAAACCCAAAACCCCAAACCTCGAAACCCTAAACCCAAAGCCCAAGCATCCTTTGGGCTTTTGAGCCTCGTGGCCAGGGTCGGGCCGCTGGCTGAGAGCATGTTCTGAAGCCAGAAGTGCGGAAAGAAGGGGGCGTGGGGGGGGTGGGGGGGGGGTCGGGCAGGGGCTTGGGTTTAGGGGTTCAGGGTTTGGGGTTCCGGGTTCGGGGCTTAATTCGGGTTTTGGGTTTGGGGGGGTCACTTCGCGGCAGGTTGCAGTGTTCCTTGAAGGGTACTCAGGGTACGCCAAGTGTTCCGCAAGGAGTTTGCGATCCAAGTTCTAGAGATCAGACAAGATAGAGTTTTTGTTCCTCGACCAGGTTTCGACAGCATTGGCACCCCCAGCCCTCCCACTGATTGTGCCCTAACCATACTTTTTACCCGCACACGGTCTGAACCTACTGTAAAGCCGAATTGGTCAATGAAGAGGGCAGGCATCGGAGGGGATCTCTCCGATCTCAAGGGAATCGAGGGCCTAGATGAAGAGCAAAAGGTTTAGGGTTTGGGGAATTGGGCTCGGGGTTTTAGGCATGAGGGCCTTAGGGGATAGTGGGGTTAGCTTTTCATGTTCGAGATGACACTGCTTTTGACTCCTTCACATCAGCTTCAGACATGACCAAATGTAGGGTCTATAGGGAAAACAACTACACCGACAGTCGTTTCAAGTTTAGCTTGGGTTAAACAGCTTATAGCCTACCTCTAGTCTCCATCGTAGTTCCTTTTTTTGGTTTAACCAATTTTATAATTAGGATCCTATAAGGTAACCCCAAAAAGGAACTACAATGGAGACTTTAGGTATAGCCTAAGCCCCAAATGTGGACTCCAAGCTTCGAAGGCTACACCCTGAACCGTAAACCCTAAACCCGGAACCCTTCAGTTTCAGGGTCCTATTGGAATTCCATAAAACTTACGTCGGCTACCCTGGGCTGGGGACGATGGCCATGCAAAGCCAGCCCGAGGGGGAGATCGAGCCGTGGCTGACAGGTTTTGGGGCTGCGGGCTTTCAATTTGAGCTGGTTTCGGGGGGTTGGATCAAAGCACTCGAAGGGGCAGGGATTTTGTTCAGGGTTCGCTCCGAAATGTTGGTGTGGAGAACTGCAGATACGACGTTGTCCCCTTCAAATGATGCTCCCCGGCAGCCCCTGCACCCGTCGCCCGAAACCTTTGAACAACTCAGACCGCAATTCCAATTTTTCACATCCGAGCTTGTTTAGGCTTTTGTAGCCCCCCAAAATTACCTTCGAACAAACTTGTGATGTTTCCGAACAGCCACATACAAGCTTGCTTGAAACCTACAGAATGCAGGCCAACCAAGTAAGTAGAAGAGTGTGAGTTGCACCTACCCTACCCGATGTTCGAGGGGTCCCCAAGTGGCACTTTTTCTGTCTTTCACCTGCTAGGAGTTAGGAGTTTGGGATCTGGAATTCAGGGTTTGGGGTCTTGGAATTTCGGATTTGGGAGCTAGGATTTTAGGATTTGAGGTTTAGGATTTTGCTTGCAAGGGCGGTTTCCCAAGACCCAGCGTGCATACAGAGGACTGGGAGCCCTGCGTGCAGGCTCGCGAGTGGATGGGATGGTGCAGAGCTTCAGTTTGAGGAATGGTTGACGCTTCAGGTTCGAGGCATATTTCTCTTTTTCTGATTATTACGTAGTATTACCATGAGTATTGGAATTACTTCTGATTCTACCAATGGCTGCTCGTGGGCAGTTGCAGCCACGGCAGCTCGATTACATCAGACCCGCCTTCCTTATACCTTAAACATCAGACTCAAAAATTAAGATTCGATACGGGCATAGAGTCAGAAGTAATAGAGGCATATTTGAGTAAGAAGTAATAAGCGAATATTTGAGTCAGAAGTAACACAGGCATGTTTGAGTCAGAAGTGATCAGCGAGTGTTTGAGTCAGAAGTAATAGAGGCATATTTGAGCCAGAAGTAATAGAGGCATATTTGAGTCAGAAGCAATAGAGGCATATTTGAGTCAGAAGTAATAAGCGAATATTTGAGTCAGAAGTAATAGAGGCATATTTGAGTCAGAAGTAATAGAGGAATATTTGAGTCAGAAGTAATAGAGGCATATTTGAGCCAGAAGTAATAGAGGCATATTTGAGTCAGAAGTAATAGAGGCATATTTGCGTCAGAAGTAATAGAGGAATATTTGGGGCAGAAGTAATAGAGGCATTTTGAGTCAGAAGTACTCGAGGCATACTAGAGTCAGAAGTATCTACAGCAGCGCTTATTAAAGGTGAATGCTGGTAGAATTCCTGAAGCCTAGAGTCTGAACCCTGCACCCTATTCTAGATCACAAGCCCGGTTCAGGGCAGGTGAGAAGGTGGTAGCTTCAGAAGACTTTGTGATCTCATCTCATCAGATCACGAAGTCGTCAGGCAGGAGTACGTTTAGGGCTGAGAGAACCGATTTCCGTCCTTGTTTCGAGGCAGAGCAGACTGGTGGTGTTGGCAAATGCCAGGAGCAGCTTTGAACAGCCTTGGACATCTAAAGGTTAACCTCAGAAGCTTAGTCCCTAAGCCCCAAAGACCTGTAATTTTGAAACACTGTAGGATGTTTCCCTTTAAGCCCTCTTCACATGACTAAGGCCCCTATGTTCAGCCCTAAGCCGCCTAATGGCTTCTGTGGTACGAGACCTTCTCTTTCTTAGACTAAGATCCCCAATACCCATCCTTTAAACTTGTTGGGTTCTTGTAGTTTAGTAGGAATCGGAAAGTTTAACCTTTTATTTCTGTGGCTTATTGGGGGAGTAAGGTAAGGAATCCGAAATGAGGAGCCCACATTTCGCAGAAGCTCGCAAGTCTCGGCGGATTGCATCAACCTCCAAATCCTACAACCCAAACGCCACGAACACAATGCCCTAAAGCTCTAAATGACCAATCCGCCGAAGGGGCTCCCCTAGCAACCCTCGTAGTACTTTGTATTGATCCCCTTTAAAGTACCCTGATTACTAACACCCCCTATAGTGCGTTAGAGTAACCCTTATAGAAGCTTATAGCAAGCCGGATTTCCAGAAGGAGCTCCTGAAGACCTTCCCTAAACCCTAGATCCGCAACCCTAAACCCGGAACCCTAAACCCTGAACCCTAAGCCCTAAACCCTAATATCAGAAGGAGCTTTTCAAGACTTTCCGGAGCTGCTCCGGGAAACACATTCCGGCCTATTTCGCCAAAGCGCTCGCATCTGAACTCGAGGCTCCCCCACAGGATCTTGAGATTGGGGGGTTCAGAAGTGTAGGATTTAAGGGCGGCTCCCCCTATGACCTTGAGGTTGAGGGCTTTAGATGTGTAGGATTTAGGACGTTGTGTCCTCTGATCTTGAGGTTTTGAGCTTTAGAAGTGAAGGGTTCAGGGTGTTGTGTGTAGGGTTCAGGATTTGTTTGATGGTTGTCTTTGCTAGTTTGGATATGCTTAAGTTCTTTGTGCTGCTTACATAGAGTCGGGTTGTAGACGGATTTCTTTGTGGGGCTGTATGACCGCAACATGAGTTTGTGTGGGATGCCCTGTAAAGCCCTAAATCCGAAACCCTGTCAACCCTAAATCGTAAAACGGTCTCCTCGGAAAGCTTCGAGACGAAATTGCCAAAGGTTCCGGGGCCGCCCGAGACCATCCAAGACGAACTAAGGGTAGGACCGTTCTACGAGTCGTAAATCGGGGACGCTGAGCTACACAAACCCCTACATCTCACAAGAACACCCTGGACCTCAGTAGCCAAGGTGATGCGCATCCTTCAGGCTGCACGAGATGGTCTGGAGTACAGCACACGGCCAGACAGCGTCGATGGGAAGCCAAGTTTTGAGACACTGGGCCATGAGTCTTCAGAGTTTTGGGATACGAGTCTTGGGGTTAGGGCGGCATGCGTGGCACCGCCGCTGTGTCTTAGTTGTGTCCGGCTGTCTTCCAGAAGTTCTTCGCATTTGCCGGTTGCACCGCCCTAGTAGCAAAAAGCGGCTTGACATGCTATGTGAAGCTACTCGAGCCACAGGGCCCGTACTCCAGGTCCCCCAACACATTAAGGTCCAGGATCATAGTAGTGGTACTTCTGGTGAATGCCGACCTTGCAGAACTACTACCTTGTGGCGCGACAGGCGCAAGTTGAACATAGCGTGGCCGGTAATGCTAGACTCGTGCCGTCCCTCACAGACTTTGCCACGTAGCTTTTCCGCAAAGGAAGCATCTCGTTAAGTGTGGTGAGAACCAAAAAAAAGCTTCAACAGCCGATCGAGCACTGGTAGCAACAGCACTGGTAGTAAGAACAGTACAAACTTCAGCGACCACGAATGTTTCTTCGAAGGACGTATGTCTTCGACCGTGGCGACGTTTTGGAACAGCGACTCTTGCTTCTTCTGTAATATAGGGGCCTAAATAGTTACCTACACGATTTTGGGGGTTCCTTATTATAATTGTACTAGATTGGCCCCCCAAACCCTGCTCTAATCATTAAAGCCCCTATAGTATTTTGTGAGGCTGCGGGGGTTTAGGGATCAGACGAATGTGCGGATCAAGCCTCTTTTGACCCATGCAGGCCTCCAAGCCCTTCTGCATCGCAACAGGTCAAACCTGAAAAGGCCTACCTGGACCCCAAGTAATCTACAGTTCCAAGGATATATGCAGGGAAATCAAGATAGAGGAGCCGAAAAGAGGAAGGGTCTTGCTAGGTTCCAGGTGCACCATTCCCCTTGCAAGTGGATGGGCACCCCCCCCGGGAGCTCCAGCTAGGACTCTGGGACTGCGTCCGGGATCTTGTGCAGAGCCGACTGCTTCCCTGGCTGCGGCAGCGCTTCCACTGCCCAGGTAGGGCTCAAAGTTTATGGATTCAGTGTTACCTGGACCGCGTGGACCCCGAAAGTATGTAGAATAAAGGCCTTTTATAGTTTTTGGGCTCTTATTTTGCCTACGTTTGGGGGGTTAGGCAGGGTTCAACAGCTCAGCTTGCGCTTAAGAGGTAGTGGCAGCAGTGGTGGTTCAGTATTTCGGCTAGCCCTGAAACAGCCCTGAAGCAGCACAGCTCCTAAAAGCTGCTTTTCCATAGTCTTGGATGGAAGGGCTATCCGTTTTTCAGCTTTGCAGGGTCTGCAGTCGTGGGTGTGTAGCTTCCATCTGGGTCCTCGTGGCGGTGGGATACCTTTGTAGATCCCTGTAAGATCCTACGCTAAACCCAGACCCTACCCGAAACACACAGAATGCAGGACCCCAACAAACACACTGGAGGTGCCGCGTTGTGCACCTGCCTCATGCGCCGCTATCTCGCAGCTTGGCTGGCCAAGCCTTCTACCTGAACCTTTTGGCAAGGGTCTTCAGGGCTTTGTACGGTTGTATGGGGCGGTTCCTTGTTCTTTTTGGAAATATGTAGTATGCGTGCTGGGTCAATATTACAAGAGCACACACACACAGAGACTTACTTTGCTTTGGGTCTAAGGGACTCACAGCTACATTGGGACGGATCCTCCGGGTCCGAGTTAGCAGTTCTCGTCGGACTTTGTATTAGATGCTCGCTGTTGCGATCCTGGGGTTTCGGATGCTGTGTGATTGCAGTCCGGTCCCTGCAATCCCGAGCCCGAGCCCTATATTGCGTTCATGCTTAACTTTCAAACTCTCAAACGCACACAAATCCAAATTATGCAAACCTTAGAAGCCTTAGAAACAACCTGTGAGAACCGGATCTACACCCGATCGAAACCTACAGTCCCTTATTGGGCGGGACTGTCGGCTATTCACTTCGGCTTTGCCAAAAAATGAAAGTGTTCTTCGGTTTGGTTTTGGACCACGCGTGCTCTTGGGCATTGAATATGAGAGGGTTTGCAATGTTGCGAGGAAACTGAGTTGATAGATAAACAGGAATCTCCGGATCCAAGGAATATCGTGCGAAACCCTATTCTAACTTCTAATTGTCGAGACCCAGCTGTTGAACTCTCGACACCATCATGCCGCCTCCCCCAACTCTTACCTTTGGTTAGTAGGGAATGGAGGAATGGGGTACAATTATGACTACTATTGCTACTATTCTTCCATTCCCTCCTAACCAAAGGTGAGCAACTTTCAAGTCTAAGCCCTGAGCCCTGAAACCCCTAAGCCGCCAAGCCTTCACAGGCAAAGCAGCACCAAGCCCCACACTACGGGACGGAATACTTGGCAGTACTGTCCCCTTGGGAAATTTATACTATAGCAGACTCCCCAAAGCCCTATGCAAAGTCTTTAAGGCTTCTATCTTGCATCAGGCGAACGAGCGGAGAGCACACCCAGCTCACTTCGATGCCCATGCCTTTGCAACCTGCGTTGTGGGCCTGAACTCACAGGACCTGAGCCCGTTTAGGGTTCAGGGCCTTGACTTGAGGACTTTCTGGGTTTTAGGGGTTTGGGGTTTCATACGGCTGGTTGTCAACGTGATGGTCCCTTTTTGGGGCCTTATTATGATACGGCACCTAGTATTTAGGGTACCCAAGAGGCGGCCAAAACTTTGACAACCACCCATATAGGGTTCAGGGTTGGGGGTAGCTTCAGGGTTTTCGGGTCAGGGTTTTTAGGTTTTACTTGGCGGAGAGGGTTGGGGTTCAGACCCCAACCCTACCTTAACCCTGAAGAACCTACCTTTTTTAGTGTTCCCTATTATGATTTCCTTATACTAGTTACTAGTCCTTAAAACGGTAGGTTCTTCAGGGTTAAGGTACACACTGCAACCCAAAGTCCCTTCCTAACTTTGAGCCCTGAAGCACTAAACACCCCTGAACTCAAGCCAGACGAACAGAGGACTTCGCAGGTGGGCTCTACATCCAGCCGCTTGCTAGGCATGTTCCTCTTTTTCAGAGCTTCGCAGTTGAAGAGTATTGTGGAAGAAGCCTAAATAATTAACTATACTATTTTCGGGTGTTCTTTGGTTATTGTAGTATAAGATACCCAAAAACCCTATTCTACCTACAAAGGCCCAAATATGATTGTGGAATAACTTGCCTCTGGATCATTGTCAGTGCTCCTGCTATCACGCTGTTGTTGTGGTTACTTCCTGTGAGTCCTATTTTCATACGGTCTGGTTTATGGTTGACATCGTCGTCAAATCATTGACCGCAATATCAGAATCGACAGCATTTAGCATTGTTATGGCCATTGCCTCATTTAACACTCTTGTCTTTCTTATCAGCGTTATCGCTGTTATCAGCTCTACGATCTAAAGAACTAGTGTCATTGCTCTCAGTACTATGATAATGGTCCGCACCTCCAGTCTATTGTGCTTGATCGCTGTTGCCAGCTTTGCTTGTATTCTACCTTCTTAACCCAAGTGGTACGCCACAAAAGCAACCACAAACCCAAAGTCTTGGACCATAACCCATAAGGCTTAAGCCCCAACCCCTAAACCCTGGACCTTAGACCTTAAGCCCTAAACCTAGAACCCTAAATCCACAGCTTAGAATCCTAAACTCCAACTTCGATAAACCCGAGAAAGCCCAAAAACCGGAAATCTCACACTCTAGATCCTTGTCGGCGGGCCTTTCAAAACCTAAGCTCTGAACGCTAAAGCCGCAACCCCAAATCCTAAACTGTAAACCCTCAGTCCAAAAGCGCTAAATCCTTAACCCTGAGATCGACATGCTGCTTCTGCTGACGGACAAGGGGGCGGGCGTTTAAAAAAGCCTTAGCCGTACGCTCTAAACCATCATCCCAAAACCTCCAAAACGCCCTAAGCCCCCAGAAACCTAAACCCTAAAACCTCTAAACTCTAAACCCTTTCTAAACACCCTAAACCCCTAAAAGCCTAAACCCTAAAACCTCTAAGCTCTAAACCCTTTCTAAACGCCCTAAACCCCTTAAAACCTAAACCCTACAACCTGAAAACTCTAAACCGTCTAAACCTTAGAAGCTGCCCCCACCCTGTAATAGTGACTATAAGGATTATATTAGGGCACTATTATATTCCTGCTATACCACTATTACAGGGTGGGGGCCCCTTCCAATCCAAACCCTATAAAGGGAACTCCAGAAAGTTGGAATATGGAATAATGGTAGGATCCCCTATAATTTACCTTAAAGGGGTTACGATAATGATATTCCAACTTTCTGGCTTTTACCTTAAGGCTAGACGGGCAAGCTAGGCCCACACCGACCAGCCCGAAGAGCTTCGTTTACCTCGGGCCCGGGGATGCCATCCTCCACCGCCTTGTGGCTTCCATAAGCGCCGGTTTTTTTGGGGGGGGGCCCTCATAATTTTCTTTTTTTTTGGGGGGGGGTTTAGGGTATGAGGGTTTCATAGTATGAGGGGTTTTCTCTTTGAGGGTTTAGGGTATGAGGGTTTAGGGTTTAGGGGATTTAGTGTTGCGTTTTTTTAGGGTTTTAGGGTATCGTACAGTCCCCATCGATGCAAGGACGCGACAAAACGCAGCAGAACTCTGCTCTCATTGCCACGGCCCCTAGATTCAGGTTTCGGCTCCCCCAAAGAAGGCCCTACCCAAGGGCCCTAAAGTAGTTCCTTTTGGGGATTACCTTATAGGATTCTTTTTTTCAATGAACCCCAAAAAGGAACTACTTTGGGGCCTTAGGGTAAGGCTAAGGGTGGAGGGTTTGGGGCTTCAAGCATTTAAGGTTCCAGGGTTTAGGGTTTTGGGTACCCTAAACTCCAGCACACTACAGTGAACCCTAAGCCCTGAACCAAAGCTGTGGGGAACCAAGCGTCTTAAAGAATTTCAAGAACCGAGCTCCGGCGAGGGTGCAGTTCAGGGATCAGGGTTTATGAATTCGGGGTTTGGGGTTTCGCGGTTTAAGGTTTTGGCATTCTCGGGCTGTACGCCTGAAGCGGAGGTTTTTGTTTTGTGATGAAGAAGCGACGGGGCTTTCCGGGCACCTTCTTTTCGAGGTCTTCTTCTATGCGGGTCCTCCTTTTGAGGATCCATATTTGGGCCTCTCATGTTCAGATACCAGCGACGTCTACCCTCCAGTTTAATTAGTTCACGGTTCAGGTGGGAAGATAGACTCTAAACCCTACAAGCTCTAAAGCTTTAGGGGATATTCCTTGGTTTTGAGACATCAAGGCCATCAGCACGGTGGCTTTAGGGGTTTCGGTGATTTCGAGCGGTCGGATAGGGATTCGCAGTTTGGGAAGAGTAGGTCTGGGGGCTGGACGGTAATTGTCGACCCTTTGGGGTGGGAATATGGGGGCCTTAGTAGTTGCCTGTACTAGTTTGGTGGCTCCTTATTATGATTAGAGTAAACTGGGCCCCGAAACCCTATTCTAATTATTAAGGTCCCTGTAGTAGATAAATTGCTACCCTACTTGTAGTTTTGGGCGAGACCACTCCGGCCCTACGGTAGAAGGTTCAGGACTCGGGGGGCCGTCGCGCTTCCTTGAAGCCTGAGTATGAACATCCTGCAGCACCAAAACCACCTAATCCTCTACAACCCTCCTTCAAGCCCTGAATCCATGCCCTGAATTACCTGCTCCCGGGTACTACAGAGCTTGCAAGATTCAGCAACAACATCCCCTTCTGAACTTCTAGTCCGTGCAGGATCAGCCAGTGCAGGATCAAGCCCGAACGGGGGGAGGGGTAGAATCTCTGGACGCTCGGCGCACATCAAGGCCCCGCATTGTATTAGACCCCTATATAGCGAATCCACTAAAAGGCAAAACGCTTAAAATGCAACACAACAAATCCTAAACCCTACACCCGGAAGCTCTCAGGCTATGATCTTCGACATGGCGTGGAGGCGACGGATTTGGATTCTGGGTCCAGGGTTGACGCTTTGAGCTTGTTTGGGGGCACCAGGATTATTTTGGGCAGGAAGCGGATTCTTTTTGAACTTCACCAAGAGCAGACCACACAAGAAAGAATCATCAACAACGTCATCACCACACCGCCACTTCTTCTTGGCCATGGCTGATCTCTAACTGCAGGCACCCAATCCTCCCAAGTTGGTAGGGTTGGGCGCCTCTTGCTACTCCTAGTGCTAATGCTACTGGTACTGCTAGTTGTAGCAGTAGTAGTAGAAGTTATTATTGTTATTATTATTATTACTATTATTATTATGATTAGTAGTAGTAGTAGTAGTAGCAGCAGCAGCATCATGAGAATGAGAGATATGAAGTTGGGCTGTTGGCCGGAGTGGTTATATTGAAAACAAAAGCGCAGGCCCCCTTCGACGTGGTTTTCTGTTTGGTTGAGGTCCGAGGATTCTCGTACAGGTAGGGTTTCGGGATGTGTATATAGGGCTCCGTTGAGTATCGCCAAAAAGGGCTCCTTTGATGAAAATTAGGGCACCCTAAACCCAAAGCCCTAAACCCTAAACCCCAAACCTTATTAGAGTCTTAAGGAGTATACACAAAGCTCCTTTCAAGATTGGTGAGTGCATATTTTCGGTCGTACCCGGGCTGGGGAGACATCACCTCGAGCCTTCATTGAAGGCCGATTTTCCACAGGCTCTGACTGATGAAGACTCGGGATACCCCAAATTGCCGCAAGCTCGGGATCCTAGATCCCTGAACTCGAGGGTTTTCGGGTTCAGAGCTCATGGTGTTACACCGTTTCGGATGCTTAGGGGTTAAGGACTCATCGGTTTCGGTACCGGGTGTGGGGTTTATCGGTCTGGGATGCAGGGTTTGGGGACGTTCAGGAATTCGGGATCAGAAGTGTCCAGGTGTTTAGCATTGAACACTTCCGTTGTTGGAGTTCTGGCACGAATTGAGCTTTTCTTTCCAAAATATTTTGGTGGGTTTCCGAAAAATCTGGGAACCGTTTTCCAGAGCTCGCGGAATCCTAAGAAAGCCTGTAACCCTGACTAAGGTATCCTGAGCCATCCCAAAGCATAAAGGGAGTTCTGAGCGTCCAAGTCCTGCAGATCTCAAACTTAAGGCCCCGGTTGCCAGGTGATGCACGGCGAGCGGTACAGCCTCATCTTTTGGTTCAAGGATGGATCTTCTTGGGTTTTGGTTCAAGGATGGGAATTATTAGTATAATTGTAATTGTTATTACTATTATTATATTTGAAATATAGATATTAGTGGAATTATTATAATGATCTTCTTGGGTCAAGAACTGCAGGGTTCACAATGGGCTTGGCCACAATGTAAGCAAGTCTCAGGGTGTAATTGAGGGTCGAATTCATGCTGCTGTGCCTTAGAGCTCCCTCTCTGAAGGTTCCCTAAAACCCTTTTCTCATTATGAAGGCTCCTAAATATGAGTGAGTTGGGACCTTGGGGAGGACTCCTTGGATTCCTGTCGGCTGGGTACGACTCCCTGGCTGCCTGGTGGTGAACGGGGTGCACAAGGTTTAAGGTGTATGTATACTTGAGACTTGAGATGATTGTTGGAATCTTGCGGACATCGAAGATTTCCACCTAAACCCTAAACCCTAAACATGAGACTTGTTGCTGCCGCCTCCTTTGCTTCAGAGTTCCGGGCTCAGGGCTGCATCTGGAGGTCTTCCTCGCCTGAGCCCCTGACCCTTTAGGGTCTAGGGTTTAGGGGTTTAGGGGTTTAGGGTTTAGGGGTTTAGGGTTTAGGGGTTTAGGGGTTTAGGGGTTTAGGGGTTTAGGGTTTAGGGTTTAGGGGTTTAGGGGTTTAGGGGTTTAGGGTTTAGGGGTTTAGGAGTTTAGGGTTTAGGGGGTTTGGGGGTTTAGGGGTTTAGGGCTTTAAGCCAAGTCCAAGAGGAACCCAATGCCCTAAACTGCCTCGGAGCCCAATAGAAACCGAGGCAGCTTCTCGGGCCTTAAGCAGGAAGAGCTTCTGAATTCCAGCTGATCCCCTCAAAACCTTACCCCGAAGTTCCGGTCTTAAATCCTCCTAAACCCTAAACCCTAAACCCTAAACCTAGACCCTAAACTCCAAAACCCTAAGATCCCAAAGCCCATGAATTGACAAGCCCAGACCTGAAGTCTGAGCAGCTTAGGGTTCAGGATTCAATGCAGCTTTTTTAGGGCCTTTAGGGTTTTAGGGTTTAGGGTTTAGGGTTCAGGGTTTGTTTTTCGGCTTTGGGTTTGTGGTGAGGTAGGCGTGGTTTGGCCTTGCAGAGTCTAGAGCCTGGGCTTCAGGTCAAACTCCCAAGTTTTGAAGACTAAGCCTTCGAAGGTACTGCGTGGCAGCCGCAGGAGGGGATGGCGATGCAGCCTACAACATCGCGAACCTCCTCTACCTGGACGGCAAGTAGCCAGGCTTAGTTTGACCGGGGATCTTGTCATTGGGTTTGCTTGCGCACACCCTGAACTCTGAAAGCTCTTCGGGATTTGGTTTTAGGAGGACTTGCAGGTCAAAGTTCAGTTGGAAGCCTTTCCCGCGATAGGCCTCCAGACCAATGCTCTACGGGTGTTTATTGTTTTGGGGGTTCCTTCTTATACCTTCCGAAGCCCTGTTCACGCGCACTTTGGACCATGTTTTAGGAGCCTTTCACCTCGCTTTTTACAGGGTTTTACGTTTTCGGCCTTTGGATTTGCCGCTGCACGCAGGCTTTTGCGACTTCGAGGGGTTGGGGGGGGGGTGGGGGGAAGGGGCTATTTCCGTCAGGTCGACTGCCACAACTCTACTACTACTACTACTACTACTACTACTACTACTACTACTACTACTACTACTACTACTACTACGACTACGACGACTACTACTACTACTACTACTACAACTGCTACTGCTACTGCTACTGCTACTGCTACTGCTACTGCTACTGCTACTGCTACTGCTACTGCTACTGCTACTACTACTACTACTACTACTACTACTACTACTACTACTACTGTTGTTTGTGTTGCTTCTGCTGCTGCTACAGCTGCGACGACTACTAGCACTACATAGATAGGAATACTACGCTTACAGGATTACTGCCATTATTGCTCGTGCTCCTCTTGCTTCTGCTGCTGCTATTGCTACTGCTACTGCTGCGGCTACTGCTGCTGCTACTGCTACTGCTGCTACAGCCAAACTCGGGTTTAGGGTTTAGAAGTTCAGGGTGTAGAGGTGTAGGGTTTTAGGGTTTAGGGATTTAGGGTTTAGGCTTTAGGGGTTTACGGTTTAAGGGTTTAGGGTTTGATTTCCGCTTGCCAGAGCCGTGAGATTCCTCTGATAAATCTTTGATCTCCGCTTGTCAGAGCTGTGAGATTCCTCTGATAAGTCTTTGATCTTGTCAGAGCTGTGAGATTCTTCTGATAAATCTTTGATTTCCGCTTGTCAGAGCTGTGACATTCCTCTGATGAATCTTTGATTTCCGCTTGTCAGAGCTCTGAGATTCCTTTGATAAATCTTTGATTTCCGCTTGTCAGAGCTGTGAGATCCCTCTGATAAATGATAAATCTTAGAGTTCCGCTTCCACAAAAGGCGCACCCCTGCTGTCATGCGGTCAATTGTTTCCACTTTAACCGTCCCACTGCTGTCACGTGGTTAAAAAGTTTCCAGTAAACGGAAAACTACCCCCAAAAAAAATCAAAATCAAAGACATTTTAGAAACACGTTCAAGTCACCAAATGCCACGCCTGGCACGAGTTTCAGGGATATCACAAAAACTTCAAATCAAGAAGCGGCTACATGTATTGAAATTGCGTCCGCGTATCTGGGTCAAAACTTCCACTCGTGTGCGTTCTGCGTGCACTTCAAACCATGCAAACATGGCAAATTCCTCGAGTTCTTGAGGGTGCACTGCACATATGTGACCTCATCACGTGCTCAAGGGCCTCCGCGTCCTGTTTTTACGAGGCGAAATGCTCCTCCAAAATTCAGCCCTTTTGGTTTCTTGTTGTTCTACCATCGTCGAACGCGCAAATTCTCTCGAGTTTTTGACACTTCCTCATGGAGTTCAGTCTATGAACAGACCACACAAAATTCAGTACGTTGCCATCTTCATAGCTTAAAAACACTCTTGTTGGCAGCTGTTCCGAGGTCAAAACTCGAGTATTTTTAGTGCGTTTGCGTGCAGAATCGTGTGATTTTCGCACGCAGGCACATCAATATACATATTGTGCTTTTCGTGGTATTTACAATGTAAAACGCTTCTCTGTCCTGCCGCGCGCGCGCGTGGACAGGGCTTCGGAGCGTTATAATTATAGAAACCCAAATTTAATGAATATGGCTCCTATATTAGTTGGGCCAGGAGGTCACTGTCCAATTCAGAACGAGCTGTCGATGAACATCGCAAGCTTCGTGTGTTGCACACGTAACGAATCCCTCTGAGCTTGAATCCTAAACCCTCGAACCGAAACAAACACTCCAACATCTCAAACCAGGCTGGCAGAAGCACGTTCCTGGTATCTTGCAGCCGCCACTGCCGGACAAGCTGATGCAGCTTTGAACCTAGCAGTGACTTGGATGCTCAATATCTTAACTACTGACACCAGTGTGACACCAGTGCAGTCCTAGCGCAACATACGGTAGCCTGCCTTTAACCCACCGGAGTCATACGATGGGGGTCGGAACTTCTAGCTGTACTATCCCTTGATACGTAGTGCCTGTAGAGTTACAGCGTAATGTAAAGGCCCCACAGCCCCCCCACGGCCCTCTTCTAATCATGAGTTGAGGCCCCTGGTATTACCAAAGCCCACCGAAATCACCTTCTGGATATCTCGGCTCCTCCGCTTAAAGGATCTTGGGACTTGGTAGATCATTCTTCCGGTTACAAGTACCCAAGCTGGGCTATTGTGACTATATAGCCCTTATAGCCTACTTCCTACGTCTCTTGAGCCTTCGAGTTCACTTTAGACTCTAACATCCCTAAAGCCCTAAAGCCCCGAGAGCCCTTAAGCCACTGAGCCCCAGTGAGCCTTCAGAAGCAGCAGTCCGTAGACAATTTTATAGTACAGTAGGCCCCATAGCCCATTATTACCATCAGGGCCCCCACATATGTAGAGTTTTCACCATTATTTTGTGGTGTTACACACACGCTTGTGGTTTGCACTCTTTTGTGGTGTTTAGGGTTTGCACTCTTTTGTTGGGTTTAGGGGCTTTGGGTGTAGAGGAGTTGTTGTTGTGTTCCACATGAAAAGTTTGGAGATACACACACAAGCCTTCATGGAGTATATGATGCGTTTATTCATGTGTGTGTGTGTGTGCTCACTCCTACTCCTACTTCTACTCTCACCACGACACATTACCAGCGCTGCTACCAGCACCCAGCCTGCAATGTAGGGGCCAAAATCATTGGCAATAATATTTTGGGGGGTTCCTTACTATAACTATAGTATAACAAAAGCACCCCAAACCCTACCAGTACCATAATTATGGATTTTAGTGTAACCTACCCCAAAGCCCCATCCTAACCATTAAGAGCCCCATCCACAGCACTTGGAGGGTCGGGGGACTTAGTAACTGGTTATTTCAGGGACTTATAAGTACCATAACCCCAATTAGGGTCCCGTTTAGGGTACTCATAAGTCTACTTACTACCTACTTACTAAGTCCCCCGACCCTCCAAGTAGGCATCTAAGGACTCATATAGGGTTCCTTTAAAGGGATCTATAAGGGGTCCTTTAGAGGGTTCTATCCACAGCAGAGAGGTGATGTCCGACCAGGGCTTGGGTGGCGCCCGCGACCCGCAGGAGGCCCAGTGCTGGTTCGAGGCAGGGCTAGGCAGCTTTCGGGGCCTCTTTTCGGGGTGCAGTTTAGGGCTTTGGTGGTTGAGGGTTTAGGGGTTTGGGGGTTTAGGGCTTTGGGGGTTTAGGGTTTAGGGCTTTGGGGGTTTAGGGTTTAGGGGTGTTTGGGGGTTGAGGGTTTAGGGGTTTGGGGGTTTTAGGGTTTAGGGCTTTGGGGGTTTAGGATTTAGGGGGTTTAGGTGTAGGGACCTTAATAGTTAGCTTAGAATAAGGTTTTGGGGGACTCCTTTTTCATGTAATTATAGTATAACAGACCCGCAAAACCTGATTCTAATGAATGATTAAGGCCCCTACATTCGCGGTTTAGATTTAAGGTTAGGGTAGAGCATCGAGGACTGATGGTTTCAGAGTTGTACGGGATGTCGTATGGCTCTTTTGCGGCTGTTATACAGCGTACGGGTTTTGCGAGGGTTCTATGGGGTGTCTTGGATTTTTTTGATTTTATTACATTTTGGAGTAAAGCCTTTCTTTCACCTTAAACCCCACACCCCGGGGCTTCAGAGTTTGAGGGTCCGGGTACGGGGTCTTGGGTTTAGGCAGATGATGGGGCTTCAGCATTTCACAGTTTCGTTGGTCATGTTGACAGCAGGGTGTTATCATGCTTTACAAGTCGTCAGGGGGTAGGATTTGGGGATTTGGGGTGTCGCAGTTGCTTCGGGTTTAAACTCTTCAACCCTCGGGTGCGTCGCCCTGCCCTTTGCGTTTCGGATTGGCATCCGCCGGGTGAAGTTTCAAGCATTAGTGATTTAATTTATGCTATTCCCAAGAGTTCCGTGTATACCCCAAAAGCCTGTTGCAATTGGAAAATGACAAGGCCCCTATAAGACTCTCTTTCCGAACAACAAAAACAAGAGCTGCGCGGTCAGCATAACTAAGAATTTGGATGTCGGTGCCGGAAGGACGACAGTATTGCCAATGGTACTGGTGGCTGACAGTATTGGCAGTGCTGTTATTATCATTATCGCTCGGAGTGGTGTCATCACCCACATCACTACAACATGCTGCTGCTTCTCGTGGCAGTGATGCTCCTGCTACTGCTGCTTGCTGGTGGTGCTGCTGCGGCTGCTGCGGCTGCTACTGCGTCCAGCTCACAGCCGCCACGCCAACGAGCACCACGATTACGAAGATGGCTATTGCAAGTATATATATATATATATATATATATATGCTCTCCCTCCTTCTTGTTCATGTTGTGCTTCCGTTTGCCCAGAAGCTGAAGCTTGGCATCCAGCCAGCGAAGGCGGCATCCGAGCGCGGCAAGGGGGCCGCATCCCGGTGTCCCGGCGTGGTCTTGGAGGCTGAAAGCTCATAGGAGGTCAAGGGGTGTTTTAGCCTAGTGGGGTTTAGTAGGGATTAGGGTTCCCATAATAGGGCTCATATCAAGGAACCCCTGCCCCAAGAATCTTAAACCCCCTTTTTTGGCCTCCCGTCAAAACCGATCTCAGGCTTGGGGTTTTGACGGCTTCGCGGGTTGGCTTTCTGTTGGGAAAAATTCGGCTGCAAGGCCTGCCTGTTTTGGGGGGGGCTCAGTGTCCTGTTCCAATGACTCGATTTGTAGGCTTGGAAACGGAGGTATCGATTCGGACGTATATTTTAATGTCTATCATTGTTTAATACCGAGCCCTAGTCGCTTAAGACCGGCAGTGCGCTGTTGATAGGGAAGTTACTTCTTGGCAACACGCATCGACAAGCTTCGATCAGACTTTAGCCATGGAATTTGTGGGAAATCCAAGCTGTTTTTGGAAAAAAAAACCTTTCACGCATTTTAAGCTGTGTGTGCGATTGGCCAAAGTCGTATTTCTGAGACCTCCATGTTCAGTTTTGTCCGGAAGGTGTTGCTGCGCGAAAGGCTGCGACTGCGCATTAGGTACGGCTCGTGTGGCAAGAACCTCGCTTAGAATTGTCTTACGACCAAGATTTGCTGTTGAACTTAGGATGCCAGGGACAGGGTTCAACGACAAGTATCGTGGTCTCTCTCTCTCTCTCTCTCTCTCTCTCACACTTCAACTCAATCCCCAAAATACTACCACCCCAGACTTCTTCAGCGGCATGTTCAATTCCAACGGCAGATACCGTGCACTTGAGGCACTTGGCTGTGCAGCATCTCCAATCTTCAAGACCAAGTCGACGATGGCGAGGCCTAATACTTGGGAGTTCCCGAAAACTGGGGGTACATTATTTTGGGGTCCTTATAATCAGGATCCTACACTTGGGGTACTATATTAGGGTCCCCTTATATTCGGAAACCACCACCTCGCAAATACTTGGCCAGATTCTTTTGGAGCTTTCGAGCTCGATGACCCCCTGTTGCAGTCCTAAGGAGATACGATACCTATCGTATCCATCATTCTGATGATTACCGAATTGTAAACCCTTAATTCTATAAAGCCTAAGCCCTACACCGTGATCCTGGATGGACCATCGTGCGAGCGAAAGGCCACTGCACTTTAAAAAAAAAAAACCTAAACCCTGTAACCCTAAAAACCCCTAGGCCCTGTGTTGAGCGGAGCGTAGCACCGCAGCGTCATCAGTTGTCGTAAGCGCCTTGGTAAGTGGCTTTTAAGGATTTCGGGTGCTACCATCAATGCCGTCATCTATTACCTGCTTATATACTTTGTTTACTACTTGTTCGTGCATTTAGTATGACCAAAACCATTGTTATCATTAGCAAGCATTAAAATGATTATTGTTGTTAGTATCTTTGCTATTACGACTTTACGGTTGCTGCTATGCCAGAAGATTGTGCACCGGCATTTCGACAGCTGCGTCGAGGCCCTGCTCGACACCTAAAGTTGCAGAGCATTCCTTCAGAAAAGGATCCCCTGAAACCTAAGCCCACACCCAAAACGCTCAGAGGGTCCGTCCGTTTAAGTGTTTATGGCCCTCGCCCGGGAAAGCCTTCTACGAAGAAGGCATGCGGAAGGTTTGGTTTCAAATTGGGGGCGTTCTACTTGGGGAACAAGTGTTCTAGGATTCGCAGTCTTGTGAAGTGGGCGGGGGAGTGTGGTTTTCTCCATTAATTACTGGACCCAAGCCCCCACACTCCGAAAGAACCCTCCAAAGTCTTGACTCAGATCCCTACCCTAAACCCCTCTAAACACCCCAAGCCCTAAACCCCTAACCAGCCTTAAAAACCCTATAAACACCCCAAACCCTAAACCCCTAACCAGCCTTATAAGCCCTAAAAATGAAGCAAGGCCTGTGGCGTTTATAAACCCCATAAACCCTAACTACTATTTGCTTAAGAAACCCCACAAAAATAAAAACAATAATAATCCCTATATTACCTCCATAAGGAATACATTTTTTATTTTTTGGGGGTTCTTAAGCAAATAGTAGCTAAACTTGAGAGTCGCACAGGACTCCGCCTCCTTGCTCGCGCAGCGAGTCTGCACGACACGCAGGCTGGGTTCAGTCCTCAGGCTTTAGGGCTTTGACCCCTAAACCCCTAAACCCCTAAAGCCCTAAAGCCCTATCCCTAAGCCCCTAAAGCCATCCCTAAACCCCTAAACTAAACCCCTAACCCCTAAGCCGCTGGGGTTCGTAAACTTCGGTCCGTTCTCCGGGGTTCTTGTATTAACGGACGCTTGTATTTGGGGTTCTTTTTGGATCCCTTACCAGGGCTTTTGGTCCTGTGTAGAGAGATCCCGTGGCTTTTCTGGCGCCCCCTTGGGCTTTGCACCGTGATCTAGCTGCGCGACCCTGATACTTCAGGCCTTCAGCTTTCAGATATGACACCTTGTTCGGGTGGATGCGGCCACTCTGAAGTTGAAGTGCAATACTGTGATACTAGAGCCTTTGAAATTGATCCAGGTCTGCATCCCAAATTCCCTAACGCCCGACACCCTAAACCCTTAACACCGGAATCCTTAATTCAGCCCTTCACCCTACTAACTCTCTGGACCTGACAAACTCTAAGCCCTCACATTCGACTTGATGTCGCGAGATGTTTCCGAAATTCCTACTAGCTTCAAGCAATCCCAGAGCCGAAGGAGGCGACATTAATGAGAACCTACAATGCCTGTTAACTAGGAGGGATAGCAACCAAACACCCAATGCAACCTTTCTGGAACACACGTTCTTTTCTGATCACCTGGACCAGCACGATTAGCAGTGTGGGTGTCGTCACCACTGTGAGGTTCGGATCGGCTTGTGTCTATACAGCAAGATTTACTCTTGGGTTTTCCAGGATGTTTACGAAGGTTCAAAGCTTACAGGTCTTTTCATCGTTCGAGTTTAGTATACTATAGGGGCCTACAACAACCAATACTATTTTGGGGGTTCATGATAAGAATTATACAATAATGGGCCCCAAAACCCTCTTCTAATTATTAAGGCCCCTATACTACCCCCCCCGATACCCTATTCTAAGCGAAAGCCCGAAGTCCAGGCCGCAGCCGAGGGTTTAGGGTTTAGGGTTTAGGGCTTTTGCCACCATGCTTTCTGCCTCACTATGCTGGGTCGGTCCACTAGGCAGGGTATGTTGCAAGACGATGGAAAGGCGGATGAGTGCACAACCCAAGCCTGATACCGAAGCCATAAACCTTGCCCTAAACTGAGCGCCAGGCTCTTCAACCCACAGCTCCGCATCCTAAACCCAGGGCGAGACAAAGGGCATCAGAAAACAAATGTTCAAAAGCCCGTATAATAGGGGTCGCTTGACTCGCTTTTGTGAGCGACTGATGTCGGAATAGTGTGTATATGATATTATTCCTTAGGGTTCCTTGCCTGTGTTATCGCATCCCCAAAGCATTCTTCCAATTATTCAGACCCCTGCATACATTGAGCGTTAAGCTCCTGAGTGCTTCTGACCGTCACCTAAACCCCCCTAAAGTAGGTCAAACGACTATAAAAGGCCATAACCCTAAACCCTAAACCCTAGTCTTGGGGTCCAGGCACTGGTGCTGTTGCATCAGCTACCCTCGGCTACCACGGGGCTGGACTTACACGGACGAAATCTCTGCCTACGCCTAGCAGCAGAGAGCCCCGGCTACTGACCTTGTATGGCTTTAGTTTATATCGTTAGGGTTCGGGTGCCAGGCACAAGGTTTCAGGTTTGGGGTTTCGCACGGTCTAAGGTTTAGTTTTTCGGGTTTAGAATTTCTTACGTGTTTCCACAGTATTGATTTGGACAGCCTAATGCTTTGGACGCGTGCTCCGCATTTGGAGTTCAGAATCCTACGTTAAACCCATATGATACCTTCCCCAACAAGGGCCCTAACCCCTAAACCTGAGGAAGGGCAATCTCCAAGCTCAGCTGGAAGTGGGCAGCGAGCTCCTAGAAAGATGGTACTGCTTGGTCGACTCCCCTTCTTCCTTCTCGGCTTCTTGGCCTGCGAATATAGGGTCTGCATACGTATATGCAGTAATTACTAAAAATTGTAAGACTATCCCTGGCTTCTTTCTAGATTTCTACTATAGTATCCGGAAACCCAATTGCACTTGTTAGGGCCCTTAGACTATGCGGAGAATTGATTCTGGTTTATCGTTTAGTAGCAGTTCCTTGAAGTACCGTGAGTACAGTTTCCCCAGGATCGACGCAACATGTTCACTTTCTTCATATGGGAATCATGGAAACGGCTATAATATAGGGGTCGGAACAAGTAGTAATTAATACTACAGCATTCCTTTAGGCTACCATGGTACAACATTTTCTTGGCCTTGTTTCTTTCGCGCAACTCACACCCGATCCCAACGTGGAACCTACATTGCAGATCTAGACTGGGACGTTCAACTGTTGAGCCGATTCTGGCGCACCTGTCATAGCAACAAAATGTGCCCTTAGCCCAATCCTAAAGGCAAGCTTGGAGCCGCACCTACCTGTTGCCTACAAGAGCCTTCAAGGGAGCCCCAGTTCAGGACAAGCTCTAGTCTCAAGCCGCAGGGAGCCTTTAAATGCTAAAGAGGTGCCTTGTATTCTGTGTTATTCTGTTTAGCCCCTTGAGTCAGGTTTGGGCTTTGCGGTGCTTAGCCCTGGGTCACTTTGATCGTCTCACAATGCCATTTGCTTCTTGAACACTAAGCACCACCAGTGACTAGCATCTCAATCCACACACCACTCGGCAGGTCCACCCGCATGTCATGCCCCATACAGCCTCTTTAGACCCATAGCTCTTACCTGGACCCCGAAGGTATGTAGAATAATGGCCTTTTATAGGTTTTGGATTATTGTTAATTTTTGGGGGTTTAGGGACCCTGCACCCAGAAACCGAACCCTAAACCCTAAAACCAGAACCCGAAAAATGGTCCCCAACCCGGCAGTGCTGAGGAGTGCCAGCGACTCTGGGCCCGTGCCGAAGGATTTCTGCAGCGTGCCGCGAACGCAGGCTCTGCCCTAGCTCCGGATGGCACTTCGGCGATCTTCCTTGCGCCAAGCCCATTAAAAAAGCAAAAACATACACATATATATATATATATATATGTATATACACACACAGAATATGTACATATATATTATGTGTATATATATATATATATATATGTGTATATACATATATATATATATACATATGTATATACCCTAAACCCCTAACTAGCCCGACACGCCGTGGGTTAATTAGAGCATATGTATCGCACGACTCTGAGCTCAAGATCCCTGCAGGGTTGTACGCAGTGACTCAGCATTAATGTAGGCGCCGAAAAGCACTACCAACACTGTTTTGGGGGTTCCTAATTATGATTCTAGTATATTGGGCCCCAAAGCCCTTTCTAGGTATTAAGGTATTAAGGCCCCTACATTCTGCCCAAGCCTCGGTTCGATGCCATGCTTCAGTCCGCAGCCACTAGCACTGTGTCACGCACATCACGGGGGGGGGGGGGAAGGCATGGGACCCCCGCCTTCCGGCAAAACCAATGAACCACTCTGAGCACATACATAGACTCTCACTCTCCATCCTAGACCATGAAACCTCATCAAATAAGGTTGAAAGCATGAGGAATCACCAATGTTATTCCAAAGGGCTCAGTTCTACCATTAATGTACACCAAAACCCTGTTCTCGTTATTCAGGCCCTTATACTATAGAACCCTTGCCGAAACCCTGCTACAGAGCCGTGAGAATCCTTTTCTAATTATTGAGGCCCCTAAGCCCTTTACCCTGAACCCTAAACCCTTAAGGCCCGTTTCTGCTTCAGGCTCAGCCACTGGCCGACAAAAAGAAAGAATGCGCCTATCTTACCAGCTGTTCTCCCTAGCTACATTTGCAGTATTCGGATAATCTTTATCAACACTTAAGGTTAGAGAACACAACGTCATGGGGGCCCCGAGTAAGCAAAAAACGCAGGCCCCCATGACGTGGATTTCTGTAAGGTTAGGATAGGTTACCCTAAGGCCCCAAAGTAGTTCCTTTTTGGGGTTCATATACAGAATCCTATAAGGTAATCCCCCAAAGGAACTACTTTAGGGCCCTTGGGTAGACTAGGTTAGGTAGGTTAGTTCAGCACTCATAGGAGACGCGGACTCCGCCTTGCGCTTGGCAGCCGCCTGGCGCCACCCTGAGGCTTGTGCTTTCCAGGTGACGAGAGATTTAGGGTTTACATACAGTCTCCATTGTAGTTCCTTTTTGGGGTTACCTTATAGGATCCTAATTATATAATTGGTTAAACCAAAAAAGGAACTACAATGGAGACTATAGGTAGGTTAGGGGCCCCCACCCTGTAATGGTGGTATAATAGGAATATAATAGGGCCCTAATATAATCCTTATAGTCACTATTACAGGGTGGGTGGGGGCAGCTTCTAAGGTTTAGGCCGCAAGGTTTAGAGTTCACGGTGTAGGGTTTCGCGTTCAGTTTGATTCTTGCTGCCAAAGTCTAAAAGCAGAGACCGGTGCTCTAGGACCATGCGAAGAGTCTTTGTCAAAGCTGGGGGCTTTTCAGGATCTGCAGCATTTTGTGGTTTCGCTGCTTGGGGCTCTGGGGTTTAGGGTCTGGGGGTTTGGGGTCTAAGGTTTTGGGATCTTCTGGGGGTTTGCTGGAGCACTGCGGTTCCGGAGGCACCTGGAACTGAATGTTGATCGAAGTTCGTACTTAGAAATATCTTTGTTTTTGTTAGTATAATCCCTAAGAAACAGCTAAAATTATAATTTGTGCTAGGGTTCTAAGTTCAGTATAGTGTATGCAAGTTCGTTGCGGTCTGCAGTGTTTACACGCTTGTGCGACTGCAAACTCGACGGATGGGGGTCAGGTGTTTGCCGTTTGGTGGTGTCTCTGTGTGCGCACGCGCATTTTGAAGCCTCGATTAAGGCATGACCTGTTCACCAGGTCGAGTGTTTTTTGGAATATTGGACTGTCAAAGATTTCGCATGATGGAGGTATTGACTCTTTTGGGGTCAGATTAGCATTAAGGCCATTAAGGGTTCTTGGGGCTTAGGCCAGTAGCTCTGCAGGGTACTGTTCTGTGTGGGCCTTTCGGGTTTGTGAAAGTTTAGGTGCAGGCTTTCAGAATGTGTTGGCTCTGCCGCTGTCAGTGACTGGGGCATTAAGACGGTGTGCCACCGGCAAACTCCGTTCGGTCTTTGGTCAGAAGGCTTCCAGGGGTATTAGGCTGGGGACCTGGGAAGCCATAACAATTCCGCATTCCCGCAAGCTTCTACTGACGTCTCAAGAAGCTGGATGCTTCCTCGAAGAAGAGGCATCTACACCCCACAGCTCAAACCCATAGGTCGGGGTTTTGCGATTTAGTTTAGGGGTTAGCCTGTGGCCCCAGTATGCCCCAGTCCAAGATGATGCCCGCAGGCCGTCGTCAAGGGCAGCGTCAGGCCTGGGTTTAGGGTTTAGGGTCCAGATTGTCTTAAGGGTTTGTTGGTGCAGGATTCATAAATCCCAAGCCTTGGACCTTGAACAGTGGTCTGCAAACCCTAAAATCTTTTAGAACTGAAGACGAAACCCTAGCAGCATACAAAGTGGGATAGAGGCTGATCGCGGGCTTGTGTCAAGCCACAAGTTCAAAGTCTAGTCTACTTTCGTCAGGGATCAGGATTGAGTACAAAAGGGTGCATAGGGTTGAAACAGGCGTACGTTTCAAAAAGAAGCCCATGATTTGGGGCTATGCGCGTTTTGAAAGGTACTCCGGGAAGTCTGGGGGCTCCAGGTGACTGCGAAGTATAGCCCTCCTATGATCACAATCTTGAAGAGTCTTCGTCCCTTGAGAAAGTAGTTATGTAAGTAACCATGGCCCCAACATGAATAGGTGTAGGAGCAGTGGCAGTGGCAGAAGCATCAGCAGCAGCAGTCGGGGTGGTGGTGGTGGTGGTGGTGGTGGTGGTGGTGGTGGTGGTGGTGGTGGTGGTGGTGGTGGTGGTGGTGGTGGTGGTGGTGGTGGTGGTGGTGGTGGTGGTGGTGTGGTGGTGGTGGTGTGGTGGTGGTGGTGGTGGTGGTGGTGGTGGTGGTGGTGGTGGTGGTGGTGGTGGTGGTGGTGGTGGTGATGGTGTGTGGTGGTGGTGGTGGTGGTGGTGGTTGTGGTGGCGGTGGTGGTGGTGGTGGTGGTGGCGGTGGTGGTGGTGGTGGTGGCGGTGGTGGTGGTGGTGGTGGTGGCGCTGGTGTCGGTGCAGAGGGAGTCGTAGTCGTAGTCGCCAAAGAGGAGTGGAAGTAGAGGTAGGAGCAGGTCTGGGACTAGGAGCAGGACAAGGAGGAGGTAGCAGTAGTAGTAGTAGTAGTAGTAGTAGTAGTAGTAGTAGTAGTAGTGGTGGTAGTAGTAGTAGTAGTAGTAATTAGTGTTCGTTGTCGTCGTCGTAGTAGTAGTAGTAGTAGTAGTAGTTGTTGTTGTTGTAGTTGTAGTAGTAACCCTAAACCCGACCAGCCAACTCCAGAAGGCGGCCCTTGCACGAGAGCTGGCGGTGGCTACGCCGCGCCCTCCATGCTGGCGCTGGGACGACCGGCCCTTTGGCGCAGCAGGCCGGCGTTACCGGTTCAGGTTTAGGGTTTCGGCCCCTTTGGCGCAGCAGGCTGTTATGCTGTCCCCCGCTTTGGGGTGAGTTGAGGGAGGTTGTTCTGAACTGGTAAACCACTGCTACCGTCGATGCTGTGCTCATGTTCCGCAAAGTTAATTGTTTGGGGTTGACGGTTTAGTTACCTTGGGCTCTTCATCCAGGCAGCTGCTCTGTATGCGGAGCACTATGTTGCCGTGCAGCCCTTGGCAGCGGCTTTTGCCTTGCGGCATCAGGACCATTCGGAACAGCGCAGTCAGAAACACTCAAGCCCTAAATAAATGACTCCTGCCCGGAATCTGATGTACAGGAGAGGGTTTCGGGGGTAATATCAGGGCCTTAATGGTTAGAATAGGGCTTTGGGGCCCATTATGCTCTAACTCTAGCTATAAGAAGGAATCCCCCCCAAAATAGTAAATAATTAATCAGTCTTCCTTCTGTGAACTGTTGCCTTGAAGGGCTTTCGGCCCGAAACCCTAGACTATAGACCCTAAACCCCTAAACCCCTCAACCCTAAAGCCTAAACCCTAACCCATTTGCAGACGGAAAAAGCGCCTTCAAAAAACAAAAACCTCAACCCTAAACCCTAAACCCTGGCTCTGTTTGGGTCGAGCTCCGGGCCGAAACTCAAACTCTACAAACCCGAGGGCTGGCGTAAAGCTTTCTGGTCTCGGAATCCTAGCCTTAAACTGCCATAGCCTACTTTTTTGGAGGCTCTTATTTTGAGTCCTAACATGGATTTTTTAGGGACCCTACAAAAAGTAGGTTATGGTAGTTTAAGGAAAGCTTAAGAGGCAGAACAACCAGATGAAGAACAAATCGAAAAAGTATCACGCTGAGCCTTAAATCTACAAAACGAAGTATAACCCTGAGCCCTAAACCCGAAGCAACAAAAACCAATCCCATGTAGGCCCCGTTAGCAAAGCTGATCTCGGAAGATCTCGCGGTGACTGTGGAGTCACTGAACTGGTCAGCTTTAACGGCTCTACCACGCCCAGTACTACAAGGATACGCAATAAATTATTAATTATGCCATGGTTACATGACTAGGCATTATAAGGAATACTTTCGAAGGCCCCTTCAGGTTTAGGGTTTGAGTTCTACGGTTTGGGATTTAGGGTCGAAGCATTAGGGTTTATAAGGTACAGGATTCAGGCTGTTTTAAACTTGCATTCGAACGTTAGGGCTCAAGGTTGAGGGTTCGGGATTTCGGGCCCTTTCCCTCATGATAGAGCCTAAACCCTAAACCCTAAACTTCCTAAGCCATGTCAGCAGGACGACAGGACGCATGCAGGCGCAACTTCAGATGAGGATGGCTGAAGCAGCCCGGCAGTCAGGGTTTAGGGTTTAGGCTTTACCCATCACCCGTAACCCCGAGAATCCTATGTAAACACACAGTGTTTGAAGGTTTCGGTCGAAGGTTTGGGGGGTGAGGGTTCAAGTACAGAACCCCTTCCCCCCCAATACTCCGCCCAAGTACGAGATACATCGAACCAGTAACTAGTATTTTCTGCGAAAACTCAACTATATGAAGGGGGTCATTCTTTTAATCGTCCCGTTCCTCAGTGCCTTATTCCACAACTGATGGAGTATTCAGGTGAGCAGCTTGGATTTCGGGTCTTGGGATGATGCAGTCTCCGGTCTTCCCTCCGCTGCTCAGCTTGCAGATATGGGAGTTCCGAAAATTGGGGGTACCTTATTTGGGGGTCCTTATAATAGGGATCCCATTATTTAGGGTACTATACTAGGGTCCCTATTTTCGGAAACTCCCATATCTGAGGACACTCCACCTCGCCTGGAGGCCGGTGGGAGGAGACTCAAGAGACCGTGGGGTTTAGGGCAGTGGTGCCCTGGAGGATGGAACCCGAACCGCCAGGGGCAGGGCCCCCAACGACGTCGTGCGAACGGAGGTGGGTAAGCCGAAGCCTGGCCACGAAAAAGACGGCGGCGAAGACCTGGAGCAGGAAGCCTCCGTGCTCGCTGTGTGCCGACTGGGTTTTCTCTGACACGTGGGCACTGAGTTGGTGAACGTCCTGCATTTTGGTTGAAACTTGCTGAATTCGAGTTCAGGGCAGAGTTTGCAGCATTGGGCCCAACTTGGCATGGTCTTTCGTGGCGCGCCCGAAGTTCCGGTGATCTTGAACCGCCTGACATCGGCTGACTGCGGTCTTTCACATGGCATCCTCATGATCTCCCTGCCCGACACCAAAAGGCGTTCTTGTTCTCGCAGTTTCGCCGTGTATTCCTCAAGGTCCCAGCATCAAGGTGCCTGCCAGGCGATTCGATAGTGATGACGCGAAAATCCAGTGTCGCCTGACCGCTGCATGCAAGGTCGTCAGCTGTGGCCGTTTTACCCAACTTGCCGGATCCCCGTAAACCTCGGCCAAAGCCCTAAACCGACTTACGTGAATCTTGAGACCTCCCATGTACCAGTCTCAGGTTTATAGGGCTTAGGGCCTTCAACAAGTTCAACCATGAGCTCTAAAACCCCTGAACCACGAAGCCTAAATCCAAAGGCCCCCGGAGCCCGACCTTCTGGTAAAGTTTAGAGCTCAAACTCCTAAACTTCAAGCCCAAAACCGAGAATATTCGAGGGCGGCAAAAAACTGCATGTTTTGGGGGCCCAAGGCGGAGCAGGGGAAGTGACTACATGTTCGCAGCTGAAGGTATCATATACTCGTTTGTTGTTGAAGGCCAACTACGTTATGGTAGTTGAGGGCATACCATGCACTACTATACCGTCCAAACCCGAAGGCTTTGGCAGCCTGCGTAAAGCCGGTCACTAGCAGCACAGGCAGTCGAGGTGTCAGGTTTAGGGTTTCGGGTTTGTGGCATGGATTAGAGTGGGGGGCTTTGCATTTAAATAATACAATGGTCTACCCCAAAACCCTGCTCCAAATATTATGGCCCCTAATGCGGTTCGTCGCTAATTAAGAGTTTCAGTAGCAGTAGTACACATCATTGTGGCATGATGTCCGATGCCCATGCATGCCGCCGTGCCGCTGGCTCTCACATTTCGAAGCCCAGAAACAGCTAAGCACAAGGATTTTGAACGCCCTCAAAGCCATGTCCGATGTAGGTTTGTAGCCATAGAGGCCCACAGTAAAAGACCTTGCGAAGGACCACATGAGGGCGGAACGCAATGGCCAACGAGGTAGAAACCATCATCAGTCATAGCCATAGCAGATACAGTGGTACAGAAGTATCAGCAGCTCCAGCCTTAAGCCCACAGCTGGAACAGAAGCCAAGCCTCCCAAGAGCCCTCCAAAAAACACCCTCTACGCCTCCTCTCCCCCTACCCTCGGTGTGCTGCTCGGTAGCCCCATGGGCTCGTCCTCCCCAGGCGTGAAAGAGGCCCGAGGAGGCCTGGCCCTAGGATTGCTTACTTAAGGATTAAAGTTAAGGGTCTAAGTAATTACCAACACTATTCTGGGGGCTCCTTATTGTCATTACAGAAGAATATACCCCACAACCCTATTCTAATTGTTTAGCTCCCTTTATTAGGGTTTAGGGTTTCCGGTGTAGGAGTTGGGTTTTAGGGATCTTGGGCTGATGCTTCGCGCGATACCGCATTCAGGTTCTTCTATAGCACCGCCGCAAACCCTCATCGCGACTTCGTACATCCACAAATGAACGTCTATACACCTTTTTCATGACGCCTGCCTCAGCCCTAGCATTCACACCTGAAGCCATGAGTCACAAAAGAAGCTAGTTCCAGCTCCAGGTTGAAGGGGAGGCCCCAAACCGCTAATGCCCTACCCCAAACCCTAAACCCACAACCTCACGGGTTCGTCCCTGGACGCGTCGCTGTGGATCGAAAGGAGATCTTTCGGACGGCGAGGCAGCGTCATCCAGCGCCCCATACGAGGACTTTCCTGCAACGGCTACTGAATCTACTGGGGCTTCTGTAGGAATTAAGATTATGTTGAGTCGCTCTAAACTCTAAGCCCCAATGTACCGCAAGCAGCTTAGCAAACATTTCTGGTTTTGGACCCAGTTAGGCGACTGCTCGAGGTGGCCACGCTTTGGAAAGGACAAGTTGGAGATGGAGCCATAGTTTCATTGAAGCTGTACCTGTAGGCTAATCTTATGCAGCTTTCATTCGACGTCGAGAAGCCACGGGAATCAAGCATATCCTTCTGGCATTTGTTGGCGGCTGGCAAGTTGATACATCCGTACTTGAGGGGTTTGATTGCTTAAAGGCCTCGAACGGCTTGCTTCATCTTGCCTGCCTAACGGCATGAACGTACGTGGCAAAATCCGAGCCCTAATCCGTCCTCTCCGCTTTCGGTGCCCTTCCAGGAGAGCCGGCTTGGCGGAAGATTCAAACATTTGGATCATACATATATATATATATATATAATATATATATATATATATATATAGATATATTATAGGACCTTAAGCCCGGAACAAGTCTTCGTCACTCCTGTTCCATCTGATGCCGTGCAGTGTCGTCATTCATCGGGAGATTCAATATCGTAGCAGACGTGGACGGGCTCAAGCAGCACACGACGACGTCGCTGCTCGTGGGACTGCTTCGCTTCTACATCAGTTCATCAGACTTGGGCGCCGTTACCTGCTCTAAGCCTTGCCCCCGGGTAGGCCTTAAGCACTAAGTCTATGTCTATGATTAGGTAATTGTCAAAATTATGGTTTGTTTTTGGAACCCTAAATATTAGGTGCCGTCCTAATAATAAGGACCCAAAATGGGCTCATAATTTTGACAACTACCCATATCCAAAACGTTAAAACATGTTAGAGACCCGAAGCTGAAAGGAGATGCCCGCAGCCTCATCATCCTCCCCAATGTTGACCTCCACGGCCTCGTGCTCATCATCTTCCTCGTCTGTCCGATGCCCAGCCTCCGAATGCTGTTCAGCGCTTAGGGTTCAGGCAGAATCCTGCACTTGATCCCGCGGGCCTAGAAACAATCAGCTCGGAAAGATTGTGCTAAGTAGTGAGAGGGTATTCAAGGAGTACTTCGTATCATCGGCATGGCATGCAGGAAGCAAAGGCTCAGTATGTACTTAGTTCAGCCATGTGCTGGAAGTCCGCATTTCTTGAGTGGCTGGTTGTTCAGATCCACAGATTTGTGGGGGTGCGGGGAGTGGTGACAAGGAGGCGGATCATGATGACAAGCACTGCCAGCAGAAGCCTTGGAATTCACCAGCAGTCTAGTTCGATGATCATAATATCGATGCTGCTAGTAATGTGGTCGTGGTTGGCATCATAGACGCAAGATGTGTAGTCAGATTCTGTGCAATGCTGGCAGCACGAGCACTGAACCTACAGCTCCGCATGGAAGACCCTTTCTACGAGTTACCAAATCCATGCCAGTGCGTTTATGAATTACAGGTGACGCCACGAAATGAGATCGTGCACACAAATGCCTCACAGACTACAGCAGAAAAGCCGAAAGTTGACGTCTGTCGATGTCCGCGCCGACTTCTAGCAGCTTCTAGCATTGGTCCTGCCGACGCTTGCACTCAGACAGAATGCTTTCTACTACTTCTGCCACTGCCATGACCGTCATCACTGCCACTCCTATTGCCGCTGCGGCAACGGCGACAGTGACCACGGACCACTACCTCTGTTGCCGCGACCAGTACTATCACCGGCACTGCCACTACGACGGCAGGGTCGGTTTGTGTGCTGAGGCTTATGCGCACTCGACTGTGTGCAGTTGCCACACGTTGCATCATCGCTGTCGTCGTCAGTGCTCTTCGTGTGTTTATGATGAGAGAGCGTATTATTTAGTAGCTGCCTAAACTGGGTTCTTGTTAGGGGATTTGTTTTAAGTTACCATGAGAAGGAAACCATATTTACTATAGATCCCCATTATGGTAACTTACATCAAATTCCTTAACAAGAACCTAGTAAGTCCTGAATTCTGGCCTCTCGCCGGGGTAGCTTGGGCGACAAGGGCCCGGGGTTCAGAGTTTACATGGCTTTGGGCTTCGTTCCAGCGTGGTTTCGGCCTGCTCAAGAATCTAGAAGCTTGAATCGCTAGTGGCCTATATACTACAGGAACCATAGCTATTTAGAAGCCCCTATGAAGTAACCCTACTACACCCTGATCCCTAAACCCTAAGCCCTTAACCTTGCTGCGGTCCCAAAACTTCAGGACTTAGGCTCTCGCTCCCAGGCTCTGCCGCAAGCACCCAAGGATCGAGTGGAGGAGTTGGTTTTTGAAGCGATGGACGTGGGTGTTTTGAAGTGAAATTTTGGGCACGAGTGGATAGGTCATTAACCCTAAACCCTAGACTGGCCCTAAACCCTAAAACCCTAAAGTTTAGGCATTTAAGGTTTACCTTAACCCTGAAGAACCTACCCTTTTTAGGGTTCCCTTTTATGATTTCCTTATACTAGTCCTTATTAAAAGGTAGGTTCTTCAGGGTTAAGGTAGGGTTTGGAGCTCCAGGCCCTCCGGGATTCGACGGAGAAGCCTTAACCCGAAGCCTCTTTGCCTGGACTTTGGTTGTTTCAGCTGGGGCGCTAGACTTACCTTTGGTTAGTAGGGAATGGAGGAATGGGGTATACTGATAACTGCTATTGCTACCATATTATTACCATATTACTATCATATTACTATCATATTACTACCATATAACTACTATTACTACCATTCTTCCATTCCCTACTAACCAAAGGTAAGTAGATCCGTATAGTAGACTCCATGTCCGGTTCCGTGGAACACAGGCGCTAAAAAGATCTCCTTATGAAACCCTGCTCTAATTGTGGAGGCCCATTATTCAGGTTGCTTGAGCTCCTACTATCGTAATTACACTATCCTACGAGATGTGGCTAACGACCTCCCGCAGAACCCTGATTATTGCCTTGTTCAAACCGTCCAAAGCCCACAGTATCGGGGTCGGAACAAATCTGTCAGCGTTCGATTGTGGCCCCCGTACAACTACATTGCAGTTTACCCCCACACCCGACGTAGAGAAAGAGAGTCTGAGTATGTCAGTGCAGGAGGAGTCCGTGGACAAGCAGATTGCTGCATGTCTTTCTTCTGCATTCAGCACTTCTGGGCGCGGGCGTTGTTCCAGGGTGCTTGGAACCTTCTTCCCTAAACCGTAAACCCTCTTACAAGTTGCCCTGAATCTAAAACCCTAAACCGTGTAGGACTGCCTATTGCTTTTTGTTGCTACCTCTAAACTCTCCCGCCTAAGCCCTGATACTGACCCCGAAAATTTCCCTGGATTGGCTGGAGGGTTTGAATTTCAGCATTCGGACGGGTTCGGAAGGGCTGAATGCTGATCTAGAGTTTCATAGCTTAAATATGACTACCTAAACCAGGGCCTCAGCCTAAACCGTAAACTCTAAACCCACCCCACCCTAAGCCCCAAACTAAACGGTAAGCCAAAGTCTCAAGTGTGAAATGTGAGGTACCCAGACAAGGTTGAGATGTTAAGGTCGCTGTGGCCCCGATTCCTGAACCTTGGGCAGTCAAGGGTGGGGTCAGATTCCTTACCTTTGTTTGGTTAGTAGGGAATGGAGGAATGGGGTACAATTATAACTACTATGCCTACCATTGTTCCATTCCCTACTAACCAAAGGTCAGATTCATCGTTGCTGGCGCGCCTCAACTCGTAACAATCTACGTTCGTTGCTCCTTATGGCTGAACGGCTTAACAGTTTATGGAGGAGGCAACATGCCGGCGGCAGCATGTGGTGTGTGTGTGTGTGCGCGCGCCTGTGTCAGTACCGCAAGACCTGTAATCCCAGGACTACAGTGGGTCCCTATCCTGTCAAAAGCTCGTATACCTAAACGCGAGGCCTGGGCCCATAAACTCTAAGCCTAAAGCCTCACCTCCTAAGCCACGAACCAAACCTATATCTAAACACAAAGCCTAAACCCTAAACCGACACCCTGGAATCCTACACACCAGAGGCTCCGAGAACACCACCATGGTCGGCGAGACCCGACTGAGAGCAACTTGTCGAAGGTGTTGGGTTAGGTTTCGGGGTGCCTTTGTCAATTAGAAGAAAGTTTTATGGTCTAATCTGAGCGTTGAGGATCAACATGGGCTTCCATGAAGGCTCGCACAGTCGCACAGCTCAATAAAACATGTTCTATGCCACGAGTTGCAGATTTCGCTCGCAAGTTCGTTTACAAGGTTTTTGTCTAGGCGCGGTATTTGTGAGAGCGCCGAGCAAGACAGGACAACCATGACGCCGACAACCGCTGCGTAGGACCACGAAGACGACTACGACCAGAACGACCGCGACAACCAGGAGACCACTGAGGAGACTCCACGAGACCACGCCACCAGGAAAAGGTGGGAAAGGCAGGAGACTGCCATAGTAGCTGTTCACAGGATTTTGCGGAGCCTTTCTTAAAAAGAGGCCGCAGGCACGACGTGCTCAAGTCTGATGCGGATCAAAATGCTGTCCCCCAAGATCTGGCGGGATTCAGGAGGAGTCGGAAACAAGGCCAGCATGCTTTCCCCTGAATACTGGCGAACCTCGGACCAGTTACAATTCGCGAACACGGCGCTTATGCTTACACCCCCCCACCCCGCCATTCCCCCCATATAACTGGCGGGATTCAGACCAAAGCCATTCCCACAGCTACTTCCTTCCATTCAAGGTCTTTCAGGTGTTACTGCGGCAGGCAACCTCCGAGCAGCTCCGATACCGTCATCGCCGCTCCCCTTCATGGGTTCGATAGGGCGGATAACTAATCGAGCCCAGCTGCGCAAATCAGAGATAAGCCCGAAACGATACCCCGAAAGCCCGAGTGATTGAGGAAGATACGTGACGAGTGAGATGGGCACAAGGGGCAGCGTATGAGTGGAGAAATCTGGAACTAGCTCGTTGAGACACCATGCTGTATATCCCCCGTCACCTAAAGTGCTCCGGACTGATAAAGACAGACGGATAGCGATTAGAGTTGCAGAAGTTGGCGGTTTTGGTCTGGCTGTACTGTAGACCACCACCCCACAGTGGGAGAGATTCACGCAACGAGGCGCACAGCTCACTGCATGTGAAGGCCCGCAGCGGCACGGACGGTACCTATAGAGCTGTGCTGGGGGCGATAGGGCAGTAGTTACCTCACGCGGCAGTGCGCAGTGGCGGAAATCAACACACACGCAAATCAACACACACGGAAATCAACACATCGGACGTACGCAGGGAGAAGAAACAGAGAATGGAGGAGTCGATGACTTTTGTTCTTTCATGCTCCCTTTTGCATTTTTCTTCAGTCTATCTCTCTCTCTCTCTCTCTCTCTCTCTCTCTCTCTCTCTATATATATGCATATATATATATATATATATATATATATACCTGCTCGGGGTATCCAGTGCCTGCGCCGTATTCAGTCCGTATTCGGTAGACCTCGCCTGGCGTGTCCGAGAGTCGGTGCTGAAACCCTAAAGCCCGAAGTAAGCCCAAAGCTCAAACCACACAAACCCTCGAGCCCCAATGCGCAGGTCCTCTATGGCTTCAATGCAGAAACTTTCCTTACACCCAAATCCCCAAAGCCCTCGTCTATTCGTTGAGGCCCCTATTTTGCACCCTCGCACTCGCTCGTATAGCACCCTCGCGCTAACTTGTATCGAGCTTAGAGCTTAGAGGAACCTTAAAGGAGCTTTCTTTCTGATTGCTAAGGCTCCAAAAAGTAGGTCATCATTTTCACGATTCATATTCGGCCCGGTAGTTCGCAAAGATAGCAGTAAAGCTTCACAGCAAAGGTCGTTTCTCGAAGGTTTAGGGCTTCACAAGGATTTTTATTCCCCATATCATTGTGCAGGGTTTAAGTTTTTCAGTCGTGCTCTCCAAGCCGGCAGCCACGTGTGTTTCAAGCTTTTGGCAACGACCCTTCTCAGCCCGAAACCATGGCAGTCCTTTTCGCAAGTGCTGTCGTTGTTCTCGTGATTGTGTGCCACATCAACGTGGTCGGAGTGGAAGTCAGAGGCCATGCCCACATACTGGCCACCGTGTTGCAGAAGGTGCCAGCCTTGTTTATGCCGTTTCGGGATCCCAGGTTAGATGAAAAACTGGAGCAGCTGTCAACATCACTCAATCTCTGGGGCGCACGAGCATTCATTCACTCACAGATATGTATCTTGGCCACGCTGATTTTTCATGCCTGCTTAGTTCCAACTCTGTGCTCCTTGTCTCGGGTTCTACTCTTCGGCCTTCTGTATGCCAACAGCCTTGAGATGATTTTCAAGGGGTCCTGTCTGACCGCCTGGAGAATACGAACGATGTACTTCTCAGTGATGGCGATTTTCTTCCTTCGTGCTTTGCTCCCAGCTTGGAGCGATGAGCACAGTGGCTTCGACCAGCTGGACATGGTGGTTGCACTTGCATGTGGGGTGACCTCCCTATCTTGCAGGACTGCCATGATGCCTCTGGTAATGATATTCCTGGCTGACTCATGGAGCAAGAGCTTGGGTCATGGCTACAGCTGGTTCGACAACTTGGTTGCCAATGGTCAGCGGTGCTTGTGTTCAACAGCGCTCATCGTACTCGTCGAACAGCTGGCTCGAGCTTTGCTTGTATCTGAACTCGACGCACATGAAATTCTGGATTCCTTCAGAGGTCTTGTTCGATGCGCTATGGATGCAGATGTAATGCTTGACACCCAGTTTCAGATCCGAGAGCGACCAACGAGATTGGAGTTGCTTCTTCACCGCCAGGACGAAATGACGGGGATGTCCTTCCTGGATTTGCTTCCAGACGACACGGCAGTCCATGAGTTTCTCAGCCTAGCCCAAAAAAGCATGGAAGAAGCCACCTCTGGCAAGAAGGTCGCCCCAGTAGCTCGCTTGGGCTTGAAACGGGCTTCTGGTGGCCTGGTTCGAGGCGACGTTTACATGGTCCATATTCCTGACAGGTTTGGGCAGGGGAGTCGCTACCTTCTTGGCTTCGTCGAAGACCCCGAAGCCTCCGACGTGCAGCCCTGTGATGCGCGCCTCTCTGTGGACCGGGCTGCAGTTGCAAAGTCAGCGCGCCGTTTTCGGCTGGCTTCCTCTGCCTCAGCATCCTCTTCACAAAGCAATCAGAACGACCCTCGGATTTCACTAGCATCTTGCCGGGAGATTGTCGACATCAGCTTGTTCCTGGATGGGCAGACTGAGTGGTTCGACGTCAAGGAGGCGAGGATGCGGTTTACACGGTTCGAAGACCGAGGATCGGGAATGCCGACTCTCAAACACATGGTGCTTCCGTCGGAGTGGCAGTCAACATTGCCCAAATTGCGGGAGGCTGTGTGGAGCGCGCTCGGAACGGATGTTGGGTTCGTCCCACAGGGTCTTGGTCCTTTGCATGTTCGCATGCCGGAGATCCTGGCGGAGGGAAATGAGGGAAACTTGTCTCTTCTTGCCAGAAGCTCGCAGTTAAGACTGGTCCAGGGAGCCAACATCAACCAAACTCAAGACGGATCGGACCTCTCGGTGCAGCCCGTCTATCTCTGCCTGCAGCTTTACAACTTCGCACAGCTGGACCATCGTGGCCGCCTTGTAGAGCTTGGGGCAGTTTCTGAGTTCAGTTCCATGCAGTCAGAAGCCCCGGAGCATTGAACGAAAGATCAGTATCCAACTCAAGCTAGGCTGATGCCTGAGCCATAACAGCCATCATCTCAAATCGAGTCCCCTTTTGTTTGTGTTTAAAAGCTGAGAGCTGGCGGCTGGGCAGGTAACCTTTAAATTTTCGGGTAGATGTTCCATACCACAATACTATAACCAATCCAAAATTGAAGCGTTTATTCAGCCCCTAAGTACCCTAAGGCCCCAAAGTAGTTCCTTTTTGGGGCTCGTATATAGAATCCTATAAGGTAATCCAAAACGGAACTACTTTGGGGCCTGTGGGTAAAGCAGTCCATAGTCCGGTGGCTTGCAGTCAGTTCCGTGGCATTCCACAAGCCCTACTGATAGTAGCCTGAACCCAAAAGAAAGGTGTACAACTTCAACCCGAACATACCTTGGGTTAGTAGGGAGTGGAGGAATGGGGTACAACTATAACTACTCTTACTACCATTCTTCCATCCGCTACTAACCAAACGGTCAGCGGAAGCCCCAATACCCGAGTCCGGCAGCCTTGACTCTGCCGGGCCAGAGGGCAGGCTTAAATTAATCACACGACGACTGGGTTTAGGGTTTAGGGTTTGGGGTTTAGGGTTTAGGGTTTAAGGTTTAGGGTTTAGGGTTTAAGGTTTAGGGTTTAAGGTTTAGGGTTTAGGGTTCTTACTAGTTAGTGGTATGACTTGTGTTCCTTGTCAAAGTCATAGCATACCACAACCCAAGGCATTGAGGTCACTAGATTAAACTATTAAACCTGAGGCCTCCGCTACTCAAGCCGCAATATAGGATCTGAATGGTTGCAGTACTTAAGTCTTCCTTACAGCCAAATACCGAAAACCCTGGTCTATTTATTGAGGCCCCTATTTAGCATCCTCGCGCTATCTTGTATCGAACTTAGAGGAACTCTACCAGGATTCTTATTCCCCATATCATTGTGCAGGGTTTAAGTTTTTAGTCGCGCTCTCCTGCGCCTCGCCCTCTGCCCGCCTCCGCCTCCACCTCCACCTCCCCCGCCCCGCACCCGCACCTCGCACGGCCACACAAAGATGATAGGTCTCAACGTCCGAATGCCGTATAAGGTTTAACCCCACTGTCTCAACAGCCTAACCGGCCTAAACCCATCTGAGCATCCGCTCCACAACCAACTTAGGGTTAGAGTTTAGGGTTAAGCATCTGCAAACCCTGGTACCTAGGCCGTTGACGACCCAAGTTTGGCTTTGCCGAAGCCCTCACGCGCAGACTGGAAGGCCGATGCCGTCGCAAAGAGCTCGTTTTTAGGTTAGAGGTTGTGGTTTCGGGTTCAGTACGGTTCAAGGTTGAAGGTAGTATTACAAGGGGAGGAGACAACACGACAACTTCGTGAAAAGCGAAGGAAGCTCAGCTCATGCATCAATCACCACGAAACAATACGAATGTGCTTGCTGCCTCTGCCACTGCCACCACCATCACTGATTAGTTACAAGAAGCAACATCACCCTACAGCAAAGCCGCGAGCATCATCGTGACGTGCTCGGTGTACCACCACCGCAAGCACCACTACCGGCTCCAGCCGGCACCAGTACCTGCAAGTAGCACCAGCGCATACCCCTTCTTGTGATTTAACGCCTGGCTTACGACTTCCTACTACTATTTCAAAGTACTCAGCGCGAACGGACCTCGATGCCTAGTCCACTTCGTAGGTGTCGCAATACCAGCTATGAGCACACAATGTCATGGTCAACCATGTACATAGAGCAAGGCTCCGTTTTGCGGACCTTGTCTCTTCACCAGTATCTTGCCTGCGCGTGGGACCGCTAGCCGGACCATGCGACAGTGCCGATCGTAACTGCTCCGCACATAACGCAAGTTTGGCTCAAGTGTATGCTTCGGCATAGTGAAGATGTGCCGTGCTAGCTAAGAAGCTAGTGACATGTCTACGACCTACGTAGAGGATTCGAGCCATGCCCCTTGCAGTCATGCATCTCTGGCGAGAAAACAGTCGGACCGAGTTTGCCTGCAGGGATTGCTCTGTATTGCAAACCAACAGCAAGTTTGTCAAGGCAAACCACAATTACATCAATACGCTCGGTGAGGTGAGCATACCTATCGAGTCATCGATACCAAGCCCTCACGAACTCAAAAATGACTTCTATAAGCGGCGAGAGCTTACTAGGCAATGCGTCCTGTTTGCTGCTGTCTGCCGCTGCCGCTACCCTCTCTCTCTCTCTCTCTCTTTCTCTCTCTATCGTGGTGCAAAAGTCCGAACCGAAGACTCCGGCCCATGGATGGGCGTGTCTTCGACACGGCCATACACGACCGCATAACCCGATTGCTGATTTCAGCAGGAGCATTTACATGTAACAAAAACATGCAGACGGGAGAAACTCGCCCGGGCCGCTAGCCAACGAGTTTTGTGGTTTGTCAGTCCCACCTAGTGTATGAACAGCCGACGCTGCTGCTGCTGCTGCTGCTGCTTCTGCTGCTATTACTACTACTACTACTACTACTGCTACTGCTACTGCTACTACTACTACTACTACTACTACTACTCCTGCTACTAGTACTACTACTAGTACTACTACTACTACTACTACTACGACTACTACTACTGCTAGTACTACTACTACTACTACGACTACTACTACTACAACAACTACTACTACTACTACTACTACTACTACTACTACTAGTACTAGTACTACTACTGCTACTGCTACTGCTATACTGCTACTGCCACGACGACGACTATTAACTACTACTACTGCTGCTACTGCTACTGTTGCTGCTCCTGCTCCTGCTACTCCTGCTACCTTTGCTACTCTTCCTACTCCTGCTACTCCTGCTGCTCCTGCTCCTCCCGTTCCCGCTCCCACTACTGCTACTGCTATGTCTGCTACTGCTACCACCACCGCCACCGCCGTGACGACTACTAACTACTTCTCGACTTGGATGATCAACTCAGAATTGTCAGGAGTACCCCATATTCGGTACCTCGAATCCTGCAAAACTCCCGAACTTTTCATAAAATCAAGCAATCCAAACCAGGAAACCACCAACATCCCACGAATTCCCAAACAACCCAAGGGCCAACACCCCCCAAAACCCGCCACTCCGAGCCCGTCTGCCTGGCCTGGAGCGAGGCTGAGCTCGTGAAACTTCGATCCATGGCGGAGGCTCCTCCGTTTTGGCTCGTTTCAGAAATGCTGCTGGTCATGATCGCTCGGAATGACTAGCAATAGAATTCCCCCCAAATAGTCCCTACATAATTATATAATATTCATACATACTCTAACATACCCTCAAGACCAAATGGGTTTAGAGGTTTACAGCAAGTTTAGTTTTTAGGTGTCAGGGTTGTGATTGCTGGTCTCCAGGCCACCAGGAGTAGTAACATGGACGAATCTTCTTCAAGTGACGTTAAGTAATGTTTTCGACAGGACTGTTGGTTTTGTGATACTGGATTCTCCGGACCAGGCATCGCCGGGAATCGGAACGAAAGGGACAAGCGCCCGGATTTGCCGGGCTGACATTGAGAAAGCTTTGGGGTTTAATCTAAAAGTCGCTCCGTGCGTGGAGGAGTCATTCCACTCTGCTGAGATGGTCTTAGGCTATCCTAAAACAAACTGGTTTCTGTGTGCGTGTGCCCCTTCAACAAATAAATGCATGGATGAATAAGTATCTAAAGCGTTGCATACGTAGGTATGCACTCATATCGATCTACCTCAACGAATTGGGAACGGTTGAGAGTTTGTGTTTCAAATTCCAGATCTTCCCCTAAACCCTGAATGCGAAACCCCTATCCTTCTGCAGGACCCTAGCGTCGCAGACGACGAGAAAATCCGATTGCTTCATGAGGCCCAAATGTGGATGTGGTTTTGGGGTGTCGGCTTTTGGATTCTGGACATTCTATAGAGTACAGGCTGTACAGGGTTCAGCTTTTTGCAAGTTCTGGAGTTTGTAGATTAGATGTGTCTCAGGGTTTCAAATTTCGGACTTTCGAAGTTTTGGGGTTCAGGGTGTATTATTTGAGGAGTTTCTTTCAGGACTCAAGAAATATTAGAGTTCAGAGTTTGGGGTTATTTAAGGCTTTGCGTTTAAAGTTCGAGGATTTCGAAGTTTTCTGAAGTGCTGGCCTCATGGTCGCAAATCTTAGAGTTTGCGGGGTTAGGTTTTGGGGGCTACATGAGTGGCCAGTCAATACCAGGGAAGCTAGGCCCTTATTCACGAAGGATACAGACTTCGACATCGGCATCAGAGAATGGTCTCAAGTAGGTAACCTTAGTTAACCTTACGTGTACTGCATATGTCTGCGGTGTTGTCGGGCTTCATTATACGAGTTGTCTGGTACTTACTGGACTAGGCTTGTTTCTGCTTGTTTCTCCTTGCTGGTCCTGAAACTAGCTCTCGTAAGGTTACTGGCGGAGATCATGGCAGGAGTGCTTGTAACAGCCTTGCTCGGATTCATCCTCCTCATCACAGTCATCAGCGGACCTATCGTCCACACAGTGAACCTAAAAGCCCTGAAGCCCGGAGAGCTACTTGCAGCCTTACCCCAGACCCCCTTGTATTCCATTATGTATTCAGACTCTGATACTGCTCTTGCAGTCTCGCAGATATCACCACTGAAGGTGTTGGGCACTGTCAGTTTCTCTGCTATCAGGATTGTCATGTTACGTTGATGATATTTGCTCTCATCATCTAGCCCTTCCGAGTCTACCGCTGCGGAAGCCTCTGAATCCAGCGACGCTTTAACCTGCAAATGCACGCTTTAGGGTCTGGGATTCCAAATATCGTGGTAATTCGGGAGATTAGTGTTCAGCGTCATTCGAGATGTTGTGCTGGGACTACATATCTGACCACGCCCCGAAGGTTCTGGCTCCCGAACCGGGCAGCAAGCGCAATCCTAGAACATCGCAAAAGTGTTGCAGAACAGATTCCGGGAACCCTGGAAAACCTCATCTCAACACGAAATCCCCACCCTAACCCTAAACCCCAAACCCTAAAAACCCTAAACCCTAAAACCCAGCCCCTAACCGTATGTTGCACTGCGAAGCACCAGGCATTGCAGCAGCGTATCGAGGACACGAGGTCTAACGAAGAGGTCAAGGCGAGTTCGGGCTCATTGCTTTTTATGGGTTTAGGGTTTGGTTTTTTTCTGCAGTGTTTTTCTTTTTTTTGGATTCCGGCTCCGGCGATGATTGAGGCCGCAGGGCGACGGGTCCGGACAGTTGGGTTCGCTTGGATGTTGGGTACATTCACGTTCCAGTTGTATGCACATCTGCAAGTAGCAGAGCCTATTTACACAGAGTATGAAAAAAGAGTTTGTATATGTATATGCAATGCACGTGTGTGTTTTCGGAGACTTCACGTGTGGATGTGCAGCTTTGTCTGTGTATAGCGTAAGTAATCAATTGAAAAGTAGGTGTAGCGAAAATGGATATGAATCATATGAGTTCGCACTGTCATTTAAGCTGTTTACACCTATACACGCACACGCACATTGTTGTGATTCGTTTCCACACATATAAACTGCACAGACATGCATAAGAGAGGTGACAATCAAGTCATATCCATTTGTGTGTACAGCTGGGTTTAACCCTAAACCCCGCAACCAAGAGCAGTGGCAAGACTGTTCGAGATGCTAAGTTTGAAGAATCCTTTCAAAACCCCAGACTTCAAACCCAAAACCCTGAACTCATGTTAATTTGTATTACTCTTATCATGGTAGCTATTATGATGGTTACTTCTTCTTCTTCTTCTGATAATTGTTAGCATTATTACTGGCAGTATTGGTATTACCCCGGTTCTTTAAACCCTGAGCTTTAAATACACCTTAAATTGAGAACACCCGCGAACCCCCAAGGCCATTGGCAAACTTTCAGGGTTTTCGCGAAAGAAACATTGGGCTACGGGTTTACAAAGCACAGGCTCCGTGCCTGCGTTTATGGCTTGCAATTGAAGCAACTCTGTGGTTCGGGGTGTAATGTAAGGTGTATCGACTTTTGCTAGCTCATGGGGTTCGGATGTTTTGCTACCCGAAACTCGAAGCCCTAAACCCCAAACCGAAACTGCCTGGTTCGGGGTCGTATGCTCCCATCGTCAGTCCCCGCGAGGCCTCGGTGCTGAAGCGCCTCGAGACGCTGCAGAGCGACCAGGACTACGTAAAGCATGCCGGATTTTTTTGGGTTTAGGGTTCAGGGTTTAGGATTTAGGGTTTAGGGGTTAGGGATTTAGTACAGGGGCCTTATATAACAGGATTGCAGTGTCGCGGTTTGGTGTATTACAGCTATACTACGAAGTAGGTTTGGGTTCTAGGATGTATGTAGCGTTTAAGGTCTTCGCAGGATGAACCTATGAGCTTTGAATGCCGAGTCTGGCCCTAAACCCTAAACCCTAAACCCTGGCCCTGAACCCTAAACCCTAAACCCCTAAGCCCCAACCCCTAAACCCTAAACCCCTAAGCCCTGGGATGGTCTGGGGTTTGGAGTGTGTTTGGTTCGTCTCGGGGACTTTGGTCCGGCACAGCATTACCCATAGTCCCCAAAATAGTCCCTTTTTGGGATGACCTTATCGAATTCTAAATGTGAACCCCCAAAAAGGAACTACTTTGGGGCCTTGGGGTATCGTCTTCAAGCAGTTTTGGGCATAGCGCCGGAGTCGCGGTTCCCCAAAGATTAAATCCAACTCCACATCCAAAGGGAGAAGCCGAAGTGCTCAGTGCCCGTGCTCCTTATACAAGCAATTGGGAGTTTCCGAAAATAGGGGTACCTTACTTTGGGGTCCTTATAATAAGGATCCTACTACTTAGGGTACCATATTAGGGTCCCCTATTTTAGGGAACTCCCAATTGGCATGAATACCGCCAAAACTGCAGGGGCTTCCGTTATGTCACCTAAGTTCCCTAAGGGTCCATGTACCCAAACATGGGCCTTAAAGTAGTCCCTATGTAGGTACATTGGGGCCAAAGTATATCCTATTTGGGTACATGGATCCTTCGGGGCTACTTCGCGGCGCTAAATGAAAAAGTTCTGTGAGGGAACACCTTTAGACCTGAGGGCGTTCACTGGCAGAAAGATATACATGGGTCGTTTCAGACCTGCTGCCTACAACCCTGAATAGAACCCTTACAAGCCCTCAACCCTAATCACTAAACCCCAAACCCTGAATTATATCCAGCTTTGCCCTAGAGCGTAAACGCCGGAGCCGAAACCCCCCGTTCCGACTCTGTTCAACTTGCCTAGAGACAAAAACCCAGTGGTTGTTCCGGTGTTTGGTTATCTTGTCGATTGTTATAGAATGCCAACCAGAAAGGAATTAATAACAATGGATACTATTTGTAGAGTGTTTCGAGTTGACGGACACTAGAGATGCTCCACACGTTTACTCTACACGCAGGGTCCTTGTGGGAGCCCTCAGAACAGAATCCGTACTTGTTAGAAAGCTTGGTGCCGCCCCTGTGAAACCGAAAGAAACCAGTAAACACAACTGTCATTTCTTGTCACCTTCCCACGAACCGCGACGCAAGCATAGCACCAAGCTCTACACTTCTGAATCTTACAGCCTGAACTCTAGAAGCCCTTTATCAAGCCCTTAAACGGAACTTACCGTAACCCTGAAGAGGAATCAAAGGATGCCTCTGGTTGTTTCCCTGCGCAGGACCGATGCGAGATCGAGGTCGAGCCTGATAAGGGGGGGGGGGGGGCTGTTTGTTTTGTGATTGCCAGGACCGGAAATCAATTAATAAGAGGCCTAGATAAATACTGATACTAGTCCATACGCTCACTTATCATGAACATACGAGAACTGCCCGAAACACCTGCTGCAGTGTTTTGCATAGGATCGTCTACATTATGGCTTTCACACTGTTTTTTGTCAATGCTTGGTGTCAGCAGTTACAGCAGAAGTCGTAGTATAGCAGAAATAGCAGCAGCAGTAGTAGCAGTGGTAGTTGTGGTTGTGGCAGCAGTGGTACCAGCAGCAGGAGCCGCAGCAGCAGGCAGCAGTAGGAGTAGCGGTAGCAGTAGCCCCGCTAGGTTCTGAAAAGCCCCAAACGCTATACTCCCAAAACGGGAGAACCCTAAAGCCCAAAGCCGTTAAACCGCCCACACCCCAAACCCTCAAATCCCAAAGCCATAAAACAGCGTCCTGAGTAATGAGTAATGTTCTTCCTCAGGGTTCCTTACTGTAGCTCTACGACAAGATGGCTCAAAGCCGGTTCTGGTGATGACGGCACCCGGGAAGTTCGAAGACCCTCTAAAGAACATGTGAAGGAACCCTTGTCTGATGATCAAAGCCGCTACCCAAGGGCCCTAAAGTAGTTCCTTTTGGGGATTACCTTATAGGATTCTGTATATGAACCCCCAAAAGGAACTACTTTGGGGCCTTAGGGTAATGTAGGAACCTGATGAAGAAACCCCGGGCCTATAACCCCGAAAATAATAGGGCTCAGATGAAGAACCCTGATAAAGGCCCAAGGTTTCAGAATCAGGTTCCTAGATTACAGTAAGCTGGGCTATCAGCCCCGGGCAGATCCAGCGCATCAATAACATCAGAGGCAAGCTCGAGGCTTTGACTCTTTCCTTCTCGGTTGAATGCAGGGTTTTAGGGCTTTACTTCAGGTTTGAATTTAGGGGTCTAAGCTTTACGGTTTTTGTGTGGGAATATGGGTGCTTAGGGTTTTCCTTGAGGGTTCAGTATAGGGGTGGATTAATTAGTAGTAGTAGTTAGCCTTCTTTCTGGTTCTGCTACTACGCACCCCTAAACTCTACTCTAATCATTAATTAAGGCCCCTACACTGGGGTTCACGGCAGGTTGCAGGGTTACGGTGTAGGGTCAATCGTTGAGGGTGGAAGGATTCTTGGCTCTTTTGGTGGCTGAGGGTTCCTCGTTTCAGATTAAGTTTCGTCTGGGATTCGGGTTAAAAGTAGCGTTTGGGATCTTCGAGTTTCGGGGCCGAGGTTACCTTGGTGGCCCTGTTCAGTTTAGGGCAGAGAGTTGGGGCAGGTGCGTTGTGCGGTCAAGGGCTTCGTGCTGCGTATTGCGGGCAAGCACATAGCAGACGATAAAGCCCTGACCTTATGCCTGAACGCCTATAAACCCAAAGCCCTAAGAACATTAGGTGTCCTGTGTCCCAAACACAGAACTGCTTGAGCCAATGCTTCTGCAGAGAAGACTTGGACAAAGCCAAAGCCTTAAGTGTCGCAATTGGGGCTCACGGTGCAGTTGCAGGCAGAATCTCTTTGACCGGAGGTAGCAGTGTGCATCCGGAGAGAAAATCATGTCTAAACCCTTTTCCCGTGCGTTGTGGGCTTAGTAGGACCGCGATGAGAATTAGCAACATCAGCCCTGCATAAACTCCGTGGAGCTAGCAGGCAGAGAGAGAGAGAGAGAGAGAGAGAGTCAGCCTCAAGACGTCCTGCCTTGTAACAAGCACTGCGCCCACTGGGAGTCCTTACGATGGTGATTCTTCGAATCGTGTTCTGAACCCAAAACCCTAAACCCTGCGAGGACGCGGGATGCCTCACAAACTCTGCATTCTGTAGGGTTGCCGTTTAGCAGTCTACGGTTTAAGGCGCAGAGTTAAGTAGGATTCTCTGGCTTTGGTAGGTCTTTCGGTTTTCTGCAGGAATGGTGCTTCAACTGGCATGCTGCCATGATAGGATGTGGGCTTCTGCCACCTGTCTCCAACTGCGAATGCCAAAGTAAGCTCCCAACGCAAAGCCATAAAAGTTGAAGCCTTAAAACCTGAAGGCCTGAACCTTAACCCTGCGCCTTTTCAAGCCTCAATGCTCAAGCCGTAAACCGTATTAACAATTTTAAGCCCTCAATCCCTAAAAACCCGCTTGAATCCCAGAGAATTGAAGGGTTTGTCACTTCGGACCAATTCTGAAGGCCTGCTGCCGAGAGCAGAAAGAGACCATGACAAACCTTGCCAAGGCAAACATTTTGTTGGCTCTCTACCTCTCTCTCTCTGTATCTGTCTGTCTGTGTGTGTGTCTCTCTCTCTCTCTCTCTCTCTCTCTCTCGCTCCATATATATATATATATATATCCATTAACTAGTTATTCGTATGTACCAATATTTGTGCACACATATGTGTGTGTATATATATATATATATACATATATAATGTAGTAGCTCTCGTTTGTATTGCTGTTGTTGCAATGACGACTGTGACTCCCTATGTTTCTTAGTGATCTTGCTTGTTTTTGTTACGATTGCACTGTAAATTACACTTGTGTTTGGCCATTGGCTGCTATTGTTATCTTTGCTGTTGCTAGTTAGTCTTGTTGTCGTACTGGTATCGTTAGTTTTCTGACGTTATTACCACGATTGCCTAAACCCCAAACCCTCAACCATAAACTTCTTTTGTGTCGGGGGGTTCTTCAGATTTTGCAGCTGTTTGGCTGCTTTTGGGATCATCGTTTGAGCTCGGTTTATCTTTCACATGGGGTTTTGGGGTTTAGGGTTTAGGCATCTGCGAAACATAGGTTGTGCTTTTCTGCGATGAGGAGCAGAATACTGCCATGACGACTCCTCTAAGTAAGCATGCTTGTGTTCCTGCTGAGCACGACCTGCTGTAATCAATGGCAGCGGGATGGTTGGGACTGTAGGAAAACGCCGAGTTTGCCCTAGGGCCTAAACCCAGCCTCAAGTCCACAACTCGTATGAGGCTCGGTTATGGCAGGAACACTCCTAAACCCTGAAAAAAAGCCCATAGAGTGCCCCCAAACGGGAACCTTGGAGTACACTTCAAGGAAGCCTAAGCACTCTCAGTTTATGGTAGCCTTAAAGGAACCTTTCTGGTACCCTCAACCCTAAACCCTTGAAACAGCCGCTTCTTCTCGAGACATTCGCCAGCCATGCAGACGAACAAATATTCTTCAACAAGCAAGCAAACCTGTAAGCCCAAAGCCCTGATCCCTGTAGCGTAGTATCCTTCAAGGGCAAGCCCAGATGTTCAGGAAAACCAACAGATCGCAGAAGAAGAACAGAGTCGCCACACAGAGCTCAAGGCGGCAGGGAGCGAGGTTTCCTGGGTTGAGAGTGTCGACGGGTTTGCGGTTATTGGGTGTCGTGTAGTGCGTGCGTGTGTGTGTGTGTGTGTGTGTGTGTGTGTGTGTGTGTGTGTGTGTGTGTGTGTGTATGTGTGTGTGTGTGTATGTGTGTGTGTGTGTGTGTTTCGGCAGGAAACTCGTTGGAAGTCTGAGCTCCGACTCCTGCAAGCAAGCATCACTACAGGAGCTCAAACAATGCAATCACTCATGGGCGTGATCTTGAGTGCGTGTAGGAGTTTCGGGAGAAGACGGCGGTGTAGACGTGTCCTCAGTCAGCATGTCCCCCAAGGGTCCAAAGGACCCTATAATTAGGTATTCGGTTTTAGGATAGTAGTTATATAGGTTAGGATTTTGGAGAGTATATGAAACCCTAAACCCTAAACCCTAAACCGTATGATTATTGGGTACTTGGACCCTTGGGGGCCTGGTCTGGGCTACGACACAGCGTGATTCGGCCCTAGAGCCAAACAAAACCCACAGGGCCCCCAAAATCCCTGAATTAAGGAATATACCTTAAATCATATAAGGGATCCTATTACAATTTAAGGTATATTCCTTAATTAAGGGATATTGGAGTCTCTGGGGAACCTGAAGCCATGCCCAGACGCCGAAGCAAAAAGCCTATCAACCCGGGCACGCCCTACTACTGGCGCCCTGAGAGGCCGTATACTTGGTGAAAACTGAGGGGGCCTATGCTGCCCTAGAGTCAAACGAAAGCAGAAGCCTTCAACAGACAGCCCCCTAAACCCTAAACCCCCTAAACCTCTAAACCCTAAACCTCTAAACCCTAAAACACCTAAACCCTAAACTCTAAACTCTAAGCCCTAAACCCTAAACTCTAAACCCCTAAACCCTATAAACTCTAAAACCCCTAAAACCCCTAAACCCCTAAACCTCCTAAACCCTAAACCCCGCTCCTTGGGACCCCCACGGCCCTCGTACCGGTGCACGTTACAGGACAAGTTCCAGGCGGCGATCAAAGATGTGCAGGAGAAGATGGACGCGGAACTTGAGGTTTGCGGCTTAGAGCTTAGGGTTTAAGGGTTTAGGGCTTTGGGTTTATAGGGTTTAGGGTCGAACCACTTGTGGGATTTAGGGTTCAGGGCTATGGGGTTGAAGAATCAGTCCAAAATGTTTCGTACGCAGGGCTGCCTCAGGAATGGGCAATCGGAGGGGCGATGATTCGATGATGCTGCATTGGATTTCGGCGCGTGTCTAATCCGCTAAACCCTAAACCCTAAAACCCTAAACCCTGATCTCATTTAGGGTCTGAGTCTTCTGGTCGCAGCTTGACGCCCCTGGACCTTAAATCCGGAGAGTTCAGACAGGTTTGTTTTGGGGCTCAGAGATTTTAGCTTTCCAAGTCCCAGGGAACCTCTGAACTGGTGATCACGAATCCCCTAGACTTCCGAAAGCCCGGATCCATCCTAGTTGCTAGGGATTTGGGATTCTCGCTTCCTAGCTGGGGATCTAAAACTAGTTACTATATCTACTTAGATAGTGAAGGGGGGAACTTTAAGTTTTTGACCTTATACATTAGCTCTATCTTAGAAAGTTTGAACTTTTTTGGGCCCGGTTGTTGAAGAAGAGAGTTTATTGGGGGAATATAATAGGTGTTATGCCTTCCTTGTTATAGCAACGGGCGGTGGAAGAGTCGTGTGGATTCGGGTTCTCAAAACGATGCCGGGCTTAGGGGGCTGACTTCAAGGAACCGATAGTGAGGGTTTTCGGATTCAGGGTGTGAGGTCGTTGAATGCTAGAAATTGATATCTCTGTTTTAGGGTGTAGCCAACAGGGCTTCAAGTCAACAACTTCTGTGTTTGGCTCAAGAGAGGAATGTGGCTTGGGTACGGCCCCCACTCAGTAATAGTTGAGCAATACTCATAGTATAGATATATTTGGACCTTAATAGAAGCCCTATTATAGACTCTTACTTTATGTGGCCGACTTCTTCTCCATGGGCTGAAGGAGCACCGCACTGCGGAGCCGCCAGACTGCGCTGCGCTGTCGCAAGCCTTGCAGTACCCGTAGGCTCCATAGTAGTTCCTTTTTGGGAATACCTTATAGGATTGAAAAAATATGAAACCCCCGAAAAGGAACCACTATGGAGCCTACGGGTATCCAGAAGGAGCTCGTGCAGCGGCACTGTTCGTGCTGCAGCTTGTCTGGCACCAACTACACTCTCAGAGCACGCAACGCAACGAAAGCAGGTTCTCTAAGCCCCGAGCTGTAAAAAGTAAGCCCTAATCCCCCGACCCAGATTTCTTAGGTTCAGGCGCCAAAGTTAGGGATAGCTTTGGGCAGCATACGGGTGTGAACCACTGAAGCTTGATATTCACTACTAATGACTACTAGTACTTCCTGAGAATCTGAGATCACAGCCCAGGCCCTAAGCCATTAAACCCTTAACCCCCCACCAAGACAAGCGATGCTAAGCCCCACCCTCTTGATCGAATTTCCCTGCCTGTTGATCTTTCGAGCTTGCCTGGTATCCTGCAACAAAATCTGCAACTTCGAGCCATATAGTCCCACACCCGGAACACTAGAAGCTACAGCTCGTAAGACATCCGCGACTCTCAACCCTGAACCCCTAAACCCTGAACCCTAAACTCTTCAGCCGAAACTCGGAACCTTGTTTTGGGGAGTTGGGGAGTTTCAGGTTCGGCAAGGCTTCCTGAAAGAGAACGATGACCTTCGAGGCCACCCACTCCGAAAAGTGATGCGTCTTCCGCCGGACTTCGGAGCTCTGGCGGTTTTAGCCTGACACCCACGGTTTTGAGGTGCGGCGGAGCTCGGGAAACCTCTCAGACTCGGATCCCGAAGTTTTACCTGTGACCCGAAATCCTGAAGCCATAGTGGCTAGGACTCCCCTAATTATACACGAGTTCGGTAATTTGTGGAGAGTTTTCGTCAAGTTCTGCCGAACCCAAGATCCTAGTGGTGGGGGCTCCCATGTCGTCCCATATGTAGTCTTAAGCTTTTGTTCAGATTCAATCTTGCTGCCGCCGATGTTCGTGTTGAAAGGATGCACAACTGCGGTGGATTCAGCCCTGTTCCATCGGTTCCGCAAGATGTTGATGGGATTTAGGCGCAATGCCTGTGCAAGAAGAGATTTAGGCGGGGTTCTCGGGCAAGCAGCGAGGCTGCCTTGCATAATCGTTAGGACCGGTAGGACTGTCAGCGGTGGCATGCAGGACGCAAGATACATGACCATACTGCAGGCCTGTTGATGTAATTTCCGCAGATGCCCAAACCCTGTATGTGCATACACACCCTCCTCGATCGGGGGCCCTGGCTGAAGGCAAGCTCCAAAAGTTCAACGAGACGTATGAAACGCAGGACTGGATGCATTGTGTGACCGATAAGGATGCTAGGGCATCGGGCAATGTACGTAGATGCCGGAATACTGAGTGCCCTTTACCTTCTCTTGAATTTGACCTAAGCATCTTGCGGTTAGGGCCAGGGTCCCTGCGGTGCAGAGGGCTGGACGACTGACGCCTGACGTGGACGCTGGTCTGGGCTTTTTGTGTTTTCCAATGTGGGTCTTTATACTTGATATAGGGCCTTTCATCGTATGCATGATTCTATCGCTTCGTCTTCTTCTCTGACGCACCACGTGGCTAGAGCGGCGATGAGGTGCGGTGACGGCAGTAGAAGTCACACGCTGAAGAAGCCTGCTAAACTAGCGCTCCTGCACTGTGCCAGCAAGGGCTTACGGTATGGGTTAGGGTTTACGGTCTGCGGTTTGGGCTGTGCGTTAAAGTTCCGGGTTGAGGGTACGAGTTAGGGTTCCGGAGCTTATGGTGTTTATAGGGTATGAGCTAGGGTTCAGGGTTTAGGGTCAGCATTCAAGGGCATGGAGGTGAGATGCTTTTGCTATCTTCCCATGATGTTCTTGGCGATCCGCTGTCGGGGGATTTCTATCCTACTATCCGTTGCGCACACTGGGATTATCGTCACAGGGCCCGAAGAATGAATTAGCCCTACTCCTTAGCTACTTCTGTATACCCCTATTCTATGTTTAGTTTGTCCCTTAGACTAAAGCCCTACCAAGCTCTTATAAAACCCTTTAAGGCCCTGATGAAATCCCATTATAAACCTGATTGCTTTTTGCTAAAGCCATATGACCCATATGATGTAAGTCAGGGGTAACATAATATTCTATAATACCAACATAAGACTTCTCGTCCAGTCCGGTTCTCGGAGAGCGTAGTAGAGCTCTCAGACTGTCAGCGGGGCCACTTGAGTTGAAGCTTGGGGGAGACTCCGTGCGCCCCCGAAACCTTTAGGATGGCTCTGCACCCGTGGTGCCGCTGGGGGGGTTTAGGGTTTAGAGGTTCGGGGCCTAGGCTAGGGCGTAGGTTCCGGAGTTTGGGGTATCAAGCCTTGCGGCGGTTTTGGGTTGCTTCTGGGATTGATGCTGCGGGTGTTTGTTCACAAAACCTACATAGTCCCAAGGATCATCGCACTTGAAGCTTGGGGTTCGTCGCAGGATTTTGTGCGCAAGGGGGGACGAAATGTTTTTAGGGCTGCACGTATCTAATTTTCTGGTGTCCCTCTGTCCAAAAGTTCAACACCGTGAAAGTGAATCCAACATGTGTGTTGTCAGGTCTTCCTGTCTAAGGCCTCTAGAACGGTGCAGATATGGTTCGTGTTTAAATCAGGTCGCTCCAGGCGGAGCGCGAAGAACTAAATCAGGCCTTGTTCGGTTTAATTCTTACGAAGTGTTACCTAGTGCCTCCCGAACCCTTAATAATACAGGAATGTACCTTCAATCATTCGATACCCCTCTGGACACACATGCAAAATTCTACTGATTAATCACCCAACGAAATCCTTACTTAAAACCCTTACCAAAGCTTTTGAGGACCAACGCCAAACCCCCAAAATCCAGGCCCTAAAAACCGCCATGCCTGGGTCTTGGGTACTGCCCCCACTCAGTAACAGTCGGATAATATTCATAATAGAGATATATTAGGACCTTCATAGTAGCCCTATTATAAACTGTTCCCAACCTGGGTCTCTGCTGCCGGAGGAAGCTCAACTTGCTGAGCAGCAGGAGAACCGCAACAAGGAGATGCAGGCGAGTTAGCCCTCCTAAAGGGAACTCCAGAAAGTTGGAATATGGTTTCAGGGTAGGATACCTTACAATTTACCATAAAGGGCTTAGGATAATCATATTCCAACTTTCTGGCTTTTACTATATGGTCTCCTTAGGAATTACCTCTAGTCTCCATTGTAGTTCCCTTTTTTGGTCTAACCAATTATATAATTAGGATCCTATAAGGTAACCCCAAAAAGGAACTACAATGGAGACTATAGGTATTTTTTTTTATTTTTGTCCATATTTTACCCAAGAGAATATCAAAATGGTATTTTTGTTATGGTTCGAAGCGGGTATAGTCTCTACCTGGAGTTCAGGCTTTGGGGCCTCTTTATAAGAGCTTGGGATTTCGGTTTATGGTGTTTTTCCTGGTGGTGGGTAGGGATTTCGGGTGTAGGGCTTTATATAACTTAGGGAGCCCTCCACGCCTTTCTCAGGTCTTCGGAGATGGACTGGGGAGTTCCCGAGACTTAGGGGTCTTATGTTTGGAGGTCCTTACAACAAGGATCCTACAATTTAGGGTACTATATTAGGGCCCCCTCCTTTCAGAAGCTCCCACTTAGTACAGGTTCCCGAGGTAGGGGCATCTATGGTGCCGCCACCACCGCCACCGTTTCCAAGACTCATAGGAGGCCCCTGGAAGGGTTTAACCCTATGGGGGTTTAGTAGGGATTGGGGTTCCCATAATCGGGTTCATATGAAGGAATCCTTACCCCAAGAATCTTAAACCCCTTTTTGGCCTCCCATCAAGCACCACCAATGTAAGTTAGTACTTGCAGTGTTCACATCGCGTGGCTCCGCTCTGGGACTTGAGCACGCGACATCCCGCATTCCAAAGAGCCAGAAGCGTCCTCGTGCAGCAACGAAGGGGTCGAAAAAAAACTAGTAATCGTATTGCCCTATCGCCCTATATGAGTATGCTGCGAGATGCCCCGAACACAACTGTGAGTGTTGAGGCCGCAGGAGCTAGACTCTGTCACTACAACACAGCAGGTGCTAGTGGCCGTAATACGAAGCCCAACCTATGTCGCCACATGTACTGCACTGTCAGCTAGTCGGATACCTGGTAGAAATCTAAATTGGCGGGTTCTGCCAGTTAAGAGCTTGCAGTTGCATCATTGGCGGTACAAACCCTAGACTCCTACTCCCCAGACCCTAAACCCCTAAACCCCCAACCCCTACGCCTCAAAAACCTCCCTAAACCCTAAATCCTATAACCCTAAACCCTCCTTTGACCTTCTGACTTTCCGAAGGCGGCCCAAGAGCGATTGACCGAGCATGAGGCCTGGGAGTATGCCTCCAAAGTGTCAGGTCGAGGAGTCTTTTTCGGGCTTGCGGCTTTAAGATTCTGTTTGGCTACGTAGGCAGTTGGGATATTTTTTGTTTTCCCGCTGTTTGCGACTATTTCTCAGAGGCTTTAAGGGGCCAACCTATTCAGGATTTAGGGGCTGGAGTCGACGCGGGGCAGGTGGGCTTTTTCAGGCCGAAAATACTGGTTGGATGGGGGATGGTCTACATCCTCACAGGAACCCCGCTTTCAATCATTATCATTCAATTCCCCTGCATTCCGAAACCCTAAACCCTCCCACATTGCGGGCCCGAAGCGGAGGCGATGTGCGCGGCTTCCAAGGTGAATGCTTCACAGCTGGAGAAGCAGAACGAGGCGCCTGGGATTAGGGGTCCGGCGTTTGGAGTTTCAGGGTTTCGGGCGTTGGGTTTTTTAGGGGTATTAGGGTTGGTTTTTGGGATTCAGGGCCACAGTGTTGAATAGTTGCACAGATCTGAGTTGCGAGTCTGGAGTGCAGTATTCGTTGCACTGAAACACTTGCCGACTTCGTGATCACCTGGATATTTTGTTCATTGACAGCGCCCTGAAGACCTAGTCCGCGATGAACATGTCGTTGTCTCGCATAGTGCGACGGAGGGGTCTAGGGGTTAAGGGAGTCACGGTTTGGAGGTTGGGGTTTGCAGTCGAGAATGACAGGGTTTCACTCAATTTCATACCTTGGAGCCTCTCTGCCCCACTACCCGAAAGCCTTCGCTGCAAACAGCCTTAACCCAGAGAAACTTCACCGGTCTAGCCCCCAGCCCCTCATGAAACAGGGAATGCCGTCGCCTCGTCTGCGGAGTGTAGGGGCTGTGGAGCTCAATGCAGCGATGGCCTACGCCAAACTCTACGTCCTCCGCTCTACTTTTGGTAATTTCGTTTTACAAATTTCTTTCGTCGAAGCCTACTTGGGAAGACGGAAGAGAGCGTTCAACATAAAAGACCGAGTGACAAGCCTGAGTCATTGCATCGTAAATAGAGAGGGTTCGGGACAGGAAGTCAAAAACCTACTTGTATCCCGAGAGCCTGCGAAATGGTAAATTACGATCCTTCCTTGAGGGCCTATGAACATATGCTACAAAGATGGTAGGTTCTGATCCCGCCATTATAGGGCACAGCCCTTCAACCAACCAGGAACACCCCTAAACCCCCATCCCCGAAACCCTCAGACCCTCATCCTGAAAACCCACACCCTAAAACGCCCTAAACCCTAAACCCCTGAAGCTCCAAAGCTGCTACAGGGGCTCAAGAAGACGCAGACCACGCTGCAGAACGATCTTCAGGGCATCCTCAAGAAATTCGCCAGCCTCTCAGCCTTTTGCTACACAGAAGTACTGACAGAGCTGTTATGGTATCAAGTTCTTAAAGGTCAGTCTGTGTTTGTTTTGCAAATCGGAACGGGCAAGATCTTAACACGCCTCGTCGTAAGTGGCTGACCCCGGCAAGTTGAGTTACCATGGCAAGCAAGTCATGCTAGTTGGCACGCATCCCAATTGCACTGACTGTGTGACCTCGACCCCGAAACCCTAAACCCGAAAACCCTAAATCCTATTACAGTGACTTCATTGCAGCTCCTTCACAGAAAACCCAGAGTCGCAAGGACTCGGGGAGAAACTGTGCTCTTGGCTTCTCAACTCCCAAACCCGGAAACCTTGATCGTACCCTGAGCCGTAAGCCCCAAACCCTCCACCCTCTTCAACCTAAGGATCCCTGAACCGATAAGGTAAACCCTAAACCCTAAACCCAATAGCCCCGAGCCTCAGCCCCGTAGCCCCAGGCGCAGGGTGGGACTCCCCAGTTCGTTTCGGGGTCTGGTGGGGGCAGTCTTCAGCTTATGATGTCCAAAACAGGGGCGCCTTTGGTTTAGGGTCTGGGTTATAGGGTGTAGGGCTTTTAGGGTTATGGGGTTTAAGGTTATATAGGGTTTTTATAGGCCTGGAGGATTTGGGGTTCGAGGGTGATAACCCCGAAACCCTGCAAAGTTTCAGGGGTCAGGATAGGGTTCAGGGCTTGAGACCCCACGCAGATCCTGCCAAGGATGAGTTTTCCACACAAGTCACCGGCTCCAACAAGCGCCACAGTCGCCAACTCGGTGAATGATACTTTGCAATACCCAGAGGCCCCAAAGTAGTTCCTTCTTGGGAGTAGTCACCTTATAAAATTCTATACATGGACCCCAGAAAGAACTACTTTAGGGCCTTTGGGTAGTGTCCTGCCGCAGTGCCTATTGGCATGACTGTTTTTCTGGGTTGCTGACAGGGCCGGTATCCAGTACTGGCTGCTGTTCTCCAAACCCTAGAAACCCTAATCCCTAAACTGTGGGACATCTGTAGTATATAGAGGGGGGACTTATAACCCCACTTGTTGCACAATCAAAAAAGCAGGTCCAGAGACAATTTCTAGATCGTTCTTGTTGAATGCAGCACGTGGGACTCTGAAGAAAAATGGTAGGTCAAGGATGTCCTGATCACAGCTGCAAGATTTTTCAGTCTAGTGCCTGGTGTTCAAGGGTTTTGGCTTTAGGACGTTAGGAGTTACATGTTGAGGGCTTTCTGTTTGAGGTTAATTTAAGGGTTAGGGTTGTCGGGTTCGGGGGTTTAGGGTCCAGAGTGTTCGGGTTTCTTCATATACAAACGATCCAAGCCTTTGCGTACGCAACGCACCTAAGCCCAGAACTTCGTGAGTTCGAGGTTTGCAGCTCAAAAGCCATAGCAGATCGATCTTTTTTTAGGCTTAAGCCCAACTCTACGCTTTGGAGCCCGAAGCCCCGGAGCCAGATTGTTGTGGGCAAACCGCATGCAGGGCTTTGCTTTCGCCCAAACCCCTGGGCGCATTCAGTGAGACCTACCTGCTGCACCTCCGACTTTCGTTGTAAAGGCTTGTGATGATTGCGCACTCAGTTGCAGGGGTGCCTGCTCTCAGGCCCCGATCGTCCGCGATGACTTCTTCTTGCATGAAGCTCTGCCCTAAACCCTACCTGGACCCTAAGAAACCTACATTTTTAGGGTTCCGTATTACGATTTTCTTATATGCAAACTTGAAAAGGTAGGTTATTTGGGGTTAAGGTAAACCCTAAACCCTAATCCGACCTCCATAAGCGCTGGCACCTGCGATATGCGCACTCCGCGGTCTGTTGACCGGAGGCTGCTGACGTTTAGACCATATTAGGGACCCAAAAAAGTACCTAAACAAAATCCAGAAGGTTGGGATATCCCACAAGCCCCTTTATAAACAAAGTAATGAGGTACCAAAAGTTTATGTTTGGGTCCTTTTTTGGAACCCTACAGATGCCACCATCCCAGCCCGGAAAGTTCCCTAAACCCCATTTCGAGGCCCCCAAGGCGCCTAAAGGTAAGCTATTGAGCTACGTTGATGATTCCTGCACTACCCATAATAAGGAAGATGCTATAAATCCCATAGTCTAGGGTCCTTAAAATAATGCAGGATTCATATCATCAACAGTATTGAAGAAGATCCCCTTCTAGGAATATTCCCTCCCCCCCCCCCCCCCCCCCCCCTGCGCTGTCTGCGCTCTTAGAAGTGAAACCTGAAGCCGCTGGGACCAGACCCCAGTTCGGTCAGGGTTCCTGATGCATGGCACCCAGAGACTCCAATATCCCTCAATTAAGGACTATACCTAGGGTTAGGGTTCCTTTAAGGGATCTATAAGGGATCAAAAGGGTTTAGGGGATTCTAATATCCCTTCATTAAGGAATTTACTTTAAATCATATTAAGCATCCTACTATAATTTAAGGTATTTTCCTTAGTTAAGGGATATTGGAGTCTCTGGGCAGTCACGAGGCGAGTGCAAGGAAGAGATCGACTCTCTGCAGTCGCACATGGAGGACGCGACCTATAATTACTGGAGTGCTGCATGTGCAGGGTGTCGGGACTGTAAGTTCTAGGGAGGGGCCTTTAGGGGAGGTATTGGTTACAAGCCTAAAGTCCTGCCTGAAACCTAAACTCTAAAGGCTCTAAAGTCTCTAAAGGCCCTAAAGTCCTACCTGAAACGCAGGAGCTGGAGAAGGAGAACGTCGATTTGCGTAACAGCGCACGCCTCTCCGAACTCAGCTCCGAGCAGCAGGCCTTTTCTTTTGCCTAGTGTCGTTTATCTAAGGACTTAAATAATACATACCAACATACTGTTCCATTGGGTTCCCTATTATAGTTATACTAGACAGGGGTGCAAAACCCTAATCTGATTGTTAAGGCCACTGTATTTTGTAGGTTGTGTTGGCCAGTTTAGATCACTTGGTTCCATGGTTAAGAAAGGTGTTTGCCACGTGCAGTTGGTCGGTTCAAGTCTATCAGCGCAGGTTGTGTTCCCAGTGTCTGACTCTTCGTTCAGGGCTAGGTTCATTGGTCAGGCATGCTGGCTTGTTGCGGTTTGTTCAGTGTGTGGTTTCTTGTGCTTTAACCCTATACACTAGAGCACTTCCAGAAAGGATGGCTGAAGCAGGGGTAGGCACGGTTCGCCAAAAGCATGGGGGGGCGTGTAGTGAAGCCGCCTGACTCATTGGCCTAAGTGCGAACCGTTTATCGTAAGCCCGACATGTGTGTGGCCTTTAATGTTCTTGCGCTAGAATCCCTAAACCCTAACTAGGATGCCCGGTAGTACCCTTATTCCCTTTTTGTGGTCCTAGGTTCCTTCTAAAGTTACCCAATACCAAAAAGAGAGGCCTTTTTATTCTTAGGTTACTGGGTAACCTAGCTAAACAGGCCGTAAAAGCACCGTCAAAAAGTGACGTTCAGCAAGTTGGTGATTTTGCAGGTTATGCAAAAGCAACGGGATGCCCTGGAGAAGCTGTGCGACAATCTGCACAAGGACATCATGCCCAAGACATCACCAGCATTAATCTTAATCTTGCAGCCCCAAGCCCTAAACCCTAAACCCTAACACCTAAGCCCCGTTTTACATGTATTGCCAAGCACAATCCTCCTGTTCTGGGAGTAAACCTTGGCCCTTGGATCTGAATGGCAAGACTAGACACCCGAAACACGGCTATAGGGGCCTAAATAATTACCTATACTATTTTTTGTTGGGGGTTCCTTATAGTTACTATGGTATAATGAGCCCCAAAACCCTATTCTAATTATTAAGGCCCCTATATTACAGCCAAGAGCCCTGCACCTCACAACCCCCGAAATCCTAAGCACCGTAGAGCTTTTCCGTCGTGCAACAAATCCGCACTAAGCCCCGACGCTTGTATTAACCCCTAAACCCCAGATAGTTTAATGGGCCCCAAAACCCTATTCTAATTATTGAGGCCCCTGTATTACACCCTAAACCTTTGGCAACCCCAAACTCATCCTTTTTTGAGCGGCCCCATGGCGAAGAATATAAAAGCCGAAGCCCGAACAATACATGATAGTAGAGCTAGTAGCCCTTAGAGGGCCTCCATGGTTCCCCGTATTTTGGACCTTTTCGTAATTCCTACAAAAAGAATCTTGAGGAAGGCTCATCTGCCCTTGAGGAGAACCAGCGTCTGAAGCAGCAGCTTCCAGAAAAGCGGTGAGATGAGCCTCTTACCTGCCTTTGGCCCAGGTTTAGGGTTTGGGGTTCAGGGTTTCGGGTTTATGGTTTAGGTTTGTTACGTTTGTTCTGTTTTGGGGCTTTAGAGTTGGAGGAGTTGAAGGTTTTGGGGTTTCGGGCTCAAAGGCTCAAGGTCCCCGGATGTCTTACATTTACAGAGCGTGAAGTCTGTAGGGTTTTGGGCTCAGAGTTTAGGGCCGTTTAGGGCTGAGAACCAGACACTTGTTACCGACGTTTCTGGGAAGTTGCGTTTCAGCACAGTTACGAATGTCCTTGGAAGTTGGGTTTCAGCACAGTTACGAAGGTCCTTCGAATCCTCTCAAGGTGTGACCACTGTAAATAACTGCTCGTAATCAATACTCGTCACTATATTATATTACTAGTCGTACTTGTATGGGCCTGTAGCGGTGTAGGAGTGTAGAAGATCTGGGGCAATTGGTGCACTTTAGGATTCGGTTTTGTCCTTGTAGAGGTTGGGTGGGTTAGCATTTTAGCGCTTTTGGTTGAGGCTGCAGGCAAGGTACTGCAGACAGTTGATGAAGAAACGCCCTTCCGTAAATCTGGAGACCTGAAATCCGAATATGAAGTCGCTTGAAGAAACGGGATGTATCTAGAAGGGACGTTTATCTCGAGTTCAGGGTGCGGGTCCATCAACAGCTGTTGCTGTTGCGCTTCGGTTGCGACTGAGATGTTCGGTTTAACGCCAGACCATCTTGGTTTTTCACACCGAAGTTCCAAGAAACCCTCGGACCCTTCTTGATGACATGAGTGTATACTATGTGTGTGTATATAACTATATGTGTGTGTAGATACATACATGCCGAAACCCGACACTGTAATGCTGAGTTATGGCTCTCCGGCAAGCTGACTGATTCAGGTCGGCAAGTGATCCGGCAAAGTTCATCTGTTGTGGCAATGACTCCGAAGCAGGAGAGGGCTAGTATTGAACCAACAGAACTCTGAATCATCTTAACCCTAAGCCCGAAATCGTGAAGGATGTCGGAAGCTAAAAGTAAACTGATAAGCAGCATCTCTCTGGCCTTCCAATGTAACATGTTGTGCGCATAGACCATCGCTATGCATTCTGACCAGTGGCTTTGTATCTCTGGGGACCGTCCGTAAAGCTCGGTCGAACTCATTGGCAAGTTTGGGTCGCTGCTTCGGTTTAGGGTCAGTTGTCGTGGCAGTGTTGCAAGCGAATGAAGTCTCACGCGACCGTAACGTCCAGACGCGTCGAGGGAAACATGCGTCCGCAGCACTGCCTGCGTGCCCGATCCCTGAACCCAATCGGTAAACCCTGCTAGGTCCAATCCCTGAACCTGGGGCAAAGCCTGATCGTTATAGACTCCCAAACGTGAGCTTATAAGACTCGAAGCTCGAACCCTGTACCCAAACCGAGAGCGGATTTTTCCCCTGTCCCGAAAATCAAACCTTAAAGGCCTGAAGCCAGACACTGCATACGGTCGATGATATAAATCCTGCATTACCCATCATAAGGAAAATACCATAAAACCCATAGTTTAGGGTCCCTAAGGTAATCCGGTTGATGATATAAATCCTGCATTACCCATAATAAACAAAAATACCATAAAACCCATAGTTTAGGGTCCCTAAGGTAATCCCCCTCCCTGAAGCCTGGGCCCAGACTTGAGCCTGAAGTGGGGTTCAACCCGATCCTGGAACCGAGGGTTTAGGGTTTAGGGGTTTGGGGTTTAGGGGTTTAGGGGTTTAGGGTTTAGGGGTTTAGGGGTTTAGGGTTTAGGGTTTAGGGGTTTAGGGGTTTAGGGTTTGGGGGTTTAGGGTTTGGGGGTTTAGGGTTTAGGGGTTTAGGGTTTAGGGTTTGAAGTTTGGGGGTTTAGGGTTCTAAATCCTGAACCCAAGCCTTATAAGCTTCAATGCATTGGCCTAAAAACCCCATAAACCCTCGACCCTAACTAAGCTGGAGGCCTCAAGATGTTGACTCCGGACAAACGGCTTAGGGTTAAGGGTTTAGGGTTTCGGGACTTCGACTCAGTTTTCTTCAGACCATATTCCATTGCCATGCTTTCGTGATACTTGAGACTCTTCTATGTGATGATGGCTTGACGGCTCAAGGCAGTAAGGCGACGACTGCCTTGAACCTGCTACATCTGGAAGTCGTTTATCTCACATCTTGTGCTCGTTTAATTCCGAACTAAAGGCTCTGAGAGCCTGCTGGCCGCATCGTTCAGATCTTCTCGTCCTTGCATGGGGTTGCGCTAACCTTCTAAGTTGTTTACTCCAAGCACGGTGCAGCATGAACAGCTCCAAATGTCTTGTGCCACCCTGGACTCCAAAATATTATGAGTCTCGGCACCTACGGTTTGGGAGGCCTGACAATTGTGCAAAGGGATCAAGTCCTACGTCCCTTTCCCACACCCTGAAGCCCTAAATCTTAGTCCTGTGTCCTACGCGACTCTCAAGCGAAACTCCCCCCCGCTGAAGCATGCAGCATCCGATGTGCCGCATTTCCCTTCACTATGGGCCAGGCTCAGTGGGGGATGTGCTAAGGATCCGTGAAGGATAGTTGGTGTGGTCGGCGGTAGTATATGTTGATGCTGAGAAATCGGACTGCTGCACCTGATCTCGTTCTCTTGTTCATACGTCTATACTCGTGCTTTGTGCCCACACCCACCCTTGCGGACTCGTCGTCACTTTCATCCTTAGTATCAGTGCCACCGTAATGGGAACCAACGTCACCGATCTACTCGCAGACTCTTGCGCTACCTCCATGATCACACGTCAATTGTCGTTTTCTCAGCTTCATCGTCGCAACCTTCGTCTTCGTGATTACCGCTGTTGATGATGTTGTTCGACACAGTGGTCATCGCATGACCTGCTAGTAAGTTCTAGTCGTAGTGGTAGTTTTAGTATTTGTGGTCGTAGTAGTAGTCGTGGCTGTAAGCCCTGATTCCCTTGCCCACCTGCATAGATCTCTACGACGGGTCGTGCAAGTGGCGTCGCAAGCGGAGGACAGGGCTATCACCTGTGACAGTCACGAAAGCCAGGCAAAACAAACGTCAAGCAGCCCAAACCGTCGGCTCCTGGGAGCAAAGCCTGCGGAAACCCAACCCCCCCCCTCCAGCCGCCTCCTCGTCATAGACCCGAAGAAGCGCTTCGGCCGCTTTGTGGGAAATCATCAACCGAAACAAACCCTAAACCCTAAACCCTAAACCCTAAACCCTAAACCCTAAACCCTAAACCCTAAACCGAAACTCCAGGGAGCCTTGGCGCTGCTGTTCTGGGTCGCTGGGTCTCTGTCTCGGTGCTCCGGGTCGCAGAGTGTCCCTCGGCTCGGGGTGCGGGTGGCCCTGGGGTTTAGGGTTTAGGGTTTAGGGCCCTAAACCCTAAACCCTAAACCCTCAGGTTTTTTGGGGGGCTCTTCGGGTTTTGGGGTTCTTAGGGTTTGAGGTTTCAGATCGAAGGGATTCTGGCGTTGAGGATGTAGGGTGCAGGGCCAGTTGATAGCTTCGGCGGGGTCTTGTGGCTGGTCCGCCTTGCAAAGGAGCCCTTATGATGCCAACACCTCTACACTCCAAGCCCTAAGGGTAACATTTCATGGCATCCCAAAGATGACTCTGATCGGCGACGGAGTTCGCTAATTCTGTCCTCGAAGCTAGTTTGCACGCTGCCTGATGCCAAGGTCGAAGAAGATGATCAAGCCTGTTTCTCGTTCTTTGCATGGCTTCTTGCTGGGCAGTTACAAGTTGGACAGGTTCGTGTTTTTGCACAAACAGGATGGACTGAGAAACCTTCACAGCATGAAAGCCTTTCTCGAGGAATTGCAATTGGTTTCAGCACGCGCCAGAAGGTCTCAGTGATCAGGCTTCTTGGATCAACATGAGCATTCGAAGTTCTTCTTGAGAATATGGGGAGTGTTTGCTTGGGTGGCAGTGGGGCATTGGCTGGTTTGGCCTGCAGTATGACATTTTGGACTATCCTCATGTCTAATGCTTGCAAGGAGTTCACATTAGCAGCTGCACACGAAAAGAATCACTGTAGATATCAATCTGGGCCGTTCTGAATTTACGCAAGCGACGACATTAACATCACTTCTCCTGTTGGCATGTTTGCCTGGCTGCATTCTGCGCAGGAAGATTCTGCTTGTGCAGCATCTGGACAAGCATTTCCTCCGTGGCCAGGTTGGCTGCCGCATTAGGAGGACGAGAGGCGTTGGCCTTTCTCCGAGGGATCTATGTGCGTCCGTGACATCTGCCCTGAACAAGCGTAGCTGGTTCGCTGAAGCTGCCAGTAGAATGCGTCGCCGCAAAGCTTCGACAGGTGCTACTTGGACACTGGTGCGGGATCAAATGTGGAGGCCCTCAAACCGCATTGCTGCAAGAGACATGTCCAGACATTCGAGATCCCTCTAAGTCTGGGGTCCGTGCACGAAAGATCCTCTTCGTTATTTGAGGTTTCATGGACCAGTTACCGGTCCCTTATCTGTTCTGAACTCCAATGTTGTCTGACTGTGGTGAACAAGATTGACTTCAATCACCCGAAGTGGCCATGTACCCAACTAGGATATACTTTGGCCCCAATGTACCTATACAGGGACTACTTTTCGGCCAATGTATACACTATTTGGGTAAATGGACCCTTAGGGTCATCCAGACTTGACGACTCGACTCAACAGCATGGCTACACTGGCGACGCGGTCCACAAGTCAAGCGCGCCTCCTTACCTCGCTGAGCTTCTGGTTCCATGTGGGATATGTGTATATATATATATATATGGCATCGGAGTAAATTAGTCATACTTCTCGTTTCGATACTATGAGATACTCACCCCCAGACCTTTTGGGTCCCTACAAACAGCTTCCCGAAACACATCTTTCGCGGGTGTGCCGAAAGGATGGCTACGAGGCAGCCGAAAATCCCCGAAGGCCTTGCGAAAGCAACGGCTGCCGCAGAAGCCGAACGAAAGCGGTCGCCATCCCGGAAGGAAAGCAGGTTACGGCACATATGGGTAGTTGTCAAAATTAGGGTCCCTTTTTGGGTCCTTATTATAATACGGCAACTAATATTTAGGGTACCCAAAAAGGGACCATAATTTTGACAACCACCCATACGTGTGAGAAGAAATACGCAGTGCTGAAGCCTGGCCCGGCATGGTACCTCCAACACCGCGCTGACGAAGAACTGCAAGCGAGGGCAGACGCAACTGAAATCGGTCGATGGATGCTGGGCACTGCATTGCACCCTTGGTCCACAAGAAGTCCCGGCCACTGGAAGTCTTGGCTTGTTGGCTTGGCGTGTGAATTCGCGATTTAATTACGGAGTCTGCACAACTTGTCTGGATTTGCGAATTTGCAGGCTTTGTTGCGAGAGACGCACTCCTCATTGCGACGAGACACGCTGAAACGCCGCTCCACAACCCGATCTCTCGCTCACACACGCTCACACCAAACAGACACCGCGATGCCTTCATGTATGTATACATGTTGTACTGTTGTGCATTGTATTGTGTCTCATTGTAGTCTATTGTACTGTATGCCGTTGTGTTGTACTGTACTGTACTGTACTGCATCGTATTGATTTGTAAGTAGGTCCGTCTGCATGTATTGTATTGCATGTAGATTTGCTCGTGTGTAACTACTTATGTATGTATGTATGTATGTATGTATGTATGTTTGTTTGCTTGCATGCATGTATGTATGTATGTGTGTCTGTGTTTCTGTGCGTTTGTGTGTCTTTCCGTGTATGTGCATGCATGCATGCATGCATGCATGCATGCATGCATGCATGTATGTATGTATGTATGTATGTATGTACGAATGTTTGCATGCGTGCATGTTGTCATGCTGCGTATGTTATGCATGGGTTGCATGCTGTGTATTGTATGAGTGCTTTGTATGTTCTGTATGTTACGTGTGTTGTGTATGTTATGCATGTCACGATCCAGCTGCAAGCTGCTGAGCTGTCCACGTCAAACGAGCAGCGGCATGCCATCAAGCGTCAAAGCGAATTGTGGTGTTCTGGTACGCAGACGGTGACGCGCGTGCATAATTTAGCTTGGAAAGTTTGAGCTGTCAATGAGCTTGGCACTCTGCGTTGCCAGTGAGTTATTGTGAGTTTACATGTCTGGTTTGCTGCGATCCGTCGTAACCAGAGCTTTTGGGTTTAGGGCACGTCGAGTGGGAAGCAGCTGTGAGGTGCCGCAGTAGTCGCACGACGATCTTCGTTTTCCTCCAGACTGCCAATACATTCAGCTTCCGGCGAGTCTCGTGCCCGTCATCCGGCGCGAAACGTTTCTTTTCACTCACATGATGCACACAATGCCCCATTCACATGCTGTGGGTCGGCAGAACGGCTTTGCGAATGCCAGACCGCACCAACCCTGAATTGGCCAAAGAGCTGGGTCCGGTGCGCAGCCCGCAGCCCGCAATACACGTCAGTCAAAAACCCGCAATGTTGCAGTGCGCGGCACAGCGGGATCTGTGCTCGCGGCACAACGGGGTTCCCAGCGCGCCTAGTAGAGGACGGACGGAAATGTTTGGAAGCATAACGTTTTCAATGGACATGTGCATGTTTCGCTGCCTTCGCGGCGCAGCAAGAACCAGACCTAGCTGGATTTCGCAGTTGCTGGGTTGTACAAGATTGTTCGGTATATCGTTGACGCCAGAAACTGTGGCGTGACACCGAGGGCGTGCTGGCCGATATGCCGACAATTGTAATTCATACCAACCATCTTACATCATGGAGAAGCGCCCAAATCTTCGCATGATTTTGCACAACCCGCCTTGTTCCACCATCCCACCCATCCCATCCTGACCCCATAAATCTTCAGAAATCTTCTTAAAACCCTCCTAAATCCTCTTGAGTCTTCAAATATTTTTTAAAACCTTATAAAATCTGCATAAATCGCGCCCGAGTGCTTTCGGGTCAAACGACACGTATCAGTCTGTTGGCGCTTTCATTCGTCTGCAGGCCATGACGCCAGCGGGTTTGTCAGCAGCGCAGCAAGTATACTGCTAGATGGGCTACGCGTACTTGCTATGACGATTACGTGTGTTGTTGTCACTGCGGTTACGAACCAAGAATTACACGTACTGGTCCCGGGGCTATCTCGTATCACCTGGGTGTTTTACGCATCTGCGAGGCGTCTACTTCGGGGAACGCATTATAAACGCCATATCATCTTATCAGGCTCTGTATCTTCACCTTCATATTTTTCGGCGTCCGCAGCACGCTCTTGCATTTGTAAGTGTCAGTGTCAGTGGGCTTGCGCGCGCTCATCTTCGAACGAGTGTGTGCTTGTGTACTGCAGATTATGTATTAGACATATGTATACATATGCACTGGTGCGGTCAGTGCCTGTTTATTTTTTGAAGCCCAAAGAGTCTTCTGCTCACGTCCGCGTCGTGCAGGGTCACGCGGGACTCGCGTAGGACTATAACATAGCGACCTACTCACCACCCATTTTTCAGGGTTGCTTTTCATGCTTCCGTGCCGAGTTCAGGCATCCTCTCGGTCTTATACTAGTAGCATGCCACTTTCAAATCCCAGCCCCAGCGTCTACTTGGCAAACGCACTGCTTTCTTATCTTGGAATGCTTCCAAATGTAGTATATACCTCAGCGTCCGCAACAAAACCGGCACTTTGGCCTAGCTGCTGCGTGCTTCTTGAAACCAGCGTCTACATGGGGGTTAGGTAGTTCTGATTTGAAAATTTCCCGCTGATGTGTATTCTCCCTAAACCAGCGTCTGTCGGCATTGATGTGTATTCTCACCAGCTGATGTGAGATGACCCCAGCGGCAAGTAGCGCATGCACTTCTAGTGTTAGAAATATGTGTCTTACTGGTATTCCTAATTACCGTTGGTGCCAGCTAACGTATGACGATTAGCGGCACGTACCGTGCCAGTGGTGATATCAGAAACACTACGAACACCATTCGCACTAGTACCACGAAAATGGAACTATTGGTAGTGCTCATGCTACTGGTATTCAGTTTGCTAATCTTGCAACACTAAAGATAATGGCAGCATAAGTCACCAGTAATATCACTGGAGTGGGTAGAAACAGATACCAGGTTTGCGACTATTGCTAGCTATTGCTCCCACCACTGGCCCTACCATCACCAGTACTAACATTACTGCTAACGGCCTTAGTGTCACCAGCACTCGTCACATCACCGGGTTTACCAATGTTGCACTCCTGCATTGTTACGTACGTGTGTTGGTTCTTGTATTGCATTTTCTGGCATGTTGAAACTATGATCACGACGATGGTTTCACCTCTGACTGTGTCTCACAGTCGTACAATGACGTTTCTGTGTTTAGTACGACTAGTACTGCTTGTATGAGTGCTGCCACGAGGTGTGCAACCAACCACACGCAGTACTATGCAGTACTACTATTCGAAGAATTCTGGCAGCAACGCTTGAGGTGCACCACGACGACGACGACGACTAGTACTACTACGACGACGACGACTACTACTAGTACTACTACTACTACTACTACTACTACTACTATTACGACGACGACGACTACTACTACTATTACTACTGCCACTACGACGACGACGACTACTACTTCTACTACTACTACTACTACTACTACTACTACTATTACTATTACTACTACTACTATTACTCCTACTACTCCTACTACTACTACTCCTGCTGCTGCTGCTGCTGCTACTACTAGTACTACTACTATTATTACTATTACTACTACTACTACTACTACCACCACCACTACTACTACTACTACTAATACTACCACTACTACTACTACTACAACGAGTAGTAATACTACTACTATTATTTCGGCGACGATGAGGACGACTACTACTCATACTATTACTACTACTACTACTACTACTACTACTACTACTACTACTACTACTACTACTACTACTACTACTACTACTAGTACCACCACCACCACCACCACCACCACCACCACCACCACCACCACCACCACCACCACCACCACCACCACCACCACCACCACCACCACCACCACCACTTACTACTACTACTACTACTACTACTACTACTACTACTACTACTACTACTAGTACTACTACTACAATTATTCATTGTAATATTTCGAGGTTGTTTTAATTGTTTGGTAGGCATATTGTTTGTATTTGTATTGCTAGTGAAGCTCCCACTAGTAATATTCCTCGTGCTCCTAGCGCTCGTAGCGTTCGGACGATAAGTACTCGTGGTATTACTAGTATTTGCACAACCTACCACTAACGCGCTGCTCCTTCCGTTTGTGATAGGCGCGCCTTGGAGGAAAAAATGCACCGTCCTCACCCCGATTCCGCAAGAGACACTGCGGGTTTCGCAAGCAGGATCTGCCTCCCGGACTTTTCCGCTTCAGCATGCTGTTTTTCAGAAGCGTCGCGAGGCCAGGGCACACATTCGAGATGCTGACATGAGCATCGAGGTGTTTGCCAGTGACTCACGACCGCATTGCGGCATATTATTGCGGTAGTCCCCAATGATCTCGCTCGGAAGGGCCCTGCGCACCGCAGGATCCGCTGGCGTCGCCCTGCGGCCACCCCTTGCCGGTACTTTAGAAACCTTGTCGACCGGATCCACTTTCTACAGTTGCAGCGGATTGGTGGTGATGTTTGCATATGCCACCGCCCTTCACACCAGCGACATGTCGTTGTCGATGCACTCGGTGACCACATCGCCGCGTGCCCTCGCTTTCTCCACACTCGACCGGTGCTTTATATGTTGCTGTCATTAGGCCTGATCTCGCCGATATCGGGCGGCGCTGGTAAGACGGTGCCGAAAACCGTTTCCAATCTAACCGGAAAAACGCCGATTTTATCTCCGAGTTTGCAGTCGCCAGCGGCGGGTTTGGTGGGAATAAGTAACACAATCCAAAAGTGCATGGGACAGGGAGTTAAGGCCATTAGTGCAAAATCGGCATGGGTTCAATATCATACCGTTGTTGGCTATACACGACCCTGTGCTGATGCGATCGGGTCTGCCATCGAGCATAGCACTCCATAGAGTTAGTGCAATGCAACAGTTTTGAATCGAGAAAAAAGGAGGTCTGTTCAGCATCGGTGTCCCGCGCAATGCGGGCAGTGAGACATGTATAGAGCAGGGACAACAAAACGTGCCAGCAGACCAGCTGCTTGCAACAAGCATGATGATGACAAGTCTAGCCAACCTGATTGCCCCTGTGTCGCGGCAGTCGGCGCTCCCCGAGGCCACATCAGCAGACAAGCGACCGCCTTGAAACATGCGTACATTGACACGCTGCGCATGGCGGGATGCGGGCACGAGTTCGAGGCCGAAACAAAACATACTCAGCACAGCCCTTCGAGTGTACTGGCAAGTACCGGGTGCAGGTCATCGCTGCGTGGGAGGTGGCCCCTCCCGAAAATGAAGTAGCCTGGGTGACCCGAACTCCTCCATGGGAGGCCGAAGAATGGTGTTGCTTGCGCATGGTGTTGAAGGCCTAGTTGTACTTGTATCTCAACGATGCTTTCCTTGCAAGTCGGCGGCAAAGGAGCGGCCCACAACACAACCGACGAGGCCGCGGAATAGGCACCAGCGCATGCTGACCACCGCTGTCCGATCACAGCCGCCGACATGGCCTCTGGAGCTACCGAGTCTTGAGCCAGATGGCTCGAGCCAAAATGGCTCAGGCAAGTAGTTCGGAACATCGCTGCACCCACCCTGCGGCCCTGCTGGCCCGCAGGTGGGGAGGCGCGGACCGTGCTCGGCCGCGGGACGGGACGGCCTCTGCGTTCCAGCGTCCTGCGGCCTCGATGGCGAGCACGACAAGATGCCATGTGTTGCACACGGAGAACATGGGATGGCCGCATGCCTTTTGTGGACGGCTTCACGCACAGATCACCTGCCAGGCTTCGGGCCGCTTGCCCTCGCGTGGGGATGGCTTTTGGTGGGCGTCCTCCTCGGTCTTCTGTCCCGGCGAACGGTGATCGCGATCAGAGCGCGATCGTAATATGTCGCAATAACGGCGGGCGGTATCTTGTCGCTAGATTGCGATATACCCTGTGAACCGGCTTGGGTCCTTCCGCCCCAAGCAATGCTTTTGGCACTGCGCCGCCGCTTGCACTTTCCCACTGCTTTGTGTGCCAGCCGTTGTCGTCCACCCGGATGCGGAGGAGAAGTGGATGCTCATGGCGTCCAGTCCCTCGCATGCACTCGCACTGGCCTGCGAGTTCGCAGCCAGAGCTGCAGGAGGTCTTCGCTCACTCGCGGAGCGACCAGCTGTAGATTCCAGAAGCTGCATCTTCACCCGTACCAACTTGGGACTCCTTTCGCTGTCGCAAAAAGGCATGCAAAAAAAAGAAAAACCTGCCTTCGCAGCTGCCAGGTCCTTTGCAGCCTCGCTGTTGTCGCCGCCCTTCCATGGCGCCGCCAACGTCGATGGCGCCCTCCCCGACCTGAGCGAGCACCGACTTGACAGCCCGCCATCAGCATGCACGTTATTGCAGGCACCACAAGTGCTTCCGTTGTGATGCCAATTATAGTACCCGCGTCAAAAGAAGAAGGTACGAATTTTGTAGCAAATCGACTGCGATTTCTGCATCCCCTGCTATCATGGCTGTGTTTTCTTTGGGTGCTGCTGTTCTCGAGATTCGCGGGACGCTCGGCACATGAAGTTTCAGGGGTCGCAGCTCCCGACATCAACAGCCGGTATGCTGGACGGCCGGCGTGGTGGGGCGAGGCGGGAAGGCACAATTTTTCCGATGCCCGCACCGTCCGCGCAGCCATGCAATTTGCGGAGGTGCACAATGCACAAAGCATGCAGCAGGAACCCAAGCCATGCAGGCGCTACACACGCGTAGAAAAACTGGTCACCGCTGCATGCATTTCTGCGCGGCGGCCAACGATCGTTGGGTCGATGCGAACTTGCTGCACCTATGGTCTCTGGACAGGAGGCCTGTGGCATACACGGTATGTTAGGGCCGAACCCAGGCCGGCAGCCCCAGGCAGCTTGCCCACGGGCTCGTTCCTCCACGGTCGAGGACTTTTTGTGCAACGGGCCGCATCTGCAGAGAAGCCGGAGCCACAGTCGCAGCCAGTGTCCTTCACGGCGACGTCAACATCGGCGGCAAGACGACCGACGTATTGAAGTTATCGCGCAGTCACTTGCCGGCTCGGCTTGCCTATAAGCCTGTGAGTTGCGTTACCCCCGGCCCGCCGTAGTCTGCAGCCCTACGCACCGGGACCGTTTTGACTTCTGGAAAAAAGGTGCGTGACAAAGAAAACAAAACCGGCTACCCCTGTGGGCTCGTTACGGCCTTTGATGCGAGACGCCGGTGGCGACACCAGCGCAACTAACCAGACCGTCGAGGTCGACGGACGCTGGCGCGTGGAGGCCATCCAGCTCGTCCGACCCCGCCCCCGCTGCCCAGCACAGTCCGCACCTCCCCACCCGCGTGCCAGCAGCACTGCAGCATGTGTGCTGCGATGGCCTGGATTTTTTGATACAGCAGTGCGCACTGGGGCCAGGCCAGCTCTTCGTCGCGTTGTCGCGAGAACCTTTGTGGAAAAGAATAAGCAAACATGAGGAATCGTGTGCGTGCAAACATTCCACGGCCGATCACGCATAGGGCTTTGGTTTTCTTGGTGCCTCGCGCCCGGTCCTTCGGTTGGATCGTCCAGTCGACCATGTGTGCCTGCGCAATAATTTTCTGCAGGCGGTAGCCCACCGGAGCGCAGGTTATGGCATGCTTTTCCTTGAGGTGGAAGGCGGAAGGTTGGCTGCCGGGAAGCAATTGGAGCAGGTGCTTTCTACTTCCTTTGGTTTCGCCTAGCCGACCAGGGCCTAGGCGTGTGGCCACATAGAAGGCTCGCATATTCGCAACACCATGGTCCGCGCGACCGGCCCTTGGTCGGGGCATGGTTGACTTGATGCAACGGGGTCGGGCCGTTTCCTTGTATGCTTTCTACATGCGTTGTATTGGTCCATGTCATGAAACGACTGCCCAGGGCTGCAGTTTGCTGCTGCAGTGGCACTTCGAGATTTCCGCAGTTGTTATTTATTTCCGTGTCCTTTGGCTTCGCACATGTCGAACCGTCGCCAGCGGCTAAGCATTTGTCCGCCAAACAAACACTAGGCAGGCGCACGCTTCGTCCGAAAAATCCCGAGCAAATGGTTCCGCAGGTGCACATTCCCACACCCCAACCCAATCCCACATTCACATGAATTCTGCCGTCAGGCCGCATGTTGGGTTGTTGCCGTTGTTTTTGTAACCCTGTGGCTGTGCGAAAGTGCCTTAGCCATTTCATACTTTTCAAATCTGGCGAAAGCCACATGGGAACAAATCATCAGATCACCCATTCACGATCTAGTCACCCAGTCATGCATTCCGACAGATGCGTCGCCGCGTTCTTTGAGGGCCAGTACTTGCAGATCACGTTGAACGTTGAGGCGTGGTGAAGACTACGTGTGATCTATTTGCCATTGCTTGCCATGTTTCCACGTGACATTGGCACTTACACACTGGAACACGCTGGCCCCAATCTCGTGATGCCAAACGCCGAAGATGTTGCAGGAATTTTGGGCAGGCTGGGGGCGTGCAGGTCCGCCACCTCCCATGGCGGCCGTGCCCTCGGAATTCTTGCCCGGGAAGCTTGTCAGATCTCGCTCGGGATCTACAAAACCACCACATACGGCAGAGAAACACAGGCGTACCCGCGCCCTGCACGCGCACACATGTGTGTGAGAGAGATTCTGAGGACAGCTTTGGTTTGTGCATCCCACGAAGAGTATGTAGCGAAGAGCTGGTGACCCTTGGCCACGTTTGGGAGCGGCCTCGTTGAGGATTCGTTTCTTTGCAGTTTTTGAGTGTTTTTGAAGTGTGCCCATGAACATGATTGAAGTTGCAACTTGAGTGTTCGTGAGGTTTTTTTGCACGTCGATGGTCTGAAACAGTGAAGTCGTCGATTTGTTGTCGCTGATGCCGTCCGACTTTGTGTTGAGGAGCTTGCATGTGCAGACGTGCGCACCCACACGAGGCCAACAGTTGATCAGCAGTTGGTTCTGCAATGGGTAATGATTCGAAGGCTGACAGGTTCGCATGGGGTATGAAGTTGAAGTTGCGGGTGGTTTTGCCTGGTTGCTCAGCTCCCTCACACACGAGAGCCATCTAGATCCATTATAAGATGCTTTGAATCCAGGAAATGGTTACTACTTCCTGTGTATTCCTTGTACGTCCAGACCGGCGATCCGGCACTTGTGGATCACGAAGCCCTTTGGCAGAATGTGGCCTATGCACACGGATTCTGCAGGTCGACAACTACACTTGGCATATCTTGAAAGCATCGTAAGTTATGTATGTCAATGTTTCCTCGGCTGCATGGTTATGGTAGGTACCTTCAACCCCAAGCCCAAAACACCCTTGAATACGATAAAACGTCCCTTAAACCCAGCTCCTGCGTCGGCTGCTGCATGGGTTTACCGAGGGTATCCTCAGCGAGGCGACAGTCCTCCAGAGCTTGCGCGGCGAACCGCCAGGATCAATTACGATCAAGTCGGGGGTTGAACTGGAAGTGCCTTGGTTGCAGTATGTTGCTGTTGGTGGTGGAGGTGGTGGTTGCGGTATCACCACGGATTGCGTTTTCACTGGGCGCGGCACCAGGAGACGATCCACAACCGCGCCACCAAAGAGTTGGAGCGGGGTGTCCATGGGTTTGGGGATAACTCTCCGGCCTGCCCAGTTTGCATTTTCTCAATGAACGCGGAAAAACTCCATAGTTCACTCATGGCTATGACTACAATAAAGGCACAGCCCCTCAACTCGAAACCCTCTAACGCATTTGCTCCTGCAAGGAGGCCGCGCTGCCGACTCCTTTCTCGCACGTGACAGGGGCTGCCTGCAGCACAGCTGCCAACGGAATTCGTTTGAGCTGCACAGTGGATTGCTCGCAGATTGTTGTAAGATGCCCAATCACTGCTTCATCAACACTAATCACACAGCATTATCCCCACCTTTCACATCCACAATTAGCTGTCGCGCCCCGTCCCCTTGCCACTCCCAGCTGAAGCCAAGGCATTGTCGGTCATCTCCGCACTTTGGGCAATCCTGTAGCGGCTTACTCGCAATACTCTGTGTTGATGAGCCCTCCGTCGTTTCAGCAAGCAGGTGGGAGGCAAGGGCAGAGACGCAGACACGGGCTTCGGCCTGGGGTGTTCAGACAATGTTCAGACTACATTAGCCCCAGCAGGTTTGTAAGTCTATGCCACATGACCATGGTTCTTGCGGGATTCATTTTCACGAGTAGACCCATGCAATAAGCAACCCAAGAAACATCGGAGGGTTAGTGAAGTAAAATCATGGCACTTCGCAAGGTGATTCTGGGCGACGCGCAGGTTTGAAGATTTGCGAGCTGTGAAGGGTGCTCAAGTCACGCGTCGTTGCGTTTGTCGTCGACTCAGGTTTATCAGAATCTTCGGCAAAACGAAGCTTGACTGAAAGGAAGGCCGAAGCAATTTGTGGACCGAATTTGCAGTGATCTTAATTATGGGAGCTTCTAGGTCGCAGCATGCTTCTCCTGCCCACTGTCCTTCTACATGCAATTCTTGCGCGCTGCCCAACTTGGCATCTCTGACTCCCGTCACCATGCCGCTCGTGGGGTTTGAGCATGCTGATTTGTTTTCAAGTTGCCCTCCGAAGTCACTCAAGTTCTGGCATCGGGGTTTCTTATCGACATCGTTTGCTTGTCACACTCCCTCGTGCTCCTTCGTCCCTCCCGCCCGAAACCGTTCTCCGATATTGATATGCGTGCATACATAGTTCCATTACAAGTAGTTTTGAACGTTCCCACGCCTGTCTAATTTCGAAATCCGCTCTCTGCAGCACGTATCCGACATGATGTATGTTATAGATGTAAGCTCCGATTCTTGGATACGACACCAGCATGCGTGCACACTGTACAGAGCTGACGCGAGCTTGTACAAGCAGCACATGAACAGTCGTGAGCACACTGATGATGAGATAGCAAGCCATGATTTGGGAAACTTGGAACCATCGATCAGGTTGAACACGTCGGTTTGTGAATAAAACCATCCCTCCCTAACCGACTGTACTTGGAAGGGGGTGTTACATCGATGTTTGGGGGTTCGAAGTACATTTCCCCTTGTTCCGACGGGCCCAGTAGGCATCCCAGTACAATCCAGTACACGTGCTTTACCTGGGACCTTCCAGCTGAGATACTGTACTTGGGGGTTTTAGGTCAGGAGCCCCTGCAGCAACGAACAGCAACGAACAATGTACTCAAGGGGTTGGTGGGGGACCTTCAAGTACTTTAGGTAAAGTCAGCACAACGGAGTTCATGCACGCACAGCGTCGCAAAGAATAAATACGCCCATACACCCATGCACGAACCACGGATTATGGATGAATGGCTGGATGGGAGGAACGATGCATGCCAGCATGCATGACTGCATGTATGTATGTACGACGTACGCCTCTATGTACATATACGACTTATATATTTTACATACACGTTTCCAGTTTCGCATGCATTCCCGATTGCGGGGTTGAAAGGTTCTGGATGAGCCTTCAAGGCGTGCAGTTCCGGCAGAAAGTTCGTTTTATGTTGCAGCCTGACTCTAAGCCCCTAGGGCGTGCATCTCCGTTGAAGTTTGGCCAGCAGTTAGAGACGACGGGCTTCGGGCTCCAACCCACGTGGCTCTCCGGAGCAAATGGTCCGAGAGGATCGGGGACAAGTGCTCTATAGGTCATCTATGGTTGTGTTGACCGGAATGTCGAAACTCAGGCAACGCAGAGCCTCAAGGCTTGCTGGGCATAGAAAACCGTAGCTTTGGTCTTCGACTCTGGAATTATAGGGATCATGAGCGTTAGGGTGGACAATGGCCCTTGATCTAATCAGATACCAAAAGGCTTTGGACTCCTTGCACTTCTCTGAACTCCGGACGATTCTCGTCACCGAGTTTGGCAACAGTGTGCCTGAGAATGTGTCTTGGTCGAAATGGTATAATGGAAGCTCCAAGATAGAATTTCCGAGGGCGAGTGCTACACAAGTCAGAAGTCAGGCGCTAGTTTGAGGTATTTACAGGCGAGTCTGTTTAATGTTGGGTTGCTTGTAGAATGCTTGAGGCTGGCGCTTCGATTTTTATGCCTGTATGCTCCAACGGTGGCGAGTCAAGTTGTAATGCCGAAGTTGAAGCATTACCAAGCGTCGCCCTGCGCATGTCGATGCTTCTTGGTCCAGTCCAGATACACCGAGCGTGCTAAAAGTACTGAGGTGTCCGCAAGTTTGGCAGAGGAGCTCAGGACACGCATTTGCCCAAGACTTGGCCATTTCCCACAGAAATTTGGGCAGGTTGGGCTCACAGTTCGGGTTGAATTTCGAAGGTCATGTCAAAGCATTGTGCAGTGGAGCTGATCACCCACAACTTCTAGAAGAGGTGCGACGATGTGCCCATGTTCATTTGCTTTTTCATGTTGGGGTGATGTGCGATGCTGCAGAACAAGCACTGTAGATTTTGTTCTGAAGTGATGTCTACATGCACTACGAGACTTTGCTCACGTTAGGTTCCGACTCTGGCGATTCAGAAGTCAATCCCTCGCAGAAGCCTGCACCCGAACCCCTCCAAGCCCTTCTAAGCAGCCCAAAATACAAATCCAAACCTAAGCCACCCAACCCGAGTCTTAAAGGCCTTTTGAGTGACTCAGCTGTAAAGGGTTTCGGAGTTGCCAATGGGTTTCTGGCGGCCGGCGGAAAAGTAAGTCCCCCGGACATCTGAACAGCATTGCAGCTGAAAAGCAGGATTGTGTCCACCTATGAGATTGTCAAGATTGTGCAGTAACCCTAAACGGAACTCCAGAAAGTTGGAATATGGTTTCAGGGTAGGATACCTTATAATTTACCATAAAGGGTTTAGGATAATCATATTCCAACTTTCTGGCTTTTACTTTAAGCCTAAACCCTAAGCAGAATGAGTTCAGGGTGCTGCTCCCCTTGTGCCGTTCTCCAGGAGTAAAAACCCCACGCGCAGCTGGAGGGAGGTCGCACATGCGCTGGAAGCCATCGCGCCGGACGGGGTGTTCATGTGCGCAACCCTAACCCTAAACCCTCCGGAGCCCGATGACCAAACACTGTCGAATCGAAGGTCGCTCTTGCGCTGAAAAGATAAGGCTCCATCATGCGCACTTCGGATTTGGACTTTCTTGCAGGACGTCATCCTGAACGTCGCGGTGGCTGAAGAAGGACTGGTCTGACTCTCCACCCAAAGCAATGTATGTATCTCAACCAAAACGGTAACCTTCCGTCAGCCCCCGAGAACCTAGAAATTGTTAGGAACTATATATCGAAGACAAGCTTTTGTCTGATGTGCGACTCACGAGCAAGTTGCGGTAAGAGAGCAACTGTGGCCAAATTGTACGCCTTGGTTAGGAAGCAAAACCGTAGCAGGAAAAACTCACTGCAGCTCCAGACATCTCGCCAGTAGAGACGGCTCAAGGATTCAATATTTCAACATTATCCACGGAGGCCTGGATGTGGAAAGGCGGCAAGTGATATAGCTGTGTGAGTAGTTTGCTAATACTACTCCCTAGTTCGGGTTTCTAAGTAATTCCAGTATATAGCATGTTGCAAATCCTACTTTAATTGTAAACCTCTCAAGCCTTCAAAGTTGAGATTTTTTGTTAGTTGCAGGAGATCCCCCCGATCGGAAATGCTCGGACACGTATCCACGCTCCTGCAGCTTTGCTTTCGGGTTTAGGGATGTTTAGGGTTTCTTTTTGCGGAAACCGTGACGAAGGGAATTTCCGTGGAGGTGGCGTGGATGGCATGGCGTGATGATGTTGATGGAAGTTGTCTTTAGGTTGTCGTGAGCTTTCATGGCATTGGTTTCCTGAGTTGGTTTTCAGGATTTCGTGAGGTATGTCGCCACGCATGGTAAATTGGTGATCCACGAGTGCTGCCGTGACGGCTGCATGCCCGGATGGATGTACGGACGAAGGACCGCATGGATGGATTGATTGATGCAAGATGAGATGGGGTGAGATGAAGTGAGATGAGATTGCATGTTCCCTCCCTGCTCTGAACGTTGGGGACATACGTTTGGGCATGGTTTGGATCTTTAGGGCTGAGGGTTTTGCGGTTTTTGTTTCGCATGTTTGGCTAGGGGCCTGAAGCAGCAGTCAAGGGCGAGTCGTTCTGCGACTTAGACATTTCTGTTGATTGGACGACTAACCTTTCTTGCCCTGATCGCATTTCTTTACATACACCACCGAGTGGGGACAAAACCAGAAGGATAACCAAGTCCGCCACGGAGCGCCTTGCATCGCTCCTTTGTGTCAGGAAGGTTCTGGTTTTATTGTCTTGCTGTTCTCACCACAAGTTTGCACCGAGCAGGCAGCAAACTTGGTCGCTTACGGGAAGTTAGCGGGTTGATCCCCGACAGCTGAAGTCAGCCATACTTCTTTTTTTATACTGGTAAAGGACTGCTCTATGTTACAGGAAACCTTGTGTAGTCCTGGCCCGAACTTCAGTCGTGCAGAGCCTGCCAGTTGCGGCACTACACTGGTTGTTCTCCGGGTTGTCCTTTCTATGGGGACTCCTTCGGCAGCTGGGGAGCTGTTCCAACTGGAAGAATTTTTTGCGGGAGCCCTAATTAAACCCCAAACCGTCTAATGATGCTGAAGACGAATGAGTGTCGAATCGTTTAAGCAAAAAACACTAGCCCTCAACCGGTCTTTTCACACATGGCAACGGCTTTGTACATTATGGTCATGAGGGCCAGGAGAGAGATCATTCAGTAGTGCGCGCTGCACGCAAAATCTCACAGCACAGCTCTGCGTTGCTTCTTTTCGTTGCAGCCGGCTCTGGCCGAGAGATGTTTGTCAGCGGGCTTAACCGTAAACTCGAAAACAAATTCCAGTACGTATTAAACTCCGCATTAGACTCCGACGGGGGCCCGGGAATCCTCCTTGAGCTTGCCGAATTTTTCTCAGTTCCAGGCAATGCGCAGTGGAAGCGGCTGGAGCTGTGTATGGCGCAAGTCCTGACTATGGAGCCTCTTGGTGCAACAGGCCCCCTTCAGCCCGAAAAAACTTCTTCGGCGTCAAGCGAAGTTTGACGACGTGACGACGAATACGAACGTGACTACAACGACGGCAACGAATGCGAATGTGAATGTGGCACGAGTACGACTGCGAGCGCGGGTACGATTAAACGCAGTCGCATACGAAGAGGACGACGACGACGACGACTACTGCTGCTGCAGCCGCTGCTCTTGCTTCTACTGGTAGTTTTCTTTCCTTTTTTTATTCCTGTTCCTATAAGTACTAGACTATGACTACTGCTGAGGCAATTCCGTTGCGATTGGTATTGCTACTTCTGCTACTTACCACAACAACAACTACAACTACTACCACTGCTATACCACTACTACTACTACTACTACTACCACTACTACTACTACTACTACTACTACTACTACTACTACTACTACTACTACCACTACCACTGCCACTGCCACTGCCACTGCCACTGCCACTGCCACTGCCGCCACTGCCACTGCCACTGCCACTGCCACTACCACTACCACTACCACGACCACGACCACGACCACGACCACGACCACTACTGCGACGACGACGACGACTACTACTACTACTACTTCTACGGCTGCTACTACTACTACTACTACGACTACTACTACTGCTAGTACTCTACAAAAAATACTACTACTACTACTACTACTACTACTACTACTACTACTACTACTACTCCTACTGCTACTACTACTACTACTACTACTACTACTACTACTATTACTACTACTACTACTACTACTACTACTACTACTACTACTACTACTACTACTACTACTACTACTACTACTACTACTACTACTACCTTTACCTCTACTTCTATTACCACCACCACCACCACCACCACCACCACCACCACCACCACCACTGCCATTGCTGCTGCTGCTGCTGCTGCTGCTGCTGCTACTGCTACTGCTACTGCTACTGCTGCTGCTTTCGCCACTGCTCTTGACTGCTACTGCTCCTGAGCTGCTTGCTGCTTCTTGCTGCTGCGATAGCGTTGGTAGTAGCATGTCGATCTGTCAATGTCATTAGTACCAGCACTAGGAACCTTGTTGCATCAGGTTGAGCGCTTGTGAACAACAGCTTGAGCTCAGGCAGCAGCGGGGGAAACCTTTCGACTGGGTCATTCGTCTTCGTCCAGACATGCACTTCAGCACCTTGGCGGCAGTCCAGATCCTAAACGCAATGCGGGCCGCGTCCTCGCTAGGTAGGAGAGAAAAAAAATCGGTCAGATAGGGTTTTGAGAGTTCTTTGCAAAGCTGTCCTAGAGCTTTTATGGCAGGTTACCTAGACGTTAACGATTGCCTTTTTCTGTCGGCAACGTGCTCGTGGTGCAGTGCTCACCCCGGACCCAGATGAGCTATCCGCATAGGATCCGAGATGGTGTGTTCTTGGGTCAGGGTTAGAGCGAGAGGGTCAAGTAAATTTCCGGCACACCCTGCAATCCAGAACCGTTGAGTCCTGGATGCAAACATGTTCAGGGGACAGCTGTCTCAAATGAGACTACAGGCGTTTTGAAAGAGTACCCTGGTCTAGGTCGATTGCCGAGGGCCTGTGGTTTCTCACGGCACAGGTAGGGTGCTTGCTGCTTGAAGGCCCTGTGCAAGACTTGGTTTTCGCAGGGCTAGCTTGGGGCGCGGCAACGCTGAGGCCTCGGCATGGCGAAGCGAAGGCCTCAACCCTTGACCTAAACTACCCTAGGGCTCCATAGTAGTTCCGTTTTGGGGTTCATATTTAGAATCCTATAAGGGAATCCCAAAAAGGAACTACTATGGGGCCTCTGGGTAGATCCTACATGATCCTACACCCTCGACGACAAATGGTGCACCAAACCGCGGTACTGCCGTCACAGTAGGCTTCAACAAGTTCCTTCAGCTCGCACCGCTCGTGCCTGGAACCATCGTTTCCCGTCTTCGTACTGTTGAGAGATTCGCGGCTCAAGGTTTGCAGAGAACACCCTACGGAGTGGGTTCGAACACCCAAATCGGGATCTGTAAACCCTCCACACTGTTTAACCAACCACGTTGTCACTGCGCTCAACACTAAGCCACTAAGCCTTCATCGAGACAGGTGTACCGTTGGGTGATATTCGAATCTACGATCCGGACCACGTGCATCTGCCCGTTGGAAGTTGGACAGATCCGCACGACGCGCCACTGAATTGGTATGTTCAGAGTTTACTCTCTGCGGTGCTGCCAATAAAGCCGTAGACCCTACATGCCACAGATCCCAAGCCCAAAACTGCTAAACCCTACTTGTGAGAGCGAAAACCCCACTTCGCAAGCCGGCAAACTTCGAGGATACCTTTGCACTCCTCCCGCGGCGGTTTGCCCCGATCTACTTCAGCACGCCAGGTTCTCAGTAACCCAAAGGGACTTGGGGTTACGGCTCAGGTGGGGTTTGAGGGTTGGGGGTTTGGGCCAGAGGCGTTTACAAAACCCCGGCCCCAAGCCACCAGACGAGAACTTTGGAGACGTGAAGTGGAGAGAACTTCGCAGATCGGAAGTTTAGATCCGGATGCTCATGCATTCTTCATGTAGAGCCTCCCACTGCAAACCTCGTTGTCTCTACACTACTCATGGATACTTGAAATTACGCTTTCGTCTTGCCAGCAGTATATGTCCACCGCCACCGAAAGGTCCTCTAATCATAGGCTCGAATCAGCTGTATTTCAAGTCAAGCAGTTGACCCCTTAATCGTTAGAAAAGACTTTTCTGGAGCATAATATAGTGTAGCGATAATAAGGAGATCATTTGACATAGTATCACACATGATTCACACTTGTTGTTAGGTAGTTGCGGTTTCCTTTGCCTCCTGATAAGCAGAACCCGGGGATCAGCACTACTAGTCTCCCAGACTTCAGAAGTTCCACAGTATGAGCTTTACCTTATTAGGAGGTAGGGCTAAGTGTCATTTACGGCTCAGGATCATCCAGCAAGGTACCCAAATCTAACTGTTGGACTGTTTGGTTTGGTCGAGGCAACCCCAGTTGAGGTGGTTAGTTTTCTGTCATCTAAAGAATCTAAAGTACCATCAGAATCTGAAGTGGGTGGTTGTCAATATTAGGGTCCCTTTTTGGGTCCCTATTATAATACGGCACCTAATATTTACGGACCCTAATGTTGACAACTACCCAGGTACAATCAGAACCGACCCTCAACCTCGAAGCCCTGAGCACCTCAGCTTCAAGGTTTGGGTTTTGCCTACGGTGGCAAAGCCCTGTGGGGAAACGACGCTTCGGGACACAGTTATAGTATTGCAGTAAGTACAGAGGTTAATGGACAGGTCAGTTGTGCATATGGCACGGCAGCGAGAGAGAGAGAGAGAGAGAGATGTAAATGTAAATAGTGACTTGCATGTCTATCAACTACAGGTGCACCTGCCGCATCTTTTTCTACAAAAGCTTGCAAGACCTCCCAAAAAGCAAAGTTAACTACTGTTCAGCTCCAGAGTCCGGTATCCCTAATCAGAAGCCCTCACAGTACGGTTTCCCGTTGCACGGGATTTAGTGCGCGAGACTAGAAACGAAATGTTAAGTGCCTCCGATGCCTGCGGGGTGAGGTTTGCAGGACAGTCAGGCCGGAATGCTGACCGATACAGACTATGCGAAATGAACTTAAACGTCGTAAATGTTGAGGGTTTATGGTCATTGTAGTAGGTGTCTGACTTCGGTGACGGTGTCCTAGCAACCCTTGATTTGACAAAGACCAAAGATAGTTACAGTACATAAGCAGCCAAAAGAATCTACCATCCCAATTAAGGCCATATGGACCCTAAAACCTGATCTCTCCCCCAGGCGGCAATATGGTGGCACTGAGTACTGCTGGGTCTCGCCAAGCGAAGTGAGGCACCGGACTTCCCCTTCAACAAAAATCGAGTAGATCCCTTGAAAGGAGCTCTCAAGGATCCCTGTAACGGTAGAAAGGTAGTATAGTAAGGCCCCTACCCCTAAGACTCCATGATGGTTGTAATTCCTCGGTTCGATCGGTTTGCGGTTGTTAGCGATTGCATGCGGTACCGTATTGCTAGGTATTGCTGTTGGCGGAGCGGTGCGGTTCGCTACCCCCTCCAGCTACACCCACACCCGCTCCACCACACGCGCCTCAAATCGTCCTTGAAGCCCAATAATTACCGCGCTGCGGTGTCTCGCAGTGTCGATTTATAGTTTTCTGCGAAGGGGATACATTTCGGCGACGATACTGTTACTGTTTCGATGTCGAAGTAAGTATCGTTGCAAAGCTGTAGATTTGAATAGGAATGACATCTTCTATAGAATTGAAGGGGAACCCTATAGAATAGACTGGGATAGTTGACTTGATTATTCAGGGTTCTGCAGTAGGTGCAGAGGTCTTGGAACGTGTTCACGGTTCATGGGCTCTTCAAGCCCCAACATCAGCTAGCACCAAAGGCTTCATGCTTCATGGCAGGGTCGCAGCACGAGGTGAAACTAGCAGATTTGAGTCGTGCGCACTGGCGGACAATGTGCTGAAGGGTTCGTGGCCTAGAACGTGCAATGCACTGGCGCTCTCGACCTCAAATCCCGCTCCAAAAACTGTAGATTTTCCTCAACCCCAAACTATTCCTTGCCCCTGGAAGGTCTGACGATTGCAGCCTGGCTGCAGCGAGCCATGGTGTCGCGAGGTTCCCTTGATCCTTTTTCCGCTTGCAGCGCGGAACTCTCGTCCGTCGCTCCCTCCCTGCCTGTTTAGTCTTGCTGCCACGCATGGGTATAGAGGGTGAGGGTTTAGGGTTTAGAGTCTAAGGAGGCTTTAGAGGTTAATTAGGGAGGGTTTAGAGGGTGAGGGTTCAACGAGTGTAACTTTAAACGCTTCGCATCGTCCGCCTCGACCCGGCTGTGCGGGGCCGAGGCGAATTAGACATGTTTGCCCTTGCCTCTCTTGACAAGCTAGCAGCATTCTGCTTTAAGCACTTCAGAGAGACCTCGTTCAAACAAGGGGTCGGCAAGGAAGCTCAGGTTCAATAGGGTTAGGGAGGGTGTAGGGGTTAGGGTTTAGGGGTCATAAGGAAAGGGGCCCGGATATAGGGTGTAAAGTTTAAACGCAGCCCTGTACAAGGCTGCCATCGGCTGAAGCTGCAGCTCGAGAAGCACCAGGCGCGAATAGGTCTGAGGACCTCGAGGGGCCCACGGTTTAGGGTTTAAAGCGAACTCCAGAAAGTTGGAATATGGATTAATGGTAGGATCCCCTATACTTTACCTTAAAGGGGTTACGATAATGATATTCCAACTTTCTGGCTTCTACTGTAGGCAGAACTCCCGAAATCTTCAATTCCCCAGCCCCAAGCCCGGTTTAGGGTTTTGGGCAAACCTTGTAATCCTAAACCGCAAATCCACAACTCCACGCACGGGAGCCCTAAAGAGGATCACAGCTTCGACACTGAAGCCGAATGCTTCGAGTCAAGAGCAAGAACACATGAGCTGCCTAATATAGTTCCCCAAATAGTAGGATCCTTATTATAAGGACCCCGAATAAGGTACCCCTCATAAGTCCACATCATGTCGCACCTGATTGCTCAGGGCTGCAGGTCCCTAAACCCTATGCAAACCCCTAAACCTTACACCCCCAAACCCGAGACCCTGAGCCCTGCAGCGGCCCAAACCGGAGTTCAGGCTCAGGGTTTCAGGTTCGGGATTTCGACTCAGGAGCTTTGGTTTTGAGGGCTTTCTGTTATCCCGGCTTGGGCGTCAGGGTTTAGGGTTTAGGTTAGGCCTCAGGATTTATCCTTAAGTCGGCATCCGGTGTAGATGGCACTTGAGGTGTTATTCTGAGCATGAGGCACGGGATGGTGGCCTTCCATTGTCTTCGGACTTGAACGAGTATGCACATCTGCCGGAAATGTCACAGCAGTTATCACGTGAAAGTTTATAGTCCAAAGCCACGCTAACTAGCAGGTATTGAGATTCCTGTAAAGCTTAACTGTTGCAGCTTTTGCAAGCGCATGCCGCACGGAAGCTGCTGCGGCTGCGGTTTTGAAGGGTTAGCGGTCAGTCGATTGTTTGTGGTTCGCGTACTGCAGGATCTGGTTGGAGGACATAAAGCTCGGAAGTTAATAGTATCCCATCTGAATATATTCATGCCACATTGTATTCAAATCATCATCGCTCCTGTACATAAAAGAAGCCCTTAATAATCACTTACAGAAGCCCCGCGAATAGCCCGAAGAACCTCCGGTCTTTTTCAAGACCTTACTCTATAAATTACCTGTATAAAGCCCCTAATATCAGGTGCCTGTCAAACGTTTTGCCCACGAGCTGCCACCTGCCACAAGTGAGGAGTTTTGGGGGGCCTTGAAAGTTTAGGATTGTGGTTTACGCGTCTTGAGCTCTCAATTACGATTGGGTGCGTGGTTTTGGCAGAGTTCGGCATGTCCTGGTCTTCATTAGCATCCCCCACGGCGCAACCCTAAACCCTAAACAGTCAACGGAAGTTGCGAGAGGGTAAACTTAAACCGTCAACGGAGAGAGCCTTCACTTTTGGCGCATCTGAGGGTTTCCTCGCGTTACCTTGTGCTGCTCGGCTGCAAGATGTTGTTCCACTTGCCACAATGGCTAAGGGCTTGCAGAGTTTAGGGTCCGCAATATTATGTCCAAGCTTCCTAGCAGAGTGGGCACCTGAGCACACTGCGTAGACCATACATTCAACCAGTTCGCATGAACTTGCTTTGGAAGCCGCTACGTAGGCACGTCCTTCACCCCAAAGCATCCCAACCCTTAACCGAGAATCATGTGTCGTTTGCAATACGTCATAAGGCTCCATTTTTGGGCCCCGACGTTGAACAGGAAACCGTTATCCGGACAAAACAGAGGGCATAGAACTTGATGCACATTTGTAACCCTACACCGCGAATCCGTGCATGCTTATCCTCCCTGTGCATCACACCATCGAGCATTCTAGCGAAATACGAACATGGACAAACCTAAAGCCAACATAACCATTCGCTCATACCCCAGACTTGCACAATCTGCTGGACACGTGACCCCCTTCCCTAGATCCCACCCCCCAAAGGGCAGTTCTGCCCTATAGATACGCCTCCTTATACCGTTCAGTGATACCGTTCAGTGACCTAGACAACCTCTCAATATAGTCTCATACCGTTTTCACCCCCCTAAAGACCCAAGGTGGTTGCAAGGCAAGAGAGCCCTAAGCATGACAGGCGGCCTGACACCTTTGTCGAACCGACGGAGTGGAGGGTTGGTCGGCGATGAGAGGAAAAGAAGCCTCGCCCATTTCTGGGTGAGTTTGGGAGTGCTGTCCAGTGCTGTTAGGATGTGGAGTTTTAGATTTGGTCTATTCTGTTGCGGTCGTGGTTCGGTCTATGGGGTATTGGGTGTGTGCAGCGGTGTGTTCGGATTTGCCTTCGGCCTGGGGTGTCCACTTAGTGTAAGCATCCACTGGGGCTCAGGGAAGCTGGAAGTGGAGCAAGGCTTGTTGTAGACTGAAGTTATGATGATGGCAGGGCAAGAAAGACCTTGAAAACCTTATCGTGCCTTCAACACAAAGCAAGGAGGAGGTAGGCCCACTTGGGTGTTGAGGTCGGATCTTTGCAATTTCGAGTTTGAATTCAGCACCCCCCAGAGAAACTGAACAACAAGCACGAACTATGCATCGAAAAAGGCGACAAGGACCCTTCCTCTCAAGAAGTTGATAAGGCCCTATTTCGTGTGGACCAACTCTTTTCAAAGGTGGAGACTCGACCTGTAGACGGCGGGAGGGGTCGGGGGTCCACCTGCGAGTGACTTCATTTTAGGAGCCTTTGTTTTAGGTTCTAGTGTGCCTTACTCCTTATTTTACAGTGATTGTACTGATCATGACGGTCTCGCGCCGATGGCTCAAAAATGGTTAGTGCCGAGTCGTCCATGTGCTCAAAAGTTGCACTCCTTCAACCCTTCAGGTGTCCACTAAGTTTCTTGAGCACCTTGCACCTGCAAGAAGGGCCTCGTCCTTGCAAGGCGGGAGGCAAAAGAAGCCTAACCCCTAATTCCTAACCAAGAACCTCGTCTGGATGCGTCCGAGTTGCGAGAGCGTAAAGCCTTAGGAATTCCTAAACTTTGTAAGCCCCAAAACCCAACACCAAAAAAACCGTAAAACCTTAAGCCCCCGGAGCGCCGAAACCCCAACCCAAAACCCCAAGACCCAAAAGCCCTAAATTCCTAAACCTCAAAACCCGCGAGCCGCGCGGCCATGATGGAGCAGTCCGAGGGAGCTGTGGCCAAGCGTCCGAGAAAGTTGGGCCTTTTGCCACTTGGCCTGTTCAGGGACGGTGTCTTACAGGGTTTATGTAGGGCTTTCTGCATGGTTTTTTGAAGATTCTCGAGATTTCCGGGCTTTAGGGCTCTACGCGATTTCAGAGGGCTTGCGCAAGGCTTTGTGCATGTTGGCTGAAGGTGTATCTGAAGGTTCTCTCAGGGGTTTTCAAAGGACTTCTCGCCAGCACGGGGATTCTGCAATTCTGCTCAAGGTGTGATGTTCTTCAGCTTTGTCTTTTTCAATAGGGTCTGTAGGGCAAAACGCAGAGTCTCCTTCCTTTTGACGTGATGGAGCCTCGGAGCAGGCAGCAAGAGAATCCGAAGCCCAAAAGCCACGAAACCAGACCTCGTGCCCTACCGCCGCCGCCAACCAAAATCCACTGTCTAAAAGACACCGTAGTACCTGAACTCTCCAACTACCCTCTACTCTACCCCAAATACGCATTATTAAGGACCATACGGGCTCTATTAAAGGGCAAGACCCAGAATCCTGGTGGACCCCCAAACTCTACAAGCCCTAAACCCTACAAGCCCTATAAACCCTACCTTAACCCCAAATAGCCTACCTTTTTAAGGACTTATATAAGGAAATCATATTAAGGAGCCCTAAAAAGGTAGGTTTCTGGGGGTCCAGGTAAGCCCAAAACCAAGAAGAGAAGAGGTCTGCTGGGATCACACTTGGTGAAGTCGCAGCGGCCTTGACCAGTCGCGTTTCCCCCGAGGATGCCGACGGGGGGGCGAAGTTTTGGGTAAACCTTCGCTCGGGCTTAAGGTTTATGGTTTTAACTAGGGTTTGTAGGGTTTCAGGCGTAGGGTTTGAGTAAGACCCTTGAGTTTCAGACCACTACACGTAATAGAGAAGACTCGAGAATTTAGTTGGGCCCACGTAGACCCCGGAGACAGGCACTGCACGGTGCAGGAGTCCTTCACCAGAATGTGCGCAGAACTGTGCTGGGAACGCGTCGTTCAGAGGGGAGCACGGGGCCGTCATGAGTAATGCTGCAACCTGAATGATGCAGTTGTCTTGAAGTACGCCGTTCCATTCCGAAGAAGCCTTGGTCTGTGGAACTCCAAGTAATTAATTAGTAATTAATATATAGGTGCAACAAGTAAACCTCCGGCAAAGGAGTGGTCACAGCGACAGTGATGCAGTGGCCCGTTCGCCTAATGATCTCAAGCCTCACATTGCCAACCACAGCAGAAGATGTTATTGCCCGTTCCATCGCGAATCCCTGGAGGACGCAGAGGCTTTGGTGGGCTTGCGCGGGTGTGCCTAGGCAGAGACACGCCATGTTCAGGAATGTTGTTCCTTTACAACCCACGAACTACCACACACGAACATGTCCCAAATCCTTTTCCACATATTCAGGACCTCAGATTCCACATTTCCGGTGTTTGTAAAGCTTCGAAATTTTGTTTGTTGGTTGCGCACTGTTCAGACCTGTTTCGTCTGAGCTTTCGCTGGACAAATAATTGAACTTGGAAATTTCTCAACACTAGGCGTCCCCCTTTGAGTGGGCGCCTGGCTGAGCAGTACATTCTGTCACTGTTTTGCCGCGTTCATGTTGGGGTGTCCTTCCCGTCACTCGGTGCGAACTCTCCGAAACGATGCAGGTTTCAGCCCAACCAGCATCACCGCTAGCCGCTAGCTGACACGATCTTTCATGCGCCGACATGCCAGTGATATTGTTGTGACTGTGTTGGCAGCCATGTCGTGAGGACATTTTTCGTTAACATCTAGATCGGCACTAGTAGTCTTCCCGAAGATGGGCCCAAAGCCTACTCCTTCATATCCCTAGGCCCCCAGGCTGGAATGATCTCCCGGAAGCCCTAGGTACAAGGGCTTGGCTCTCACATCCAGTCTTCAACTGAGTAATTAAATTTATAGACTCCATGCCGAAGCATAGCCTTGTACACCCAAAACTCAAACCTAAATCCTTGAAAGCCCAACCTCTTGAACCCAGGGCTGCCCCTGCAAAAAGTGTTCATCATCGGAGCGATGCACGGGTGTACGGCTCGAACTTTGAGCCGTAAACCTTAAATAGACTCTTGTGAACCGGGCCGAAAACCACTGGTAAAACAAACTCTTGGGCAAGCCGATGCAAAAGCCTTAAGTCTCATGCAGACCCCTTGAACCAAACAAACATGAATCGTAAAGAAGAATCGAATCCTCAACTTCTTCAAACAGACCGTCGAAACAGAAAACGAAGCCTTTCGAAAGGTAAAAGCCCGGAGGATGCCGAAGCAAAGGGCTGGATCCAGGCTTTAGAGGCACCAGTTTGTAGGGTTTTGAGACGGGGTTTGTGGGCGGCGGGAGGGTTTTAATCGGAGTCTGCAGGAGTTTACAGTGTTGCAGAGGGGCTGAAAGTGCGTTGGAAGGGTTTGGAGCGCTTGTAGTGCCACTTACCTCACCTTTTGTTAAGAGGGAATGGAAGAATAGTAGCAATAGTAGTCATAATTATACCCCATTCCTCCATGTCCCTACTAACCAAAGGCAAGCTTCGGGTTCAGGCTAGGGGGGCTTCGGGGGCTTTGGAGATGAGAGGTTTCGGGTATTTTGGTGCTCTAGGCTCGAGATTTTGAGATCAGGGTTTGTCGGTTTGGGGTCGAAGGGTGGTTCGGCGGGTTTTTGGGAGTTGAGGGTTGAGGGGTGCACGAGAGAGGTTTAGTTGAACTTAGGTCCCCAATACCCAACCATTAAACTTTTTGGGCTCTTATCGTTGAGTAGGAATCGGAAAGTTTAACCTTTCATTGTAAGTAAGTGAATGACTTGTACTCGCAACATTGTCGCCGCAAGTCCCTGACACTTAAGCGCTTGCTTACCTCGCAAGGCCCGGCACGGTGCTGGTTTCTGGAAAGCGGAAATGTTCGAGTGCACAGATTCTGCGACTTGGTCTTGAGATTTTTAGATGGGACTTTGCCTTTTGCTTGCATCTAGACCATGCAGAACAGTACTAGCCATGACTCTGAGTTTTGGGAAATCAAGGGGTCAACCCGATGCACAGTGACCTGACCCCTGCAAGCCCAAGCTTCTACAGTCCCAAACCCCTATAGACTTGGGGCCCTAGATCGGCCCTACAGATCCTTTAAAGGAATCCCTATGTTCCCCGTCCGCAGAGGAGTTCATGGCACGCCTCCAAAGTTGGGGCCGGGAGTTTGCTTTGAGTATGGCATCCGGTCTGCACTTTTTTTGTTTGATGCTTTGGCAATCTTTGGGTTTAGGGTTTAAGATCTGCACTACTTGTGGGTCGTAGACCGGCTAGACTTGAAACAGTGGCAAAAAGGATCTGCACTACTTAGGATGCTTTGGAGGTTCAAGTTTCTGGAAGCCTGCCAGATCTTGGGGGGATAAGGGGGTTCAGCCTCTTGTGTGGAGGGCAAAAGGACTTTGGTTCTGCATGTGTGGTGAAACCCGAAGCCGGGAGATTCCAGGTTTAGGGTTCAGGGCTTAGCGCATGGCAGTCCCTGCTTATCTCTTGGGTTTAGGGTTCAGGGATGTTTAGGGTTTGGGCAAAAGGGATCTTAGGACACATCCAGGCGGGATTCACACAAGCCTTGGCAAAAAAGGGTATTCAGGATTTAGGAGCTTAGGGCTTATGGGGATGTTTAGGGTAGAGTCTGGGTTCACAGGTGATGTTCAAGCTTTAGGGTCTCCGCGCGCCTGTCTTTTGATGCTTCACTCAGACACACAGACGTAGCATGACGTAGCCTCGCAGACCCCAAACCCCTGCAGATGAGTTGCGCCGATGTGCTGTTTATCTTTACGGACCCACGACTCATGACTTCAGGGCTCTTTGGTGAAGGCTGCAGGTAAAGACAGCCTGCCAAAAATGGGTTTTATGTCAAGTCACGGGCTCAAGACACAAGGCTAAGAGCTAGTAAACCCGTGCCCTTTGCATACTTCTACTCTGATGTCCCCCTCAGGCCCTTTTCTAAGTATGAAGCCACGCAGTATTTTAGAACCAACCATTCTAGAACCCTAAACCCTAAACACCCGTAAACCCTAAACCTTAAAGAAACCCTGTGTCCGAGTTGTGAGAGCGTAAAGAAACCCTTGCAGAAGCCTGAAAGTGTCCCTATCCATAGCACTGGTGTCGGCTCTGAGAAGGGTACCTGTGAGTCTGAGACCCCTAAGCCTTGAAGAAGGAAATCACAGTTAGGGTTCAGGGTTTTTGAGGTTTACGATTCTATGATATAAGGTTTTAGGGTTTGGGGTTTTGGGTTTTAGGGTTTACGGTTCTATGGTGTGGGGTTGTAGGGTTTAGGGTTTCCGGTTTAGGTTTTTTTCAGATTCACAGTTTTATGGTACGTGGTTTGAGGGTTTCAGGGTTTAGGGTTTTAGGGTTTAGAGATTTCAGGCGTAAGGTTTCATTGTATGGGTTTCAGGGTTTAGTGTTTTAGGGTTTAGGTTTGTAATAAGGCTTTATGGTATGCGTGGGGTTTATTTGGGGTTTCAGGGTTTAGGGTTTTAGGGTGTAGGTTTGTAAGTTGTTTAAAGCTTTTATGGTACGGGGCTTTAAGGTTTCAGGGTTTAGGTGCTTAAGGATCTTCAAGAGGCCTGGATGCAAAAAGGTGCTTAAGGATTTAGGTTCTATGGAATAGGGCTTGAGGGTTTAGGTTTTTAAGATTTACGGTCTTATGCTATGTGGTTTGAGGGTTTAGGCTTTGATGCAAAAAGGGTTTAGGCTTTGTAAGGTCTAGGTTTTTATGGGATGGGGTTGTAGGGTTTCCGGGTTGAGGGCTTTAGGGTTTAGGTTACAAAAAGGTTTTAGCTTTTTAAGGTTTAAGGTTTTATGGCATGGGGTTTTAGGGTTTCAGGGTTTAGGGTTTAGGGTTTTGGTGCTTAAGGTTTTGGGATTTAAGGTTTCGTGGTATGGGATTTTCGGGTTTCGGGTTTCAGGGTTTAGGTTTTTAAGGCTTAAGGTTCATGGTATGGGGTTTTAGGGTTTCAGGGTTTAGGTTTTGAGGTTTTGCGCTACGTGACGTGGGCTGAGGATTTCTGGGTTTCGGATTTTAGGGTTTAGGTTTAGGTTGTTAAGGTTTGTGTTTGGTTTCAGGGTTTCGGGTTTTAGGGTTTAGGTGTTTGAGGCTTAAGGTTTTGTGGTATGGGGTTTTAGGGTTTCAGGGTTTATGTCTTTAAAGTTTTACGGTACGGGGTTTCAGGGTTTCGGGTTTTAGAGTTTAGCTTAAACAAAAGGGTTTACACTGTTAAGGTTTAAGGTTTCATGGTATGGGGTTTCAGGGATTTAGGGTTTAGAGTTTTAGGATTGATTTTGTTTATGTTTTTTTTTTCTGTTTGTAGGGTTTAGGTTGTTATGATTCAAGGTGTTGCGATATGGGGTTTTAGGGTGTCAGGGTTTGGGGTTTAGGGTTTAGAGGTTTTGTGGTACCCGGTTTTGGGGGTTTCAGGGTTTAGTTTAAGGTCGTGGGTTCTTTGAGGTGTAAGGTTTTTTGTTTGTATGGGGTTTCAGGGTTTCAGGTTTTAGGGTTTAGGTTTCTGGTTTTATAGTGCGGATTTAAGGGTTTTGGGGTTTGGTCTTTTAAGGTTTTATGGCATGGCATTTTAGGGTTTCAGGGTGTAGGTTAGAAACAAGGGTTTAGGTTGTTGAGGATTAAGGTTTTATTGTACCCAGTTTTGGGGTTGCAGGGATTCATGGTTTAGGGTTGTGAGGTTTGGGGGTTTAGGATTTAGGGTTGCATCGTTTATGGTTTGAAGGCTTAGGGTTGAAGGGTTGGAGTAAGAGGGGGTATCCATGTCCTCAGTGTTGCTGCAAGCGTCAGTGGTACTTCTGCTCCAGTGTGGGCACCTCAGAGAGCCCGGGTTCAAACAACGGGTTGCAGGGGTAGGATTTTGAGGTTCAGGGTTTTGGTGGCCTCAGCACGGGCTCAAGGAAATGTGTCGGGTGTTTAGGGTTCCAAGGTTTGGGGTTTAGGAATTTTGGGGTTTAGGGTGTTAGTGGGTACAGGGGTTTAGGGTCTTGGGGTTTAGAGGTTGGGGGTTTTGGAAAACCTGAGCCCTAAATCGTAAAGCTCGACTTCAATCCCTGTCAGCCTGCCAATCAGGTAGGAAGAGTATGGCCTGCTGCCATCTACCAGCAGCACAGGTTGCAAGTGGCCTACATCCAGGTCCCGGGGATTCAGACCCCAACCTTTATGTACCCTTAAAGGCCCTAGACCATCATAGTTGTAGTAAACGACATTGTGGTATATCCTAAAGGCCCTAGACCATTATACTTGTAAGTACTGACATCATTATTGTTACTGTTGTGATTATTCTTATGATGGATGAAACATATATATATATATATATATTTATATTTATAATACAAGGTAATAGTAACTTCGTGTGTTGTAGTGCGGAAGCTCTGACCAGGAGTATTTCAAGGCGCGGGCCGACACCACGGAGGCTGAACTGACACGCTTGAGGCAGCTGTCGGAGCGGGGCTCCGATCCTGCAGCTGGGCTTTTGTTAAAGGATTTACAATTGAAGGTATAATAACAGGGAACTAGTAGGTAATAACTCTTGTTAAGGGTGTTATTTTGAATATCACTAATAATGATGGGGTCTACAGCAGGTAGTATGGTTTCCGCATTTTAGATTAAATCCCTTAACAAGCAACCAGGAAAATGCAGAGGATCAAGTTCTGCGGGACCTTCGGCAGTTCTTCGACTGCATCCTCCAGGACCCACAGGTGAAGATTGTGGATTTGGCTGGTGGTCCCGGATGTTGCGCTGCAGGCGCCTGGCGCTTCTTTACTGGCAGCATGAGCTGCCGCACTGTCGAGGCAACTGTTGCAGACCCTGTCGAGGAGTGCCTGGATACAATACTTATGATAGGGTTGAGCAAGGATTCTTCATTCCTCATTTTGAAACCTTGTTCTAATGTTTTTTAGCCCAAGACTTTGTTCTGGTAGTTTAGGCTCCTGTAGTGGCTTGGACAGGGGCTGAGGGGACCATAGAGCGGGTGCGTGGTCGTAGTGGCTGGATGGCCCAACAAAATCCGACATGTTTCTGCGTGAAGATCCGTCGTGCCCCAAATTTCCGCCCGGGGTTGACCTAGGTGGTCATGGTGCCACAAGCTGCTGGGGCTGCAGTTTCGGCCCTGTGCCAGCTTGTCGGACACTCTTCCTCTTAGCGTAAAGGTTTGTTGACAGAACAATACCCGGCCCTCAGCACAAAGCTGCGCCAGATATAGAAAGTAGAATGAGTCGACTGCCGCAAGCGGGCATGTGGCCTTATATTTCTTCGCAACATGCTGCAAGACCCTTTTTCCGACTTGTCACTGATCCTTCTTGAGGTCCGACAGTCCAAATGCCCCAAGTATGGGCCTGAAAATGCAAACCTCCCTGACCTTGTCAAACACTAAAGACAATGTGGTAATGTACAGTTTGTACAACTCCATATCGGTTACGTATACATACATACAAATCCAAATACACACACAAATAAATACACATATACATATACACATATATATGTATATATACACCTATATATATATATATATATATATATATTATATATATATATATATGTATGTCCATCAATGTATATATGTATATATACTTATGTGTATATATATACACACACTAAAATGAGAATACAAACAAATAAGCAAATGTCTGCAGGAATATATATATATATATATATACAAATATATACATACACACATACAGATTGTAAACGCATACATACGCACCTACACATACACACGTACATACATACACACATACATGCATAAATGCATACATACACACCAGCAGAGACAGACAGCCAGACAGATAGACAGACATACCTATGGACCTATGTATGTATGTAGGCAAGCAGGAAGGTAGGTAGGTAAGTATATATGTGTGTATGCACGTATGTATTGTGCATATGTATGTATGTATGTATGCATGTATGTAATTATGCATGCATGATTATGCATGCATGATCATGCATGCATGTATGCACACATGTATGTACATATATATATATATATATATATACATATGCATACACACACACAAATATACATATATATATATATATATATGTATATATACATATTTACATGCAATTCTGTATGCAGGCCAGGGTCCCAAGCCCCTCATCGCAGTGCTAGCTCAGGTGCCTTGGTTCAGAATGCATCAGGCCCGAGCGTTTGAGGCACCAAACACCAGAGCATGCACAGATTCAGCGAAGTTCCATCCGGTTTGCTCGTGCCCGGGTTGAGCACTCAGCCTCCAAACCCTATATGAACCCCGAAACCCGAAAGAGTACAAACAATACTCATAATACATTAGAAATTATCAGACAGAGTAAGAGCCGTACTACACTCTCAGTAGCCATAAGTATGATACTAAGCATTTTCATCATGACATCCACTGTTGGCATAGTAAACTTATATGACATGCAACCTATTTTCATTACATGTCAATCTTAGTCATAAATAAGACTGATGATCATTCCGAGAATATTAAGAATAAGAACACGAACGTGCCTGACTCAGGATATGCTTCTAGAGGACTGCACCTTCACCGCCGATGTCGTCCTGCTCGGCTGGGCCATGCACCTTGGCCGCCGCTGTAAGACGATAGCTCAGTGCAAGACAGAGGAAAAACTCGGCCCTGAAAGGAATCAGCCCTGTGGAAGGCTTGTTCAATCTTAGGCCTCGGCTTGTTTCAGAATGTGTGAGTAGGTGTGCGTGTAAATCCGGGGAGTAGGGGGAGAGAGGGTTGTGGTGCCTCGTTCCCTGTGGACTTTCTGCTTGCTCCATCCGGTCCTGCACAGATCAGGCAGGCGTACCGCTAGGAAGTGATCCCCACAGTGGCCTAAATGATTGTGATAGGATTCCCTTCTAGCCCCCATACAGCTAAATGATGATGCACCCCGATAACCTGTTCGAATTCTTGAGGTTTTCCATTCTTCGAAACCATGTTCACAAGAGTGCAGGCGGGGTTTGGGGTACAAACCGTGGTGCCGCTAAATCAAATGTAGGCTGGAAGCACCAGAGTGCGGCGTGTTGAAGCCTTCATGTCGCTGCACAAGAAGTTCCCCCAACTCGGCTCGAATTTTCCTGCCGCCCCAGTCTGCAATTGCACCCCAAACCCGACCGCACGCGAGGGTGCTAAGTTCCGAAGTTCCCACATCATAGGCAGGAACTTTTGGCCGGGGGCATTCGGAGCATTCCCATTGCTCGATCGATCATGATGTCGTTGCCGTCGTCCTCGCACTCTGCTGTCAAGTCTGGGATGAAGGACAGGAAACATGTCCTTAGCCAGGCACAGCTAGTTCAGGTTTGGATGTTGTCGTGTTGCTGACACGACCGCCGAAACCCATAAGCCATAAGCTACAAGACCCTCGCATGTGCAGCTCAGTCAGCTTATGGCCGCTTTCCTTACATGGCGAGCTGAAATCAGACTATACTTTCTGCATAACTCTCGTGTAGCCCATATAAAAAACTTTACCCGAATAGTATGCCCGCATCCTATTCCTATTCTAATTCTTGAGGCCCTCCATTTTTTGGCGTACCCTCAGGCCCGGAGGTCGAGTTCTTAGCAGCAGAGTAACAAAAAATAACTTGTGTGGCTGCAATAGCCAATATATAACCCTCAAGATTAATTTTCAGCTGCTAGAAAAATGGACAAGTAAGATGTTTGGAAGGACCTGGCAGCTCTGAGTTGCACTGCTGGTTTATGGCTTAGGGACCGGGGCCTAGAGTCTTTAACACTAAACAGAGATGCAGAAAGCGAAGTTGTTTCCATCTTCACCAATAGTCAGCAAGAACGGGATTGGGGGAAGCTTCTTCTCTCCAAAACCTAGTCATTTTTCCGTAGGGTTCCTCATTCGATAATCGTACCCCGTTGCGTAGGCCTCTGTGTTGAATTCTATACCCTGGAAGCGCCACGGCCTTCTTAAAGACCCCGAGGCAGCTCCGGTGTAGACCCCTTAAAAACCTCTGAAACCGCAAAACACCTACCCTAACCCCTCAAACCATTCATCCCTAAGCCCTAAACCCATATGGGCTGGGGAATGCAACGAGCAGACACCAAAAAGGCCCTTAAAACAAAAGAACTAAACCCTCATCTACCCTTAGGGTTTGGGGTCTTACGAAGGGTTGAGAGTTGCAGGGGCACTAGCCGTCTCTTCAGTCTCATGAAGGATCCTTTGTATAAGGGCTCTTCATGGGCTTTTGGGGTTTATCGGGTTTTAGGGATCCTTTGTATAAGAGGAGATTCAAACAAATCCCAGGAACTTCGCTTCGGAGAGCTTCTTTGCTCGTCTCCGGACGGCCTTCGACCAGCGTTCGACTTTCCTGCCGGGATCGAGGTCTCAGGTGCCGGGGCTTGGTATGTTCGTTTTGCTATTTTTGTTTTCTACGTCGGACTTTGAAGGCACTCTCTGAGGGATCTGTAGAATCTACAGGGATTCCTAGAAGGGAGCTTTTGGGGTTCCAAGCCCTTGATCAAGGCGACACCGGAGTCCTTGCGCGTGCTGTAGGTTTTACATGGTTTTACATTTTCGTCAGGCAAGGCGAGGGGAAGTGGGAATTGGATCGAGAGGGTGCGGGGCAAGGTGTATGGGATTTTAGGAGTTTAAGGACTTTGAGGTTAGGGCCTGGGTTTAAAGTTTAGGGTTAGGGTTGGGGACCTAGGGGTGTTAGAGGACTGCGAAGTTGAAGGTCCTGGCGTGACCTGCTCCCCAAAGAGTCCTGCGGCTTCCAAGTCTCTCTTCGACGGTTTTTGCCTTGTCCGGGAGGTGACCGCGAAATCGGCAGACAACGGCCAGTAGCAGTAGCAAGGGTCAGTGCCCTGTTTTCGATGATTGTTCGTATTATTATTATTACTATTATTATTATTATTATTATTATTATTATTATTATTATTATTATTTTTGTTATTATTATCATTATTGTTATTATTAGTATTTTTTTTTATTGATGTTATTATTATTATTATTATTACTATTATTATTATTATTTCTATTATTGTTATTATTTGTATTGTTATTATTATTAATGTTATTATTCTTAGTATTATTACTATTATTATTACTATTATTATTATTATTATTATTATTCTTATTATTTTTATTATTATTAGTATTGTTATTATTATTGATGTTAATATTAATATTATTATTAATTTTTTTTATTAATAATATTAGTCTTCGTGTTTTCTCCGGCCGGTGTATCGGTGGTCTACACCCTCGGTTCAGCCTTCAGGATGGTCGACCGCACCCTGTTAGACTTATAAACCTTAAACTCACGTATTACTTATAATTAATCTTAACTTAAGCTTAGTTAGACCCTAAACCCACCTATTTCTTATAATTAAGCTTAACTTAAGTTTAATTAAACCCTAAACCCTAAACATGAAGCCGAGGCGCTGGTCATTGTCATGGACGGGCGCCTGGACCACTTCTGCTTCAAGGACAGGCGACCAGTTTTTAACTCCAAGCGTCCTCGAAGTCGCTGCGACCGTTTTCAAGCGAGGTTTTCGTTTAGGGTGCAGAAGCAGAAGCAGCTGAAATACTGGCTACGTCGCAAACTGCTGTGACCAATATCGCTCAACCGACTGCCAAGAACACTGGCAGCGTCCACGCCCGTAGTTATCCTGCGTCATCATGCGTCACACCACTACCTTTCATCATCATCATCATCATCATCATCATCAGCAGCATCACCGTCACCACTATCTGCCTTGCTGCCTGAGTGACCTTTTCAAGGGGTGATGCCGACGTGGCTGCCCTATGTTGGCAAGCTTCTCTTCCATTCTGGTGTGTGCTCAAGCCAGTCACCCTCCAACCCCTTCCATTCCGCGAGCGCAGACGCCTGTGTTTCAGTTCACTCCACCAAGAAGAACCATAGCAATGCGTCGGTCGTCCCCGACCTTTGTGTCTCGCCAGTCTTCCCTTCGAAGCCGCGCATCAAGGTGACCTAGCACAGCGTTACAATGGCAATGGAGTATCAGTAGAAAGCGGAAGGCCGCCTTGTAGCAGCTCTTCAATAGATGCTTGGAGGATAAGCGCCACAAGGAGCTGGGGAAGCCTGGAGTCTTCCAGAAAGATTATGGTGCCAACGTGTGCTGCCCGCCCCATCTTCGGCACACCATTTGGGACTGCGGAGAGTTGTGAGCGACGTGAAATTGGTGTGCAAGTCTAGCTAGTTGACGGGTGGGGACCACTTGCCTCTGAGCTGCATGATCAGCTTAGGCTATTCCTGGTTGTTGGGAAACCCACGGCTTCCCGGCACATCAGCGCCTTCTGGAGATTTGTGACTTCAGTGCGAGACCTTCGCGCGCAAGACCATGTGTCACAAAAAGCCGGCGCGAGCAACTTGATTCCGTACACGGCATCCTGTGGTGATAATGGCACCTGCTTATGAGCAGCATCCATACCTGTACTGTAGTTTTGACAAGCCTGCAAGGGACGGCGTGACTGCACAGTTGTAAGAGTGACACAAGGATAAAACCCATCCCGGAACCTCGAACTCCTGACTATGTGACCTGTACAGGTGCGCTGAAAGCCTCTTTCGATAAGCGTACAAACACTGGCTGCGAGAGTTTGTTCTGGCTGTTCTAAGTAGGGTTCCTATGGCTGCGACGATTTCGACTACAGCTTAATGTAGCCATAAGTAGAAACGGCTTTGACAATTCCGTGGAAGGTGGGTGGTTGGCTGTGGTTAGCATGTGCGCGCATCCTGAGCCCAGGTAAGTACACACTTCACATGCATGTACAGATGCATGCACATGTTGAGTATGTGCCTGTGCACTTAAGCAGTGCTTTGTTTATATGAGCAAGTTTTTTTTGCTTGCGATGTTGCATGAGCTTTTTCTGAGCTTTTTGTGCGTTTAGGCAAGGCCAGCTCGCAAAAGAGTCGCAGGCTCTTGCAGGTGAGGCTTCTTTAGAAATCCAGGCACCTCCGTCGGACTTGCAAGGCACTTTGGGATGTTGTGCATTCGGAATGCGTCGGGTGAAGACGTTATCGCTCGGCAGCTGGCCAACTTTGTGGAGACATGCTTGCAGCAAGCGGGTCCTGAGAGTCCTACAATTCTGGCATTAAAGCGGTACTTGCGAGGCGTCTGTGGGCTTCCGAGATTCAGACAACGGCTCGTACTTTCGGACGGCACTCTGCTGGCTGACAACGAGGCACTGACCCAAATCGAGGCGCAGCTCGTTCTTCTGGCTTTCTGTGAAACTACCGAAACGGAAGAGGCTGCGCTCAGGCATGCGGCAGCAAAGGGCAAGACTGAAATGGTGGAGAATCTTCTGCAAAGGCCACAGGATCCAGATTTGGGCTATCCGCGACCTTTACTGCTCGCTTGTGGCTTTGGCCACCTGGAAGCTGCTCGACTGTTGCTGGAAGCTGAAGCTGACACAAGCACGGCCGACATGGACGGCGCGACCCCGCTGTCTCTCGCATGTCAGAGTGGCCACTCCGAGATCGTACGACTTCTGCTCCAGGCAAGAGCCACATCCTCGGCCAATACTAACAATGTGACTCCGCTGCTCTACGCTTGCCAGGACGGCCACGCCGAGGTCGCAAGCTTGTTGTTGGAGGCTAGAGTTGATATTGACCATGCGACAAATGCCGGCCACACCCCTTTGTTCATGGCTTCCCAGAACGGCCACACGCAGGTGGCGCGCCTCTGGCTAGCTGGCAAGGCAGATGCGGGCAAGGCCAGCACCAAACATGTGACGCCATTGTTGATTGCATCACAAAGTGGCCACCTGCAGGTTGTGCGTCTTCTCTTGAAAGCTCGTGTCGATCCAAGCAAGAGCGACCATAACCATGTCACACCCTTGCTGCTTGCCAGCCAAGACGGCAAGGTAGAGATCACAGAGCTCTTGCTTTCGGCAAGGGCAGATGTGGGCAAGGCCGAAATCCATGGTGAAACCCCGCTGCTTTGGGCTTGCTTGGCTGGCCACTTGGGTATTGCTGGCCTCCTGCTTGAGGCCAGGGCTGATGTCGACCAGGCGCGAGACGATGGTGCGACCCCTTTGATGCTCGCCTGCCAAAACGGCCACTTGCAGCTGGCGAAGCGGTTGCTTGATTCCAGAGTGGACCCGGGAAGGTCCAGCAAAAACGGGATGACCCCAATGTGGTTTGCAGAGCAGGCCGGCAACTTGGAGTTGATCCGCCTCTTGCAGGCAAGTTCTGACGACAGCCTGCGATCGGCGAAGCGAGCTCGGCATTGACTACCCCCGGAATAGATCCTGAGCCCTGAAGGCCTTGAATCCTGGATCCGAATCAAGCCCCAAACCCGCAGGACCTCCTTCATCCGCCTCCTTAGAGATTGGATGGTCAAGGATCTAGCCGCGATCGATTCCAAGGGCAGCTGCAGGAGGAAAAAGATCACTTGCCGCCGAATCCGGGGGCAGTAGCCTTCTGACTTGAAGCCTCAAGCTCCACCAGACACCCGTCCTCCCCTTTACTGTAGGGTTTATAGGGTTTAGGGAACGGTCCTGAGTCCGCGCGAGAGAGAGAGAGAGGGAACGAAGCCCTGCAGAAGAAGAAGAGAGGGAACGATGAACCGAGTCAAGTCCTCCTCGAACCCATCTGCTTGTCTTCACTCGTTTCGAGCTATACTCTGGAACTATCAGGACTCGCTACAAGCCCCACTGTTTGGACCTCCTCGTTCCTCGACACGGTGTTTCTCAGAGTAAAACCTTGGGAAGTAGGAGCCAGGGGTTTTAGGTTTAAGGCGGTAGCAAGATCCCGCTCCTGAGGTTTAGGTTTGCGGCTGCGTTTCAAGAGGCCTGGATCCAATCACAGTTCAAGGACCTTCAGGGTTCCAGCAGGCACTGAATATGTATATACTTGTCTGTATATATGCATATATATATATATACTAATTGTATACACACATACACACACATATGTATATATACATATATATATATATATATACACATAGCCAGTTGGACAATCATCGCCATGATGAGGCTTTCGGGGCGCAAGTCTGATGGTCATGTTTGGGAGTCGACCCAGTAGTCGCTAGGCTTTTGGCGGCAGTATGGATCATCGCGCTATAGGCGAATGTTCATCATAGAGCCACGGTTTAGGGTTTAGGGTCCTCCACCCTAAACCCTAAACCTACAAGTTCCCGAGCATGCATGAGTCATGCTGTCTTCAACCTTGCACACTGAAGCTACGACATCGAGCCAAGATCACAGTCGCTGAAAGTTTCTTCGCTCTCCTTTCCCGGCCCAACTACAAGAAGCTCACCAGAAGTGGGGCAAGGTCCAGCACCTGGGACAGCCTATTGGTCGGTTCCCCCTTTCGGATGCCCCCTGCATAACGGTTTAGAGTTATGTTTTTGGGGTTCTAGGGTTTAGGGGTTTGGAACCTAGTCGCCCTAAGCCCTACGCCGAAGAACAGAGCATAATAGCTCAGGCACAAGTCTGGACGGCCACGGGATGCAGAAGAGCGCCTGCTTACCACTGCCTACCTCCTTTTTTCAGCTTTGCAGCTCGGTGTCAATGCTCACTCCTTGGAGCCCGGGCTAAACCCAAGGCCGTCAGCCCTCAACACCACCCAACCCTCAGAGCCCTTCTTACAGGGGTCTAGATAAGTAGAACGTAGACAATATAACGCTTCCCGTGCAACCCTTGGAAGAGAGAGAGAGAGAGAGAGAGAGAGAGAGAGAGAGAGAGAGAGAGAGAGAGAGAGAGAGAGAGAGAGAGAGAGAGAGAGAGAGAGAGAGAGAGGGAGAGAGGGAGAGAGAGAGAGAGAGAGGGACCGCACCCGGGGGAGGCAACACGGCAGCCACAGCCAGCACACACGCACACACACACACACACACACACACACACACACACACCCGCAGCCAGCCAGAGGTCCCTCCGCCACCGCCCACAGGGGGACCAAGCCGCAGCCGCCGGAGGAGCCACGTCGCCGTAGAGCTACAGGCTCAAGCACCGAGGCCGTGGGAGATGCGAAAAGAGTTGAGGGACACCTCAATGTCTGGCTGCTTAGCCTGGGGGCAGGCAAAACGCCCCGCAACATGCCACCCGAACTGCCCATAGCACCGGGAACTTTCTTGCACCTGCGCTACCTGGGACCAGGGGGGGCATGGGCAGCAGTGGTCCTCCATGAACAAGACCGGCGAGGCCCAGCCTACTTCTCTGGACAGCATCGGCCTTTCGCTAGGGCCAGACAACAAGCACGTGACCCAGCTGCTGGGGGTCGACATTTGGGTCCTGGCACGGCAATGGTCCTCTTCCCGCTTGGGCCACCAAGTGGGGCTCCCTCGCGATGGCTCCTCTTTGTGACCGCAGTCGAACACACAAGTATAGGCTGGTCGGAGACGAATGCCATCCGCCTCCTGTCGGGGGAGTCCTACCTGCTGTGGCAACGCAAAGGAGAGCGAGTGTGGGAACAGAAGTCGGTCGTCGGACCGGCAGCGCAGCAGTACTTCGCAGACTGGAGGAGGGAGTCAGCCGTTGGAAGGGGGGCGGAGCGACTGCCAAGTACAGGGTTCTCGGATGCAAAAGCAACTGGGAGCATCTCGGCGCACGCCTGATGCCGCGCAGAGACAGGGGGGACCAACCAGAGGACACAGAAGAAGAGCCCCCTGCTGAGGGGGAACCCGACGCCGACGACAATGCCCTCATGCAAACCAATATGGGGGGCGCCAGCAGCAGCAGCGAGGCCGTCATCCTAGAAGGCTGCCTCGCCATAGCCATGGTCCGACGATGCCTCCGGAGACTAGCGGCCGTGCTTGCGAGAGGGGGGCCAGCCCTGCTGCAGCAGCGCGTCGAGGACCTCCTGGCAGCTCTCGACCCGCTCGGCCTCCGCGGCATGGGGAACCCCCTTTGGGGGAGAAAGCGCCAACGTGACACCACCGAATTCTCCGAGGTGGCCCGGCTACTCAGGGGGCCAGCAGACAGGCTCCCTACGACACTCAGACACCGACCTGGCCGAAGACATGGCTGTGCGCATTGCCATGCTTAGCCAGGGGATCCGCCGCCTCGAAGCCGAGATCCATGACCAAGGGGGACTACAGGCGTTGGAGGCACGAGAGGGGGCCTACCTCGCTGTTAAAGCCATGACCAGTGCCCGCGACAAAGTGCTGGCGGGGGACAGAAACTGGCTATCGGCCAACTGGCTCTGGACCGTCGCGTCTCTCCTTGAAGAGGGGGATGCCTTGTCGTGGGAGCTCCGCCACGTCCCGGGGGAGGCGCACGGCAGTGATGTCCTAGCCATGGCCGCGGGTGCCAACGAGACCTACGGCGACATGCCGGACGTATGGAAGGCCAAACAGTACCTGCGAGAGCTGGGGGGCCTGTTGCCGTTCCTGGCTGACAATGATGCAGACCAAGCTCGACGACTGGTGGCGTCCTTGTTGGCGTGGGTACAAAGCCAAAACTGACCACCCTGTTGGTGGACAGTCAAGGGAACGCCGAGACTCAGGAAGCAGAGGAGCCCCCCGGAGCCCCTTCCTACTGCTGATGCCACGGGGGAAGCAAGCCCGCGAACGTTGGGGGCTACACAGCTGGACGCCAACACGACGGGCAACTCCACTGGGGGGACAGAAGCGAGGCCCAAGTTCCCGGCGTACTGGAACCTCAGGGGGTCGATGGCGACGCTGGATGTGCCGTCGTCTGCTGAGCGTGACCCCGATAGCTTGCCTCGTGAACTGGAGCCTCCAAGTGAAGTGCCGTCTGCCCAAGAGATCGCGGACGGACACGCGCTCCAGGAACAGGTGGAGGCTGAGCTGGAGGCCTATGGCCGAGCCAGCCGTAGGAGGCTGCACAGCCCGGAGGGGGCCAGACGGAGAGTGAATCGAGAGTGGACTGATGATAGTGATTAGGGGGTGGTTGTGCACTTGTTGCTTTGTACGTGCTGCTCTCCGTTCGGGCCTCAGTGTACAGTTTGCTTCACCTCGCTTGCATGCTCAGTGGGTGGCCAGACAGCAGTACGGTTCCGGGGGAACCCCGTCCGGGCCCCTGGCTCAGCATCTGGGGACGCACGTACACCGACCGGCGGGGTGTTTGAAGCTTAGCCCTCGAGGCGGGTTGGGGGTTAGTGTAAAGGGGGGGTTGTGCAGGTCGGCCAGTGCATGTCTCCCTGAGTTTTTATCTTTTCTCACTGCCCGAAATTCCCCGGTGCGCGAAATCGCGCGGGGGGGAGGGTGCTTGCGCGTCCGACCCTCCTGGCCGAGCTGAAGAGAGAGAGAGAGAGAGAGAGAGAGAGAGAGAGAGAGGGAGAGAGACCGAGCCCCACCTCCCAAACGCCTTGCAAGCAAGCAAGCAAGAGAGAGAGAGAGAGAGCGAGGGAGGGAGGGAGGGAGGGAGGGAGGGAGGGAGAGAGAGAGGGATCTCAGCTATTGGATGCTACTGTAACAAAGCATCCGGTGCCGAGGGCTTGCATGCAACACTCATGCAACATTTTCGCCCCACAACAGTCGGGGGCGCAGACGCGCGCGGTGTAGGGGAAAGCCCCTACACCGTAGCCCTGGAAAGGGGGATCGAAAGACACTCGCTATACCCTAAAACTCAATACTGAGTCTTGTGCACAACGCCTCCACACCCAGAAGCCCATTCGGAAACCCCAGGCACTTTCTTTCAGGTCCGTGTTCCGGAAGCAGAGCCTGCATAGAGGGGCAAAGAAAAAGGCGTTTCAAGAGTTTCTTTGTGGCTGCAGGCTTAAGGGTTCAAAGGTTGAAAGACTTATGCAGGTTTTAGGTGAGAGCCTTGCAGGCTTCCCGGCTTTAGGTGTGTAAGCCATTGGGGTTCGTGGGTGTTTTGTCCGAAGGCTTTATACTGTAGGGCATAACGTTCACAGGGCTACAAGTTTCGGGTTTGAAGTTTCTAGATACCTGATCACTTCCAACGAGAATTTTGGTGCCCGTAAAGGCACGTGGGGCCGTGACGGGGCTGTTTGCTAATGAAGCGGTTACCGACCGGTCAGGAGTTGCACCCAGACAAACAGCCGACTCGGACCACGTCCCGAAACATAAGGTTGTGAAGTTGTAGTGGTCTCAGTGCCATTGAGCTTCAGGGTTTGCTTGGGGGTGTGAGTACGAGTAGTAGGATTCGTACTACTGCTACTACTGCTCCTACTACTACTTCTACTACTACTTCTACTACTACTACTACTACTACTACTACTACTACTACTACTACTGCTACTCTACTTCATGCAGGAGGCAGAAACTACTCTACTTCCTACTGCTGCTCCTGCTCCTGCTGCT